GATGGGCTGAAAATTTGAGTAGCCGGAGGTGGGCTGGGCTGGGAATTAAACTGTGAAGGTGGGGTGGGATGAAAGTGGGAAAAGCGAAAATGGGCCAAGTCTGGTGCATCATTGCTAGTCGGTAAAAGTTATTACCGTCTGTTTGATGACTGCGCGGTGAAACATCCACCGCGTAGCATCGTGCTAACAGTTGTGCATTGCCGCGTGCAAAGTGCACCACGTCGTTGTGGACGCCGTGGACAGCACGGGAGCGCCGGTGGAGCACGTGGAAGCGGTGGATTTCTGCCCAGGTGTCCTCGTCCCTGTCGCCGCGCGAGATGCACATATATGCACATGCAGAAATCATCAACAGATTCTTTTAATTAAGGCCCTTAATTTGGTCCGCATAGTTAATACGTGCTACATCAAGTACATTTTGGGTTTGTTTCCGGGGCCCGGCGCGGGAGACGTGAGCATGCGGCACCTGCCCCATTGCATTATGTCGGAGGTATACACGCAGCGCGCGCTGCACACGCTAACCAACGTGCGATGGTAAAGGAAGGTTTCTTCGATTCAAAAGATTGCTTGTAGTGGTGGCTCGTGCTTTGTGCATACAGCGTGTGCGCAGTATGGCAGCTGCTGCTGACGGCCAGCGCAAGCCAGTTGAAGCCATACGAGTAATCACGGCCGTGACCTTTGAAATGTACACTACCACCTACAGTTGCACTGCGCCGGACGAAGCCTGTCCCGGCACTGTCGATCATGCAATGAGCAGCACTACTTCCGACCTTTCTACTCCACCGGCACATCACGTCCGCCACCAACAGCCTAACTATCACCGGCACCAACCTCTGCCGGCGCCGTGCCGACTTCTTCATCAGTTTCCTCACCATCCGCGGTCTCCGCATACCGCTGCTGGTTGTGACGGGTTGCGACTGTCACCCGTGGGTGCGGACGCTTCTCTGTCCCCCGGATCGGGAGTGCATGGGAGATTATCCGCCAGTAATTTACCAGTGTACAACCGTGTATGAACAGCTACAACCGTACCGCTGCGACGATATTATTAAATCGGACGGCTGATGTCCAGGACTCCGGCTGATTCGGCGGGAGAGGACCGCGTGGCTGATCAACGCCCGGGGTGGGTCGGCGCGCATACGGCGGTGTTCGTACTAGCAAGCATCTGTTTCCTTCCCTCCACGCCTTGAGTCTAACCTCTACGCGTTGCTTATTTTAAGTATAATTTCAAGTGTGCTAATAAAAACATCACGTCTTTTTTCCTAATTAACTGTTTTGTAAGTTAACGATTTAAACGTATAACAAAATAACTAACGATTTTCCTAATTAACTGTTTGTAAATTAACGATTTAAACGTATACTTTACAAAATAATTGCGGAAGATGATCCGTTCTTATTTCGCTTGACCACACTGCTTCTTCGTCCATTGCCGACGGCATATGGAGATTAACGCAAAAACATTATTGCGTATATGCCTAAAAGACGTGCGTTTATAGCCGGTTAGTACGGTCTTTATTATCTGGTGTTGACGCTGTACTGCTCACCGGCCGGTGTACTGGACGGCGCTTATAACGCTGCGGTGGCGCCAACCGCAGCCGGGTAACGGTGGCCGGCGGCTGCCGCAGTGATGCGCAGCCGGCGGGCCCGTTAATGTACTGTTTAACGGGACCGGCGGCAGCGGTGCATATGTGTTTATTGGGCAGTAATTGTTTGCGCTGCGGCTGCGGCCCATTACCGATGCTCTACCGGCAACGCGTATATCGCTGGCGTTGCTCGGTAGCTCGATGGACGACTGCGCGGGTGCACGCGACGCCGACCAGCTGGACCAGTGGCGATGTTGATGTTGAGCCAGCGCAGTTGATTGTGCCGGTCTTTGTTGACATCCTGTGGCGGACCCTTCAGCGAGCGTTCCCCTTCCTGCGCTCGCTCAATTAGTATACACACATGTGTGCATCTCCACCGGCTGCACGCGTCGCTGTCTAGATTGACTCTATAGGCCAATTAGCCAGACCGGTATAATGTTATGCCGATCGGCATGTCCATTGCGCCGCTGATGTACACGTTCGACCGGCCGACTCCCGCTAACTAAATGCCCCAATCCTGTCCAATTAATTCAGCGCCATTCAGTGCCGACGATGACAGTATTCCTAGCTTTATCATCATGAACGCAACCAGCTAGTTCGGCATAATCAGTTACAGATTATCGGGCCGGTAGTGCGTTTCCGGTTGAGAAGCGCCGTTTCCCCGGCACTTCCGGCTGCCGGGAGACTCACCGGGAGTGCCGGTGCGCGTCATCCGCGGAACGAACACCGCAACAGGATGTTGCCGGATAGGAAAAAATGTTAGCGTGGCGTTCTCGCGCGAAAACCGGTGAAGAAGCTGTGAAAAGCGCGGAGTGAGAAGTGAGTAATGTGAGTGGACTGGTTACGTGCCCCATTCAGTGCGCCACTCGCCGGTGAGGCGAGCGGGAGGCCCGCAGTGCTGGCGCTGCACTTCGCCGGGCCGGCATCCACTCGTGGCCGAGAGACGGTCGGTAGCGCGGTGGAGACGCCGGCAAGAGGCACTCCACGCCAGCCGACGCTGATATCAGTGCTATACTCAGTATACTGTAGTGTTGTGCTACTAAATAAAATTAAATAACGGCCATTTACTTAGTAAAAGTCCGCCTAATATTAAAAGTCTAGTAAATAGTAAGGTTTTGGAAACAACGTAAGTAAAAGTAAGTAAATGTGCAGACGGAATAGTAAAAAGTAAGTAAATATTAAGGTTCAGCGTTGAATAAATAAAAATCATTTACTAAATTATTTACTAAATCGTTTTATCAACGTTACGGAAAATCGGCGTGTCCGCCGCCGCCACTCGCAGGTAAAGTGAGTGTGCGCAGTAGTCGGCTGCCAGCCTGCCGCCCTCAAAGCAGCAGTATTTATTTTTCAGTATGCACCTGTATAGCTCGATTAATGCATAAGAAATTTATTTGCACTATTTTCAGTAGTCTGTTGCGCTTTGAAACTAACGCAATTCGAAACTTTCAATGCTAAATTACATTTATTTAGTAAATTTACTTTAATTTAGTAAGTAAATGTCCTTGGGAAAATTGAAATAAAAAGTAAAAGTAAGTAAAAGTCCCGAAAAATTTTGAATAGTAAGTAAAAATAAGTAAACTTTCAAAAGCCGATAGTAAAAATAAGTATATTGGCAAGGACTTTTACTACCCAACACTAGTATACTGTCATCGTTCGCATTATTACATTGACAGGCAGTGCATTGATTCATAACCAACAAGAAAAATTAAGCAGCTTAATAACTGGCCAGTTATTCACGATTAATCAGCTTTTATTATATGAATATTCGCCCCTATTTTAACACTGCCAACGTGCTTTTCATTAAGAATTTAAGGCATAGACGCATAAGACGCTCGTGTGCGGCAGTATTATTAGCATTTCCGGTCGCTCCAATTTTGGTATAAACAACGCACACTGCCAACAATCACACGAAAGGTAAATGATCGAATAGTGTCAGATTTGCGCACAGATGCCGGGATTTAGTTGCATAACAGCTGCGTGTTGTTATAAGTTATTACGGGAAGAAGTAAACGTGTCAAAGGTATCTAATATTTATTCGCTGGATATATAGCGTACATATTGATTCTCCCGGCATAAACAAACACCCGACCAACTGCACGTTAACGGCTACACATACACGCTGTTGTTCGCGTTCTGTAAACAGGCAGCGCTGCTTATGTTGCGCATGATATACATCAACAGAGTGGCTTCTTGATCGACGGTCAGCGCTTAATTCCCGCGCTAAGCCGGACTGCGAGCGCTTGACAAGTGAGAGCCCTCCAAACTGACTTGCACGCCACCGGAAATGAGGACGTTCAACAGTTACAGGATTTATTCCATACTTCGCACACACATTTATCATAATTAAACGACCACCTCGCTCCGCAGTAAACTACTACAGTATTATTTATTACAAATAAAAATGAGCGATGTCACGGCCAGCAAAAAAAACATTAAAATAGCAGAATCACTTAGATTTGTTTTAGAATTATTTCCGGTGCGAATAAATAGACCAGCAATTTGTGAAAATATCTGTAAAAGTTTGGAGGTACATGTCATTATTTTATTTGTAAATTAGTTGGTTTGAATATGGTCCCTTGCGTTTAGGGATTAATTTTATCTTAAACGATGAGCAGACGAACGTGAGGCTTAAGTAACAAAATATGATCTTCTTAGCGGCGGCAATGTGATTAAAAAAATTTCTCTGTAGATGTTGGTATGATAATCGGTCAGCGCTGTACATGTCCTGCCCGATTACCGGCACACACACACCGGCGACGCATGCGTCAATGTCGCGCGGCGGAAGTGCGCCTGGAAAGGGCACATCCGGCTGCATGAAACCGCTGCACTGTATGCGAAGATCTGTACATAAATTGAAAAATGCACGAGAAGCGTTGGTCATCGTGTCGGGGTGATGCATTGTGGCGTTACAGCGTTACATCAGGGCCCACTTGACGCGGGAGACAGGTGTAAACAGAAAATAATGCTGGGATGTTATTTTAGATTAGATTACCGCGCGGCAACGGTTACGCAGCCGGCGAGTCGGTGGAGTGCAGATCTGACCTAAGAAGACCGGCCGCAACGACAGTACCGGCAGAAAAACCTGAAGGGAGACGGATGATGCGGCCGGTATTGTCATACGTACATTATGTATAGTTGTACCGCGATCGAGCGGCATGTATATGCATGGTATGCTGATCAGCTCGAGCGTAAGCCGCAGCGGATTAGCGCTCACCATTCGCATTCGGTCCCTTCAATTCCCGCCGCGTCAGCAGTGTACAGCATAAACATCATCGATATTATACGCCGGCCGTCATCAGCGCATATCCTGTTTGTCTAATCTGCCAATTACGCTAAGACAAAGCGTACGTACACGGTGCACCAGGACCGGTTCGTACGGCGTGTACACTGCTAACATACGGCAGGGATGCGCCGATCAGCAGTCATCCGCGCCGGCACCGGCTAACAATATAAAGACGCCGGTAAATGCCATCAACAAACAATTCATTCCATCTCACCGACCATCACCCATTCCTTCATCTATCATCGATATCTTGTATTATACCCGGCGTCCACTGCAGGTTAAACGGGCGCCCATTCGGTCCGATTGATTCGATTCCGTTGCGGGGATTATCGAGTGCCAGTGCGCCGTTTTCTGTATATAACCGCGCTGATCACTCACTGCACTCACTCACTTCCGGTCAGCTGCAGCACACGCGGAGACACCTAGTCACCTTTGATCAGATTTCGACGGGATTTAATCCGGTATCATGCGGACTAGCAGCACGATGATGCGGCGCGCGGCGCTGGCCTGCAGTTTGTTGGCGGTGTGCGCCGCGCAGTACATGCCGTCGCGGCAGAGCGCCGGATACGCCGGCGGCTATGGGGAGCAGGCGGGACTGTCGGGATCCGGAGGAAGCGGCTACGGCGGCGGATCCAGCGGGATGCAGCAGGGATACGGCCAGGGGCAGGGCCAGGCTGGCAGACCCAACGGATACGGATACAGCTCCGCCTACCAAGTAAGCCTCTTACTTTAGCCGTTGTTAATTAATACTGTTAATTCTTCCCCTTCCAGTCCGCCATAGAACGTACCAAAAATGCTGTATATAATATTCATTTAAAAAAAATATTTTCTTAATTCCAGTGCAGTTTTGAGTTGATCCTGTACTGTATTTATACGTAACTGCAGCGGAAATATACAGCGCATATATAAAATTGACCTTTACATTAAAAGCGGCTTGGTCGCTGTGCGCTTTACGCTGAATCCGCCCATGGCGATACCAATGGTGTGTTCGCAAGAAAAAGCGTTCTTTTCAAAGTTTCTTTCGGGTATTCGTGTCTACCCTTTACCGACAATGACAAATCTTCACAGTGTGTTATACAAAATATTTTTTAACAGGATACGTATAACTCGGGTTCGTCTGGCTTGTCCTCGGGCGGCGCCAGCGGCTACGCGTCGGGCGGCAGTTTCGGCGGGTCCGGACTGCAGGGCGGTGCGGGATCGGGATCGTCATCGGGACGCGGCCAGGACAACGGCAATCCGCTGAACCGCCTCAATCCCAACTACCTCGGACCCCGCCGTAAGTAGTTCTCTTGCTTGCGCGTACATAAACAGTGTTTTAGTGCGTCGGTAATTAACCGTCGCACGTTTTCCCACGCACTTTCACCGTGAGACCGCAGCGTCGCCACGGCAGCGCACACAATAGCGACGTCGAGCGTGCGTGACGGCAGTGCACAATGAACGTGCACGGCAAGAATGTTCTCGCTAAGCCGGCAATGTGTTAATTAGCCCGTCAACAACAACAACAACAACAACAGCACTCACCGGCGTTTGTCTAACGAGCGGATCGTCGGCTAATCAGCCGACAATGCATCTGATCGGATTTGGTCCGCTTCCGTCGCGGAAATCGGCGCACTCGTTAAGAATGTCCGCGTCAGGGTAAAAGGATCCGATTTGCCGGTTGTGCACACACCGCACAACGCCAATCCGATCAATAGATGCGCTTAGCCGCTGGCACGGTGAATGGCGCTGTCAGCAGTAGCGCGACTAATCGCGCGCTGGACACTGCGGCCGCGTTAATTCCCTCTGATTGTCAGCGCCACAATAACCGCCGCACGCGACCATAATGCGTCATTAATCCCGCTTTAAATCTTTACCAATTAATTCATTGAAAAATCCCATTGTCGATTCAATCAGCTTAAATATAATAACATCTCCGAAGCATCGACATTTTTGCCAATTGACTTACATAATATATTATTAATTACTATGCCGTCCGTACCAGCTACTAGATGGTTCGATTAATCTTTCCTCACGTTCAAGCAGACGCACCTTATTAATCGACCAGATAATAGTTACTAATTCTAATAATTATTAAACACAATTAATACGAATTATAATACGAATTTAATACGAATAATACACAACTACACAATTAATACACAATTAATACACAATTAATACGAATTTTTTTATAGCGGATTACTGCAAACGCCCCACGGGTCAATTCTCCGTGCCCAACGACTGCACCTCCTTCTACAACTGCTACGACGTAAGTGCCCGCGCAAAACCCAAACTGACCACTGTCGTGACCTTTTGCTATTTCCCTGAACAGAACATTGCCTGGATCCAAAAGTGCCCTGAAGGATTAGGCTTCAACGAGTACGCAATACCAGCAATCTTTACGTAACCATGTCTAATGCTGAATTCCCGTTGCAGGCAAACCTACCAGTGCGACTACGCCGAGGCCGTCGGGTGTGCAGCGGCCGCCCAAGCCGCCGCCGCGCAGGCCTCGCGTCTGCAGCAGCAGAGCTACAGCAGCGGCTACAACTCCGGCTCCGGCTCGGGCTACTCCGCGGGCGGCAGCAATTACGGCTCGCAGTCGCAGGGATACGGCGGCAGCGGCAGCGGCAGTGGCAGCAGCGGCTACGGCTCCTTCGACGCCGGTTACGGCCAGCAGCAGCAGCAGGGCGGCCAGTACGGCTCCGGCTCCGGCTCGGGTTCCGGCTCGGGCTACAACACACCCATGTACAACCTGTACGCCAGCGCCGGTGGCGCCGACTCCGGATCCGGCCTGGCGGGATCCAACGGTAATAGCTACGGCTAGGGCGTCCGCCCTCCCCGCGGGCTGCAGCAGCAGCGGCAGTCGTCTGTGATTCGTCGGGGAAGCCCGTTCCTTGTTGTTGAGTTAGTAGTCCCTCCCTTAGCCTTAATCTCAGTTTACGGAGTCCATACGTATTTTTGTACCTGCCCCTTTTTTACCTATGCACGTACGTCCAGCGTAATTCTGATGGTGTGTCTCCCGCAGCGAATGTAGTCCGGCTGCCTGATTAAGCCAATAGCTCAATGGTGTGCTGTGTCGGTTTGGTTTGGGATGTTGTAACGGTTGTCAGTGGTTACGTTGTTGCAATTGTCGACGATGGTTATTTGGGTTCTGTCTGTATGTGTGCTACACGCTGTCGTTGACAGTGTTCAACGGGCTTTTTGTGCGGTGCACTGGTTTTGCCGGGGAAATCAATGGTTTTTGATAATAAAATTTGTGCCAGTCACTTTCTGCGGTTGCGGTGTTTTTCGACTTGGTTATTCTTCTTAACTAATCCGGTGGTTGGAAATTGGCAGTTATGGGTGAGGTTTTCGGCTCGCGTATCCTTCCGAAGGTAATTGACTAACGCAGCCGGCGGTGAGACATGCAACATGACAAATATTTAACTGAAAGGTCACCGTTGCCGGTTAAGTATTAGACGACGCCGCGATTCCTGGATTGGTCGTCCGCGCTTATAAGTATATCTCAACGCAACCGGACATTCGAATCCTCCGTAAACCAATTACACATTAACATTCAGACATGCATCGTTTTCCCATAATTACATATACGGAAAAAATTGAAATACTATTTGGTAAAAGCACGGAATAATAACATTTTTACGGTTTGTATTATGTCCTTGCTCCGGCCTTTTTCCCGCCTATCACAACAAAGTATTTTTTGTTTTAATGCACCTACGGCACGATCTATATCAGCTGCGCGTAAGAAGAATAAAGCATTGAATGTGCTTGTGTCGTCTGGCAGGTCGCAACAACGCCAACACCGGCTACCGTCCGTTGTCTTCCCAGGGCGGTCGCGCTCTGCCCATGTACCACGAAGGCCGCGACACGGAGAGCGAGAGCGGCGCGTTCCGGCCGGCGGCCTCCGACCCTCGACCGCAGATGCAACCGGCTCCCAACCGCCCCATGGACCCCCGTTTCCAACAATTATCCAGCAACACCGTCGACGTCCACGACCCACAGCAAGGCAACGCCGGACAGGGCCCGCACAGTCAATCTACCGGCTCCCAACAGCCCTGGCCCCTCCCCTGCCCCGACAACGGCGCCCCCCGCCGCCAGCCTTGGCAGGACGCCGCCTCGGGGCGGGAGCAGCTGCTCTTCGCCAACGAGACCAACCCGATGATGCCCAACGGCGCGGGACCGACGGCGGGCGAGCCAGCCGGGGAGATGCACGCCGGGAAGGTGGTGTTCGGACCGGAAGGACCCCAGGAGCAGCCGGCGCCCTGCCATCCCTGCCAGCAGCCCGCGGCGACGTGTCCGTCGCGACCGGAAGCGCGCTGCTTCGATGATGTGTGCGGCGGCTGTCGGGCGCGCTTCTTCGAACGACGAGCCGCGCCCGGTTCCGGCAGTAACGGCACCGGCTGGCAGGAGGTCACGGATCAGTGCAATAATAATAATAACGCCGGGCCGCTGCAGCCTTCCGGATCCAGATGATATTCGCCGCATGGCTGAGACTACAGTTAGCCCAAATTGTTCTCGTGTTTTCTTGTTATTTTGTACTGGTTTTCTCTGCAACGTACGCCAATTACTACTTGTCGACCAATAAAAAGCGAAAGCTGTCTGAACGAAAAGGTACAAAGACGAAAGGCGTGGCCAGCCAGCAACATCGTGTCGTCGTGACCTTAACATTCGGTACGCGTGGTGACGACGTTAGCGGCCATAATGTCACATGTTTTGTCCCTGGAATTAGTAAAAAAAAAACCGTAGTAGGAAATAAAAAGCGTATTTGGGAGACATTTTCACGCCGCAAAGATCTCGGTGACAAGAAAGGCCATCCTGCTTAGTTGCCCGAACATGCAGTTGCCGTAAACCAACCTCGATCGTCCCAGTGCAGCGGTGTTACAACCGACTGGAATGCGCTAAATCTGCATTGCGGTGACTTACATACGTACGGGTCGATGCTACATGCATAGCGGCCTTTTGCAAGCATTCGACGCGGTAATCCGGGAAAGCCTTTGCACGATTACAAACGTTGCCATCACGGACCAAAGGTGGACGCAGGAATCCCTGCCGATCTCCGAGGGCGGTCTTGGAATTCGCAGCATTGAGAAGCTAGCCCTTCCGGCCTTTTTGGCCTCGGCTTACTCAATCGCGACGCTGGCATCCGAGACTGCGGACTTTCACCCTGATGAGTACTGCAGCGCGGCAGTAGAGCAATGGCAGGCAATTACAAAAAGGGATGCGCCGGATGTCAATATTCGCAACCTACAGAAAGTGTGGGATGAACCTCTAATCGCGGAAGCTGTGGAAATGTTGTGGGTTGAAGCCCAGGATGACCTATCCAGTCAAGCTCGGCTGCGCGGCGTAAGAACAAAAGAGAATGGGGCTTGGCTAGAGGCGTTAACGGCAGCATCACTTGGAAACCTGCTGACAGATTCTGCCCTGAGAATCGCTGTTGGGCTACGCTTTGGAGCTGCTATCGTCACTCCGCACCGTTGCATCTGCGGGGACTGGGTGGACGCCCGAGGCTACCATTGCCTCAGCTGCAAGAAAAGTCGAGGCAGGAAGCCCAGACACAGCAGCTTGAATGCTGTCTGTAAACGGGCATTCGCATCAGCCGGAATTAAAACAGAGCTTGAACCAGTGGGCTTATGTCGAACGAATGGCCAACGCTCGGATGGCGTTACGTTAGCACCATGGGAAAGAGGGAGAATGCTGACGTGGGATGTCACCTGCGTCTTTACGGTGGCAGTATCGCATATCGTGGCAACATCCGAGCGAGCTGGTGCAGCGGCGGCAAAGGCTGAACAGGATAAGGTAACCAAGTACCAGAACATCACCCCGGACTACCTGTTCAGCGCTCTGGGCTTTGAAACGCTAGGAGCAAACGGACCGGAAGCTTCCCGTCTGCTGACGGAAGTGGGTAGAAGGGTACGGCATGAAACTGGCGAGGCAAGAGCACCGGAGTACCTGCGCCAGCGTATCAGCATAGAAATCCAGCGCGGGAACGCGGCCTCCGTTCAGGGAACAGCTCCACCGGGAGCAAATTTAGATCAGTTGTTCTCTGTTCTTAGACCTCCCGAGGCTGTTTTCTGCTGATTGAGTGTACTGTGTTGTGATGTTAACTGTTGTGTATAAGCTAAACTTACATAGAGTAACGCGGTGTACCTTAAGTGTGGATGACCACTCCGTTTACAACCTTTTACAACCTTTCGCACTACCTTCCATTCCGTTCAAAGCCTTTTCCAGCCCTGTGTATATCTTCAAATCCGGAAAATGAACGGATTTATTTTAAAAAAACGCATTCATTTCTACTTATTACTTAATTTCCGCCCCAGCTGACTGTTTTCAAATTATTTCGATCCAAGTTCTGCAGATGTTTTGTCAACTGATGCTGCTGCTCCAGGAAACAAATAATCCATCAATTGCCATTTATTTTGTATCTGCCAGACAGCAATCAATTCAAAGAGTGCACAGAACTCGGGAATTAAGGTATTTTACTTACAGTATATACAATAAATTATATAGTTTATTGTATATACTGAACAGAACTGTATATACAATAAATATAGGTATATACATATATTGTATATACTGTATATATATACTGTATATACAATATATGTATATACACTTATTGCACAGAACTGCATATACAAAAAATTATTACATATCCCACTCCCACATGAAGCGAGTCCCACATAAAAAAGCGCCTTCTCGGTATATAAGCTTTCTAGAAAATAACACACCGTCTGATACCGACTTGGAAAATATAGCAGGTATCACAACGAAGTTGTCAATTTTTAAAGCCATTTGACAAGTTTTTGGAAAACGGCAGCTCAAAGAAAGCTTGCTGACTGACCGGCAGCAATGGGTGCCAGAGCCGGTTACCTATGCCCGCGTTTTGCAGGATAGAGATCAGACAGAACATAACCTGAAAGGGAAGAATGAGCTTGGCTCCGGCCAGAGGACAACATGAGGCGTTGTGTTCTTCTATCCTGGTCCATCTGCCTGTTCTGCCATGCGGCTGGCCAGGGCAGCCAGTTAGGCTGGTTAGGATGAGTCTCCTGGTCTGCGCGTTGATGAAGCGGTCGAGCAACACAGACACTGTGAAGGAGCCGTCGTCGACGATCCGTGGGCAGTTGCACCCTCCGTACCGTATCGCCCTGTGCTCGTTATTTGTCCAGGGATAGCGTATAATTAACAGCAGCTGCCACAAGGAGCCCGCCCTGTTAGCAAAGTATTTACTTAACTACAATTTCTAAAGTAAATTCACAATTTGGAAATGTATTGTACAGTTGTAAAGAAAATTCCAAGAAGCTGATTTCGGTTCAGAATCAGTTTTCTTAGCTAACGGTCTTTTACAGCGAAGTGTCAAAACGATCCGAGAACAGCGTGACTTTGGATGCGAGAACATTACCTTCACTAATGTTATGTATTAAATATTTACAAAAATGATTGTCAAGAAGAGTTTCCGCTGCTGAAAATACAATTAAGGTAACTGTCCCGTCAGTGCTACTAAGTGAATGCACTGTATATATATATCTACCGAGTACCGACATTTGATCCCTTTCGCGCACGACAAAACACTGTTTTGCAAAGTTTTCAGTTAGACAGTACCCAACTGATTTGTATGCCTAGGTACACTGGGTTTAAAAATAGGTCGATAGCGTTTTTTTCCATTAAAAATGAACTTAAAAAATATCAGTAAAACGTTTAAGCAAGTACGATGAAACATGTTTTCATTCAATATCATCTCTGTACATTTTTGTCACTCGCCGTAAAATCGCAAAAAGACGAAGCACAATTCTATTTTCTGCACGCAACCAACAATTTAATTTCATTTATGCAGTAATTTCCATTGCTGTATTGGCGATAGCAGATGTCAGGCGCACAGAGGGTTTGGATACAAGTATGAATACGTAATATTTAAATCTAGAACAGTTTTATCATGGTGCAGGTAAGCGAGGTAACCCGTTTACCGGCAGTGTTTTATAGCACAGCATGGGAATTTACATTGTGCACTTGGCCACGTTTACTACCCTAGATTCTTTGCCGCTCTTATGCAGACGCGCTAACACCGCACTGCATGACAGCAAGCAAGTGGATCATAAAATGAGACAGCGAAAAACGACATCTCCATACAAAAAAAAACCAGCAAGCAAAAATAATTTTTTCTGACTGGCTACTGGTTGAAACCATGGCTCTCTAGGGGTATCACGCACTAAATATCGCGCCCTGTTACGCAAAATTGTGTCCCGCCTCGAGCTGGTGACATGTTGGGGTAGCGGAAAAATGACATCTCTTCTATATACTTTACAGGTACCAGCAAAAAATATTTTGTTTCTGACTGGTTACTGGTTGAAACCATGGCTTCGCTGGGGGTATCACGCTTTTAATTCAACCGTATCCGTACCTCATCCGTACCCTGGTATCTGCTGATAAGGTTGCAGATCATAATTACTAAATACCGCACTACGTAAATGCATTTAAGGGCCCCAGGAGCAGCCGGCGCCCTGCCATCCCTGCCAGCAGCCCGCGGCGACGTGTCCATCGCGACCGGAAGCGCGCAGCTTCGATGATGTGTGCGGCGGCTGTCGGGCGCGCGTCTTTGAACTGAGCGGCGCCAGGTTCCAGTAGCGCCGGCGCCGGTTGGCTGGAGGTCACGGAGCAATGCAACAACGCGGCGCCGTTGCAGCCTTCCGGCTCCAGATGACCGTCGACTGGTTGAGGGCTAGGATGACGTTAGCTCAGTTTGTTCTCTGTTACTGTTTTTTTACTGGGTATTTCAGCATACACAACCTTATTGCTTTTTCTTCGTAACCTACTTTTGTAAACTGGATGAGCGGTCTCAGTAAAACGGTTACAGCAGTCCTTGCGGGTTGTCAAAAGCGGCTACGTGTATGGCCTGCTTAATTTACGGCAGTTTCAACGCATTTTGGGACGTCGGCGTCCAGTACTGAGGTAAGCGATTTTACACTTGTTCTCAACCATGTTCTGTGTCCCGTCACGTCGCCGGTTGACCCGTCGCCTCAAAAGCAACCGGATACTGCGGCCTGAATCTCTGCTGCCCGGTCGCCGGGTACACGATCATCGTACTCGTAGAACTGCTGTAGTGGTTGTTTCTCTTCATCGGCATTCTGTAGGCATCCGCGTAGCGGTTTGTTTTCCTTAGTACTGCCTCAAACGCTGTTACGCTCTAACCTCTGTCAAGTAGAGATTTTGTCGTCATGGCGAAGTGTGCCTTCTACCGATGTGTACAGTACCGGATGTACAGATATACAGCGATTTACAGTATAATTATTTACCGGTCAAATCAAGGCGTACAAGTTGAAGCCGGGAAAAATCAATTGCAGCGATTTCCTTTGTTGATCAGCTTGACGAGGTGTTACAGTTATCAAAGGGGCAATGCAACCATGCAGCGTCACAATTAAGCGTTTTCTCAAGCCTTAACAGTTAGTCATTGCTACTATGAAATTAACGGTGGTATACAGATATGTGGGCAGTGGAATAGTATCGCTTTATTGGTGAATCGTCGCTCGACAAAGTAGCAACTGATTCTGCAGACACTGTTTGTCAGCAACGGAACAATACGGACAGCGTCGCTTAGGCCGCTAGGGACAATAATAAGCGCGCCTCCTTTAATCTGCACCGTACAAGGTCGAAGCCCCGCATATCGCCCGCTAATGATTATGCTGATCGTCGGCAACGGCAGGCTGGTCATGATCAGTCTCAGCAGCTGACGCAGTGGCGCACCACATGGCACAGATGACAAACACGGTCAGGTTGGAAAAGCTCCGCGCTGACAGCTGGTAAATGGAGGGAAGTTGATCCTGGTCCGGCACTCGCAGCAGCCACAAGTGGCTCCACAGCGGAGCATCCGGATCCGGCTTGGGTTCAGCGCTACCGAACAACCACAGTCAACCCGCTGCTGGAAATGCCAATATCTGTACTGCACAGATACCGTACAGCATTTCCGCGAAATTAAGAGACAACCTCATCTTCTAGCCTGTTGGTGCCTGATAATTAACTGCCGTTTAGCTAAGGACAGGGAAGTCTAAGGGCGAAAGAGCGAACCACCTTGAACATAACCGCCTGCTTTTACCAGAGGTGTGTTTTACCACCGCAGCTCCGCTGACCGGGCTAGACAAATCAAATTGTCTCTTAATTTCGCAGAACCGCAGTAACCACTTATACGTCGTTAGCCTTTCCGACAATTGGCTAACTGGACAGACGTAGTACGGGTTCACACTCCGGGGCCTGAGTCCTGGCTAACCGATCATTTGCTTTTTTTTGAAATTGTTAACGAATGCAGTTGTGCGGAAGCGACAGTTGACGGGCATTTTGTTGGCCGACAGCTTACTTGCCGGTACGATTCTTGTTTTTTGGGAATTTCTAATCCGGTACCGGTCGGTCGACACTCAACAGCATTTCGTCAGCAAATAGTACGCCGGCTGGTGTTCAGTACGCTGTGCTTCGGAAACCTGTCCTATCGCTCATCGCTTTAATTTGTCGTTGCAGTAAATCGGCGGGTAAATAAAACGTTAAATTTGGTCGGTCAGCCAGGTAGTGCTCAGCAAATTGTTAATTCTGGCGCCGGAAACCAGCACAGCACACAGAAGACGAACGACTTACAAATACATCAGATTCCGCAGGAAATGTGCGTAGACCGGATAGAGGTGCGGATAGAGGGCCGCTGTACTGGCCCAGTAGGCGTGCATGGCCGCCGCGGTGTCGCGCATGCTGCTGGACACGTCCGGCAGCGCGGCTTCCATCGCGGCGCGCAGGGTGTTGAAGTGGGCCGTGTCGGTGAGGGCGCAGTCGAAGCGCAGGAACGGTATGCGCACCGACAGCTGCGGCAGCGGATCCCGGCCCGTGTATGTGAAACGCTGCTTCCGTTGCAGCGACTGCAGCGCATAACGATCAGGATGAAAATTTCTCCAGGCGTCGTTCATGACGTAGTCCACGAGCAGCAGCTCTTGGCAGAGGTCCGTCAGGCGCGACAAGCAGTGCATCGGACGCTGACTATGCCAAGCGGCGAATTCCAGAGCGACGACGCACTGGTGCAGCACGATGCGGCGCAGAGTCGATGGTGACGAGCGGTTGCGGTTGCGTAGGGTGAGCCCGATAATATCGACATCTATCTGCGCTCTCTGATAGCCGCTGCACCGGCCTGCCGGCACACCTTGCTGGCTGCACTGCCCGCACAGACCCCGCACACTCTCGTGGCCGCACATATCCGGCCGCCAGCGGGTGACGGCCAGCGTCCGCACCGCGGGCCGCAGGGCGTGCTGCAGGAGCCGGGCCAGACGGTACACTTCGTCGTGGTGGTTGGCGCGCTCCCCCGGCTGACGCCAGTCCAGCGTTATGGCCGGCTGCGCGCACTGCGTCCACACCGCGTTCCATCCCGGACTGACTCTGTGGGCAGCACACAAATGCAAAGGTCATGAAAAACATGGCATCTGTATTGAGATCATGCACTCACACGTGTCGCGATATATGTACACATTAAAGCAAAAAGGTCTACAACCGACGTCGACTGTGCGACTGGATGGCCAGGCTCAAAATGTTCTCGCCCGCTCCATCTGGCCGGCTGTAGATTACGGCCTGCATACGCAGTGCCCACTGCACTCCGTGGTCCTTGTAATTCAACTGTACTCTTCTTGTGAATCATCCGTTTCTAGTCATCACGTACCATCAATATGTTTGCAGCCGGGTCTTAGTAGGACCGCGTGACAGTTAATTCGCACCCAATGCCAACCGGACAAACACCGCCCGCATTAGAATTAGCATGCAGTGGCCAGCACAATACATGCATACCTCCGCAGAGACGCCTGGGAGAAGATATCCACGTAATCCAGCATTACATCCCGGATTATTTCCACCGGCAGATCAGCCATCTGCACTTGCGCTCCCTGGTCGACATCTGTGGTAAATACAAGTAGGTATCTGTACGCAGTGGCGGTAGTGCTGAGTCGCCGACGTAATGCACTGTAGCTACAGCTATTAGCTAGCAGTAGAATTAAGAGACGACGGGTAACCTGTAATAAGTATCATGGTACGAGTACAAACTGTGCACCAGAACAAAACATCATTTACAAAAGAATCACTTCCTCTATGCTATCCTCATCGGGGATCGCACCCATTACACAAATCGCGTTTCCCCGTTGTATTTGCATACATATTCGCTGTTTAAAAAACTCTTTCGCCCGCTTTTGGCCAGTTGAAGTTGCTCTACCGTTTCCAACCGTTTCCACTAGCTTTTTAGTACCATCTCCATAAGGTCCGTAAATTTCGATGGCTGCAGCAACGAAATCGTATCTTGCTTGCATCCAAGCGTGTTTCGCTAGTTTCTTCCTTTCAGCGAGTTCGGCTGCTGCGCCGGCGTTCACGGAAGTGCGGTCGATATACGAAATCGCCAGCGTGTCTACGCAGGTGACGTCTATGGCCAGCGGTTTTCCGCGCGCCCACGGTATTAGGGTGATCACGTCCGGCCTTTTCTTATCCTTCACAAACAGACCTTTCGGTTCCATTCTAGAAGGGAAACCGGCTGACTTCAAGCCTCGGGCAAATTCAGCGCTGATTCCGTCATGTCGTGGTAATCTTTCGGCAGACCGTTTACAGCGAAGTCTGTGCCGGCCGAACGCGTTGACCGGCCCACCAGAAACGCATACGTGTGGAGTGGCGATCGGTGCTCTCAGACGCAGCGCAACACTTAAGCGAAAAGCGTTGTCGTCTAACAGATTACCGAGGCAAGCTGCCGGTAAAGCATGGATCCACACGCCTGCTTCCGGGACTGACACCGCCTTAAGATGTGCGACTTCCTCCTGTGAAGTCCGTAGCTTGCGGTCAGCCTTGAAAATGTCTGCAGTGTCGTGGGAGTGCTTTCTGGACATGTCGGAAAGCTTCCGCAGGAAGTTCGTCAGTGTCAGCTTCTAACTTCCAGGCGCGCGTGACGGTAACGACATCCGTTGGCGTCAGTGTCGGGCATAATCTGGAAATCAGTGGGCGCAACAAGGAAGCCGATGCCAAGTATGCAGAGGGAGCTAGCTTCTCAGTGCGTTTGATCCCCAAACCACCGAAACGAGCAGGAAGGGAGGCCTGTAGCCACGTTGGGTGGTTCATCTTTACATCGGCGATAATCTCCGCCGTCTCGCGAAATACTTAGTCCAGTCTGTACAACTCTTGAGGGAACATCCAAGCGAGGGAGGTGCGCAATATGTGTACAATTTTTGGCACTCCTGGGCAGTTCTTCAGCAGGAACAACGCTTGATGTTTAGGGATAAGCTGCAAGCGGCCACACATAGTTCCCAGCTGACCGATCTTTTCATTTATCATCGGGGTTACGGCGGCTGGTAGAAGAGGAGAACCGAGCAAATTTAACTTATCAACGTTTACTATAGCTGGTCCTGGGAATAAACTAGTGAAGTTGGTAGGTTAAGACGTGGTCAAATACTGCTGGTAAAATTCTTTAAAACTCATAATACTTTGTCTCCCAATCAGTCTGGTTTCCGCAACGGGCATTCTTGCGGAACGTTATTAACTTTTAATGGCTTGGAGCTCGCCGGCTATCCCTGCCAAAGCGAACCGGCTGGATTGTCTGACAAGGACGGCAAGCGACCGGATGGGATGACTTTGATTCCTGTGCGCGAAGGAAAGGCCGTGGTATGGGATGCAACTTGTTGGGATACTGTGGCCGTGTCGCATGTGCATGCTAGCTCCCTGAAAGCCGGGAGTGTCGCACAACTGGCGGAAAATTTCAAGCGGCGGAAGTACGCATTCGTCGAGGGCTTGGGCTATTTTTTCTACGCTCTGGCGGTCGTGACGTTCGGAACTTTTGGAACATCGTTTGCGGAACTGATTCGTTTTGTTGGCCGGAAGATCCGCGACGCTACAGGAGAGCCTAGATCCACGGCCTTTTTAAGACAGCGATTAAGTTTGGCTGTAGTAAGAGGAAACGCAGCAGCTGTTTTGGGTACCTTGAGTGCACATCATAAGATTTTGAATGACAATAATGATTATGGGTGTTTTTTCAATGTTTAAAATTTAATCATTTTAATTAGTGTAAACCTGCTGAAGCATACCGATATGTGGATTGGCTGTTGCCCATTAAATGAACTTTTAATGTTAACCGAAGCATGGAAGACCGCAATCGACCACAAGAAAGCGGTCGCAGTTTTCTTCACTGGCTTGAAGGCGGCATTTTCATCCGTCTGCCACGATACACTGGCCCGCGCTGCAAGTTGGATCCGGCCTGATTCGGATTTTGATTACTCGTTATTCTTAGGTTTCTTAGCTTTTCCTTAGGTTTTCCATCCGTCTTAGCCATTTTTAGCTGTCAGATTACAGCTTCGCTGCAGTTTCATGGCCTGCTCTTACTTGCATCGCGTTCGTGTATGTACAGGTTTACACGGTCGGTGACACACAGTCGGTGACACTACAGGTTTGTCACCGACTGCGCTTGCGGTGAGCGCAATCGCGTGCTGCACTATCCGCTGCTGTAAAGCAGCATCGCCCCGTCGCATGACCATTTAGTGTACTTCCCATTACACTCCGTGATTATGATTATGAAGTGCTTACCTGCCGGCGGCAGCGGCTTCTCTACCGGCATGACAACCGCCAGCGCGCCGCAGTCCAGGCATCGCTGGACACAGTCTGCCAGCAGTTGCGCCGTCCAGCGTGCCGGTTCAAATGGATCTTGCTCGTATTCCCAGCAGATGAAAACGGCACTGCTCCTCTCTAGGCGGAAAAAGAATCGATAATAGGGGCCGGCGCTAATCGTAAGGCCAGCCGGATATGCAGCGCCTCCTGCCCGTTTGACCTCGAACAGCAGTCGGTTCTCGTCGATAACGCAAATGCGGTCGGCATGCGCGGCCGGCACGGGCAGCGGCAGCGTGTACTTGACGTAGGCGCCCTCTCGTCGGCCGGCGCCGGCCAAGGAACGCGCTGGCTCATGGACCACCATCTGCAGCAAATGGACGAAGTGCCGCGGGCCGTCCAGACTGGTCTCCGCCAGGCATACCGCGCTTTGACAAGTGGTAACGCCAGGAGTGCGCTCCACTACGACAGCCAAATGCAGCACCAGCGGTTCCTGGCTGCTGGCGCGCAACGCCACGTAGGTGTCTTCATGACATTTGGGAGTACATAAAGAATGCTCGTACAGCAGGTGCGAGGCGATCCAGCGCGGTGGCAGTGCCTCGCAGTGGAAGCTGATGTACAGTGCCCCTCCCGCGTCCGCCACGTCCTCCACGAAGCCCAAGCACCACACGTCGTCGCGGTAAGGATGCTGCAGCACAACGGTGTTGTTGAGGGCCACACTGCGCCGCCGTCGACGGCGTTCATCGACCGGGGGCCGATCATCTAACCGGTGGTCCGCGTGCCGCTGACGGCAGGGCGTGGCTACATCCATTTCCGCGGCACACTGCTAATCAGTCACATGCATATACGCCTCCCGTTAAACAAACTCCCCATCCATACTTCCGCCGGGTATTCGGCTTTTGTGCGTTAGTTACCAGTACCAAATAACAAGTTAACAACTTGTGAACGCGTCCGGAACTGAAGTCAACAACTGAACATGAGCTACCCGGTAGTCTTCGTCACAGCTTTTGTGCCTCCCCAACTTCCCACTAAAACCTAAGAAGTGAAGCAAACATTAGACAAAACATAATTATACTGCCTATATGTTATCTCCCGGCCCTAGTCTCGGGTATCTGTATAATAATACAAGTACGGTGGCGCTAGCGCGCCACCAGCTGTGTTTTAGGTACAGAAACACGAAGGAGATAACGAAGTTCAAAATCGTTTAGACATATTTCAGAGATTTTAAAATGCGTAAAAGCGCGGCGCTATCAGCTATTACTGCACGTTGAACTGTTTAGATATTTAGCAATTTTAATTACTCAGATATTTAGGTATCAAAATACAAATATTTAGATATTTTGATATTCTGAAGCATTAAGGTGACGGCCCCGCTGCGCGGGGCCGGCTTGGATTTCGAGGTATTTAGAAAAGTTTAGAAATATTTAGAAGTATTTAAAAATATAAACATATTCAAATTTTTAGATTTTTGAACAGTAAGATATTCAGGTATTTAAATACTTTAAATACTTTCGAAATTCTGAAGTAAAGAAACTGGAGGTAAAATGTATATTTAGATGTGTATTTCAATATTTAGATACTTACCGGTTAGACAGTAAGATAATGTGATATGTATTCAGATATTATAGTATTTGGAAACATGGATTTTAAAACTCTGGACCGACTAGAAATATTAAAAAAATATTCACTGAACAATAGAGGGGCGCAAACTAGCTAGTGTTTCATATAATTCGCAGCATTATTTGTGTATGTTGCTAAGTTGGAAATCTGTATGTTTTGATCATTCTAGATGCATCTAGAAATTTCTAAATACTGTACTTAAGAGCTAAAGTACTGAAAACCTAACAACGTTTTTAAAACGTTCTGGAAGACCGAAGAATTTTTTTCAAAGTGTACTCTGTAGGTGACCCCTTTGATGGACGCTAGATTTTTTAAAATATGAACGGTTCTGAAATGTGAAGCATGAATTAGGAGATAATTTCGCGAAAAAAAGGACGTAGGAGTTCGTATATGAATCTATAGATAGGTATGAGTAGTCTTCCCAGACCCAGGCATCAGCGCAACGCGTGTTGCATCGATGGCTGGAAGTGGAAGCATGCTAGAAGACCTAGAATACAGCACCCTAGAAGATACAATAATAATACAGATACTAACGATAAGTACACTCAGCCTCAATTCATATTTTTGTTATTATTATTATTACATCAAGAGCAGACAACCCGATCAACGGGACTTCAACGTCTGCTCGGTACAAAAGTAAAACAACATTCAGTAACGACAGATCAGCCATTCGAAGAGCTAATTTGAAAATACCAATATCCTCAACGCTGAGTATCTGCATATTATACTTACTTGCATACACTATACAGTAAGTAGTCATTAAGGAGTAAGTACTCTGTATAGGTAATTATGAGCAAGTATCTTTTGAGTAGAATCCAACCCGCCACAGTGTACTGTAATAAGTACTGGTCATTATTCTGTTATAATAATAATAATAATTCTGTGCAACAGCGCAAGTAAGTAACTACATAGTAACAATAAGTACGTTTACTATTTTAGTGTTTTAAATGCACATCGCGTATTACAAAAGTAACAAGGAAAACAATCATTGACATCATTGCCGTTCAGCTAATTTAAAGGCAAAATACACTTTAAAGGCAAAATACACATTCAGCTAATTTAAAGGCAATAAGTACTGTACAGTCATAACTATTTCACACAGTGGTGTGTTGAGCGTTATTGGGCTTTTCGACTGGGGGGACCATACAGTTCAGTCGGCGCGCAATAACTTTGGAACACGGCCCCCACGGTACTAAGCTCACAGCGGTACCGAATGCGCACCACACTCTCCCGTTGGACGTTGCTATCGATTAGCGTCTACCCAGCCTTCTACAACCACTCAGTTTCCGTACGAGTACCTGCAAGGCTAAACTAACAGTACTCAGTGCTGTACGTGAAAGACGGATTCTTTTGCGCCGTGTGTAACGCAACTGCTACTGAGACTTGGGAATCTTCTGTACAGAGCGTATGTGCCAACTGCCAGGACTACTTTTATGCAAAATCCCCAAGTTACAATACACTGGCAGATTGTGCTACGGCCTTGTAAGCAATATTCCTTATTAATGTTGTTGCCCGTAAATCGTAATGAATTCTTGAATTAGGCAACGCCGAGGTAACTCGTGCATACATTTCCACCTTTCGACAGCGTGGCTCTCAAGCAGAACATACTGATGAAGGACATTAACTTCAGTTGACTGTGGATAGCCAAACGAGAAGAAGTACATACCGTTCTTGTAAGTCCCCGTTCGTACTCTACTATTACAAGACTTATTTGCAATTCTACCCACCTTTTCGGTAATTACTATCATTTTTATATTACTATTATTTTAGTATATTATTAGTATATTACTATTATTTTAGTATATTACTATTATTTCAGTTATTTACTATTATTTTACTATTATTTTAGTATATTATTTTGTAATTACGAAACGTGTACTACTGTACCGTGTAACCGAATTCGTCCACTCTTTATTCACTGTTTTTCAGAAAATTTATTGGAAATTGTGATAATAATTATCTATATTATGTTGCACCGTATTACAGAATCCATCCGCTCTTTATTCATTTCTGTGTGGAGCTGTCAGTCCTGAGAAAAATTAAATTACTACTCCTGGTTCTTATTACTTACTTGCTTATGCTACAGATATATACGTAGATTATATTATTTGTACTTGCCAAGGTTTTTGTATGTCTATACTCATATATATAATAAATTAATGTTTAACAAAACAGTTTTAGAACCAATGGATTTATGCCACTGGGAAAAGACGAGATTTATTTATGCGCGCTGCGCAACCGGGCTTATTCGCTCCAGGTACGGACGCTTCCGGTTATCGAGCACTGACCAGTGAGTTTTTGTTGCACGCGGGCGGTGTCCCATGCCACAGTTGCAAAACCGTACTTATGTACTTACCTGATAAACTTTACGCTTGGTCCCGCCCTATTGACCTTTGCAAACTGAAATTAAACGTATTGTTACAGCTTTCTGCAAACATGAAATTGTCTGAATTTGGCCTGGAAAACGTGCCCTGGTAGGTTAGTGAATAAAAGATATTCGGATGTGTCTCATATTTCGGTCACTTTATTTGGATGTGTTTCATATTTCGGTCACCTGGTGTCACAATTTTCGGACTAACAAAAATCACAGAAATAGCAGCCTTCACAGTAAAATCTTCCCTCATGAATTTCGAAGCATGAATTCACAAAAACTTCCGTAGCAGGAAGGACAAGAACTGGATCGGGTGTAACCGTGCAAGGTAACAACCGCTCTTCCGCGTTTACAAACGTCAGAAATGTGAAATTCCAACATTTTCAAGTTTGTTATGATGACTTCAGACTAGTGAGAAAACATAAAAGAACACGTTGGGCGATCAGCAGCTATTCATGTAGCGCGCCACTTGGCGGGTGGTGTAAGTGACCGAAATAAAAAACCGTACACTTAAGGTGACCGAAATATGAGACGCTTCCAAGTATTCACCGATTTTCTAAGGATGCGTAAATTATTATTTTCACCACATAAAATCGCGTGCTTTAACGTACTTAGTTTATCGCGTGAATGTAGCTGTACTCTTCCAATAACAATCACGCTTTAAACTACTTGTATACTTTACAAAAGTTGTCAGCTGCATGAATTTGACGGTTTTTTACTATAGCGACAGGCCTGCCAACAGGGAGAGCGCACCGGGGCTGCCTGACCCCGGCCCTCAGCGGAAACTTCTGGACGGTCGAAGCGTGAAAGCGAGGGGGCGCAGTTTTGACGCAGTACCGCATGTGGGCGCAGCCCTTCACAAAGGTAAACCTTGTGGCGGGCCTGCATGGAGATCTAAACATTCCACTTCCGCCACGATGATTTCTACACTTGTGACTAGGTAAACGCTATACAATCGACGCAAATCCTATAGCAGATACATCGGATTTCTATCCTTTGAAGTATTGCCGTAAATGCTATGGCACATAAATAATAACATGCTACATTTACTCTGTAATGCGATTACGCGCGAATGTGCTACTCGGTAAGAAGCCGGATGATAAGCACGTAGAAGCGCTTATCCGGGATGTGCAAAAAAACGCCTGTACCATGGATTCACTTCCGCTGAAGCATTCCAGTCAAAGGACGTCCAGGCCTATTGATTAACATGAACGAGACATAAGGTGACATGCGTAACTGCACAGCAACAAGATTCTTTTTCTTCTTTGTAGCAGCCATAATATTGCAGTCAGTGGTGGCGCTGTCGAGCTGGAACGCGACGTTGGAGTTCTGTGCTACAGACAGCGTCTTCTTGCTTGCTGTTCCTCGCCACACGAGAACGTTAACGGGAGTCATATTACCAACAATCCAGCCCCATCATGTTCCACAAATGATCTACGTACAAACATTGGGAAGGAACTCTGTCCACGAAAGTGTTAAATAGTGAGTCAGTCCAGCAAAAACAACTGTGAACTACAGAGTGCATACAAGTACATAAATGCTTGTTAACGAACTTTCATGACACCCTACTGCGTGTTTCTGCTTTTACTAAGTAAAGCAAAAGCAAATAACTTTCCCTGTAGAAAATTTTTATTATTTTATTTATTTTTACTAATTGTTATGGAATTTCTAGCAGTTTTGCTGTGAAAAAATTTGCCGGCTTCGCGCCAAAACTCACTGATTGTGTGAACTGTGTACAGGATAATATTTTTGCTTCCACTGCAGTAAAAAATTGACGACTTTCGCTATTTTTTTTATAAAATCTCCAGGAATTTTTTCAGTGTCATTTTTGACCTGACATCTTGCTGTACAAAAAATTTTGATTCGGTTTCGTACTTTATATAAGTATGTTATTTGTAATACGTGTAATAAGTATGTTATTTGGCTATCTTTGGGATTCTTGGGTTTTCCGTGCCGCTCCCCCCAAGCAAGTTAAATTCGCCTGTTCGTGTCCTCTATATAGAAAATATATACGGTATACGTGTATTACAGTACCAGTTTATTAGGTCGATGTATGCCTCAGCAAGTCACACACGAATGTGCGGACAGCAGGAAGGACAGGATGAGAACCGGGAAGGACTGAGCGTTGTAGTGGCTCACAGTACACACCGGGGTAGTCGCATTACATTACTACATGTAACCGCCGCGGGAGATTAGCGGGCGGTCGAACGCTGTACAGGGCGGCCGATGGATGTTGTCGCATGAAGTGGCCTTGCGTCAGGGGAATGGCAAGGAAGAGCAGGTAATTTCGATTGGCTAGCCGTTTATGGAGTGGCTACTCGCTCATCCAGTGCCCGTTGAGCGGGCGTTGACTGATAAGCTTCAGATTAAGTACCAGTCGTGAATAAATTTGAACACAAATTTCAACCTGTCGTACTCGTCCAGTCTTGCAAGCCCGTCCGGAAGCAAGAGATAAAGTGCATACAGGGAACATAGGCAGTTACACAAGCACGCCGCGGCTACACGTGCATGTACGTCCATTTAGTACATAAATTAATATAACATCTATACTACATATTAAATTATACCTCCCGTACAATTTTCCAGTTTACACTTTAGCTCTTGTTCCAGGACGGGCTTGTTCATATGCCAGGAGCACAGCAAAGCGCCGCACGGAGCAAGCGTGACTTCGCTCAATGTCATAATGCTTTGCCGCACAACGGAATCGCTGCCGCCTGCTGATGGCTATTACTTACTGTAATTTTATCACAAAGATTACTGCTCCCGCACTGGGCGGCATTCTCAGCGTGCCTGTGCTGCTACTGCGTAGTGCGTACCGCCGCTGGACGCACAGTGGACAGAGTACAGCTCAAGTTTTGAAGAGGTCAGACAGACTATTGAGCTGCGTTCACGGAGACTGACGTAGTGTACTCGTATGAGGCGTATCCGATTATTTTCATTTTTTTCTGCATGTGCCGTCTGCTGAATGCTGATGTGACACGCTCTCAAAATTTTGGACTTTTAGTGTAGTACTGTATTATAAAAATATTTCTGTCATCACTGAGTTTCTGCTTTGGAGAATACGTTTGCATCATAAATTTCCACACTTTCTTTTTCTCTCCATAAGTTCAAAATGGCTGGCTATGCCGAGGTTAATTTTGCGGTTTATTTGAGTAAGTTGCATGCTTTCAGCCTGCTCATGTGAATTCATTGATAGTACAACATCTGCGTTCGTGTCATGTGAATCAGTGAATGGAATCCGTTTTTTCTACTGATTGCTTTGTCGTTCCAGCCATCGAGGAGTCTGACAGTCTAGCTAATACTCAACTTCAGGAGTCGGTGCGAACGGCGATCATGGGTTGGATTCAGGAAAAGGAGGAAAACCGCGATGAGCGGGTCATTACGGCTCCCGAGGCAGGAAATCCGTACGTGATCGCCTTCCGTCTGCAGAACCTGCCTCGTTGGGTACACGTCAAGATCCCCAGATTATGGGACGGCGAGGATGAGCGTTTCTGCGCCGGTGTTGTGATCTATGGTCGATTGTAAGTGCATTTGTGCTGGCGAGAGAAGAGAGTTCTATCTAGTTCTTGGAGTACCTCCATTGTTCTGTTTGCGAGAACTCTTCTTGCAGGCGGGACGCCTTGGGTGGGGGCAGTGTCTTTCACTGCACGGTGGAGCGTGTGACCGGGCACAATGTGGGCGAACTGGGACCTGGCTGTGACCGAGAGCAACTCGAGTGTGCAGCTTATTTCAGTAGGTTTGACGCTTGCAGGCTGGTGTGGCGAGCAATTAATTCGTTGTTATCACGACGTTGCAGCGGCCGCGGAAGCGGAAACCCTGCGCAACGACGAGGCGGGTCGGCAGGCTATTCTGGCGGGGGTGCAGGATGTGGGTGGCCGGAGCGAGATCCATGCATATGTGCTGATGAAGCAATTCCATCTGGAAACGGTGCCTTTTTGGCTGCACGTGCTTGCCTCGCAGGGGGCGGGAAGCACGGGCCAGCTGGAGGTGCTGATGGAGCGCATCGGGGGCGCCATGTACGTATGCGGAAGAGTGACGAGACTGGGCCATCTGCTACCGTTTTGGTCACTGGCTAACTGACTCTTGTGCACTTCTGCCGTCCTGCCCGACGCTGGCCGACTGCTGGATCGAGTAGCTATTCAGCGCGCCCCTGGGGGCGGCGGGGCGGGCGGGCTTCCGGGGGGCCGCGGCGGAGGCGGAGCGGGGATGGGCGGAGGTTTGGGCCGAGGCCGCGGAGTTGTGCCGGCCATTTTTCTTGAGCCGTGAATGCGTCTGCGGCGCCCGCTGCGGAAGTAGTGCGGACTGAGGAGGCGCCGGTGTTTCCTGTTAATCGTTCTCTAATTTGGCTCATTCTTATCTGCTGTTGATGTGAACTGGATGGCTATATTTTGCTGATCGAGTGTTAAACTGTTAATGAAAAAACAGCGAAAATAGATTGCGGTACAATACAAAATTAATCATGGCACTTGCAAGCTATTATAATAGGATAAATTATTACTGTACGTGTACAGTGCACGCTATACTGTCAAACAACACTGCACACATGAACGCTATACTGCACAGAAATGGCAGTGTTGGTAAGATCTTCGGATCGCGCGTTCTCGGGCAGGGGCTCGACTAGTGGCGCCGGCGGTCGGTCGGTCAGCATGGCAAATGTCCGACTAAAACGTCACCTGTTGCGGTTAAGTATTAGGCGACGCCGCGGTTCCTGGATTGGTCGTCCGAGCATATAAGTATATCTCAACGTCAACTGGACACCCGAATCCTCTGTAAACCAGTTACACATTAATATACAGACATGCGGCGTTCTCCTCAAATTAAATATACAGAAAAATTTAAAATCCTATTTGGTAAAAGCACGCAATCAGAACGTTCTTACGGTTTTGTATTATATCCTTGGTCCGGTTTTTTCCCGCCCATCACAACAAAGTATTTTTTGTTTTAATGCACGTACGGCACGATCTTTAAAAGCTGCGAGCAGGAAGAATAAAGCATTGAATGTGCTTGTGTCGTCTGGCAGGTCGCAACAACGCCAACACCGGCTACCGTCCGTTGTCTTCCCAGGGCGGTCGCGCTCTGCCCATGTACCACGAAGGCCGCGACACGGAGAGCGAGAGCGGCGCGTTCCGGCCGGCGGCCTCCGACCCTCGACCGCAGATGCAACCGGCTCCCAACCGCCCCTTGGACCCCCGTTTCCAACAATTATCCAGCAACACCGTCGACGTCCACGACCCGCAGCAAGGCAACGCCGGACAGGGCCCGCACAGCCAATGCACCGGCTCCCACCAGCCCTGGCCCCTCCCCTGCCCCGACAACGGCGCCCCCCGCCACCAGCCCTGGCAGGACGCCGCCTCGGGGCGGGAGCAGCTGCTCTTCGGCAACGAGACCAACCAACGGATGCTGCCCAACGGCGCCGGACCGACGGCGGGCGAGCCAGCCGGGGAGATGCATGCGGGGAAGGTGGTGTTCGGACCGGAAGGGCCCCAGGAGCAGCCGGCGCCATGCCACCCCTGCCAGCAGCCCGCGGCGAATAGAATAGTTTAATTTTATCATGGTGCAATGATCAATCCGTGAGGTAACCCGTATACCGGCCGTTTTTGCACAGCATGGGAACTTACATTTTTTACCGAGCAACGTTTACACAACAGATTAGTTTCTTTCGGTCCTTCGTTCTGTACCTCATAATTATGTACAATAGCATAGCGCAAAGCTAAATTATACATTCAGAACACGCTGCATTCTGATCTCTGCAATGTGCACTACTACTGTGCAACACATAAGACAGATACCTCTTGCCTTACTTCGGATAACCTATGAATTACTATGAATAAAGCATATAATTTTTTATGAGCATTTGTGAGCACGAACGCAGAGCAGCGGTGATAACTCGCGAATGGTTTTTTCGGACTCGCAACTGGCTTTATCCCACTCATTACCGGCTGAAACCATGGATTCTCTAGGGATATCACGCACTAAATATTCCGTAAAGCAAAGCAAAATTGTGCCGGGCCTTGGGCTGGTGACATGTTGAGGTAGCGTAAAACTGACATTCCCAGTATACAAGTACCAGCAAAAAATAATTTTTCTCTCCTGTCTGCCTGATACAGCCGGATCGCGTGACGCGGACTGACAAGGCTGGACACTTCCCTGTGCATGTGTTGGTACTCAACTTTGCAACTCTGGACAGAGCCACCGTAATGTTGCTGGCGGCGGTTAGGGTAGGCCTGGAGCGAGCATGATTTGCACGCAGCGACCGCCCGCGGCCTGCAGTATGCGTCAAAGATGATAACCGCCTCCCTCGGGAGCTTGCATGAGTGGCAGGGTTTGCTTACGTGACCACGCTACTCTGCTACGCAGCTCGTACGGCTGAGCGCGTTGAAAATGAACGTCTTGAACGTACGACGTACGTACGGAGTGTAACTTACACTCATATGAATGTGTGTTTATTGCCGTGTTTGCCAGCGTGCACACTTGTAAGACGTTTTTTCAAGGTGGCTTCAGCGTGTTTTTCTTTGGCGACGAGCTGATGATAATCATAAATTCATCATGATAATCAGTTGAATGTGTTGTTTACGTTGTGCTGTCGAGGCAATAATAATCGTGTCAATCGCGCTCCACGTTCGCACTGATGTTGCCAGATCGATGGGGAATTGGTGTTGAATCTGTTGATCCGTGTATTGTATTCCGTGGCAGCATGACAAGAAGCGTGTTGTGGAGTGCAGGGTTCTCGATGCAGAGGAAGAGCGCAAGTTGATCATTGGGAGTGGATCTGCGTTATTATCTTGTTGTTTGGCCCTTTGGGCCTCCATCCGTCTGCGCTGCGTGGCTGGCCGTTGAGATCTAGAGTTGGCCTGGTCCTGGTGTTCGTGCAGAGCCCAGCGCAGTGTAATTTCCACTGGGGGAGGGATTCAGTCTTTGTCTGTTGGCTGCTTTGGAGCTGAGCAGTGCAGACTGCAGGTTAATCCGATTGATATTATCCCGTGTGACGACTGCAGGTGGTGGATCCCGTCTTCCCCCGTCCTGCGACAAGCAACTGTGCAACTGCCAGCTATCCGATCCGGCCACAAGAGCAGGTACGTCGCAAAAGCGGGAGACTGGGAAGGTGAACGGGAAAGCGTTGGGGCTTGCGCTGTCTGTCATACAGTGACGACTCGTCATTGAATGACTAGCTAGCTGCGAACAGCTAAGGTAAATGAACACCACTGTCATCACTTGGAGGGTCGGTCGTGGACTTGGGACGGATGGTCCTGTTGGTCCCTATCAGTGCCAGCTAGTTCATTGTCTGGCCTTTCGTCGAGCGTAGAGTGCGTGCGATAGCATCAGTGAGTCAGCGGCATGGGTACGGTGCAGACTGCAGACTGCGTTAACGTTGCGTCTCAACGCGTATACAAGCTGTTGCCTGTTGAGCTAGCTGTAGATTGTGCAACACCGCTGGACAGAGCAGGGAGCGGGGACGCAGGGCGGCGTCGCTGCACGCCACGGCGGTCTGCTGGCAGTTGGCCAGCCGCCGCAGCCGGAGGGGTGGCTGTTGCGGCTGGATTATGACCAACGAGGTGCGTACTCGTAGTGACTGCGTACCCATGCAGATGATGCAGTTGGGCAGGGGATACTGCGTCCCGTCCCGTCCCGTCCCGTCCTCCCTCCCGAGTCCCGCTCCCGACCATTCCCTGGGACCGCTGTCCTGACCGCGTCGCCGGCCGGAGCGGCACCCGCTCCCGCTCCTGCTTCAGCCGTCATGTACGAGTACAGCGCAGCAACACGGGCAGCCATCTCCGCCTCCCCTCGTTGTGCTGTTGTGCAGTAGCCACCGACGGGCAGCTGGTATGTGGCAACAGTGAAAAGCGCGCTGAAACAACGGCGAGCGCCTGCATTGTTGCTGCATTTCCGGTCCACGCTTATGCTCATCGCGCCAAGTTGCCAACTGACAGTTACGTTACGTGCCCAGATAAGCCGTACAGTCAACTTCACCCGGCTTGGCTTATGCCTTATGGCTTATACTGGAAGTGCCTTCAAATCTGTAGATGCCTGCATAAGCATTCGACTGTTTCATCAGCTGTACGCTACGCACTACACTACACACCGTACACGCTCAGCTAAAATGTCTTAAAATATGCAGGCTCACGTTGGCGGTAGCAGCTAAGCAGCGCCTTGAAATTGAGCGGAAAGCGGGCATACACATTACACACGGGCACACCAGCACAGTCAAGTGCAGGCGCAGGCACAGTAGTCAGTCGTGTTGCTAAAATTACATTACTCGCTCGACAAGTGCAGCTGTGCCGTTGTGTATCGCGCTGATCAGTACAGCGTTCCTTGCCGTTGCAGTTACGCCTCCTCTGCCCACTGGCCGGCATCCCGCCTTCCCGTTCCCGTTCCCGCGGCCGCCCGTCATCCCTTCCTTCCCCTTTGCAGCGTGGGATACCGCCATTGCAGTTGTCCTAGCTGCGTTCATCTGATCCCTGCTGAAGTGGATTTGTTGTAGCGGGATTTATTTGTATTTCCCTTGCGGACTATCTTTTTCTCCCGGCCGCCACGATGAGCAACATGAACGCGCCGAAACCCTGCGCCAAGTGCGACGGCAAAGTCTATCCTCTGGAGCAGCTCAAATGTCTCGACAAGGTACGCTATTAACGTTGGCTACTGGGGCATTAAGTGTCCAGTATCAGGCTGAGTATTTCTCGGGTTGTGGTGCTTTTTCTGTTTTTCTTTTTAAAAGACTGCGTGACCTGTTCAATTCGGTTTCGGTTAGTCGGCTTTGTTTGTGGGTAGCGTGGGAATGTGGCGGGGAGTGAAGCGGGGCGGTCGTGTTGTTTGTTTAGCGTCTTGCTGTCTTAACTGGGCCACCTGCGGCTGCCGTTGAGCGTCTTGACTGCCAGGTAGACTGCCACTGCGCAGTCCGCTGATTAATTCCCCGCTTAAACTTGAACCGCGCCGGCCTTTGACGACGCTCTCACCGTCAAGTGCCCGCTCGTGCCGCGCTGCCACTTGACTACTCACCCGCTACACGCCGCTCGCTCCCACAAACCTTCCATTCATTTCTTAACCTTTTTTTTTAAATTAGAAAATGTAACATATTTATTATTGGAAAATTTTGTAAGAAACATTTCTGACGAAAACTCTTCTTGAGAAATAATTCGGCAGCTCGAATATTCTGTTTCGTAATCGGTATACCGCATCAGCGCATCGGTGGTTTATGGGAAAATTGACGAGGCGGGCAACGGTGTTGTTGGGTGCATTTCCGGTTGCGCGTTGTGCCGCTTCGATGGCAGCATTGTGCTGCCGCATCTTTGCCGCTCGCCGTGAAATTCTTCGCCTATTCGAGGCACAAATTATTTCCGTCCGCACAAGGACTAAATTTGAATCATCGGCGGGTTATTTTGGCGATGAGCACAAGTATCACTTGTGTATTTGCCGGTGACGCTGTCTTCTGTGAGACACAGAACGCCAGCGTAGCCGACGAGATAGGCGATTATGCGCGGCTCGTAAAAGCGCCGCGCTGTTGACCGTTAAGCCATTAAACTGCATCAGGCCGGGCGCTTTACGAGCCGGCTCATTGCGGCGGCATAAAATGCCCCGTCTTTCGTTTTCACGCTAAAACGACGACCCACGCAGACACAACAAAAGCGGCTCGAAGGCCTTCGCACGGCGCTGCGCCGTGCATTGTGACGCGCACCGGAAGTGAGTGTCCGCGCTGTGTGTGTGCGGGGAAAGGTTAGGTTGGCGCGGGGGAAGCAGCGCCGCCCGCTCGGCGGTCGGCCGTTCCCGGTGTGCACATGCCGTTGACAATCTCTCTGGGAGTGAGTGTTGTTGGGGGCCGAAAATAGCCCGCCGCAAATGTCAGGCCTGAGTCATCCGTGTTGTGCTCTGGAGCGCAGCACAAGCCGCGCACAGTGTAGCCGCAACTATAAACAGTGCAGTTGCTTTTTATTTACAATTATGCAGGCTCAGGCCGGCTGCAGTCGGTAGCGTGTACTTATTCGGCGTTAACGCAGAGTGGAAACAGCACCGGGGGGAAGAGCGCACACATGTGTATACAGCAGTGTGTACGTTGCATATACAGTCATACAGATACAGCAGCTGAGCCGTTTAGCTAAGACGCCGGTGGAGGCTGGGAGCTGATCTGGTCATACAAGGCAAAAACTAATAATAATGTTGCAGTCACTCTCACGGCAGCGTTAGCGCGCCGGCTGGGACGGTGTTTGCTGTTGTGAGGCGATTAGTGGATGAGGATGATTGATCTGCAGCTATGCCTATGCTAGCACTGTACTGCCGCTCGAGCACAAACACGCAGTCAGCCAGATTTGGCACCGGCTACTGCTTACGCGCCGTCTCGCGTTTTCAGCAAATATCAACACGTTCATCCGTTGCTTGCTTACCGAAAATGCACACGGGCGCTCACATGATAGCGTCTATTTATTTCCAATTTAATTGTAATTACCGGCAACGTTCTGGTCAGCCCAACAAAACGTCGGTCGGTGTGTGCCGATTGACGAGTTGAAACCATTTCCGGTGAAGAATTTAGCCAAGATTTTACGCAGTTGTACTACGAGAATTTTGCCCATAAATCATATGAAAAATACAGAATAAACCGGAATAAATAAAAATTAATTTTCGAAAATAGGGAATGATTTGTTTGGTAAGATTGGCATAGTGTCACGCAAAACAGGCAAGCGTGCAAGTATGCGGAAGGCGTGTAACTAGTGACTTCCGCTGGCCGGAAGTGCGCAGCTTTCCGCTTCTATGACGGTGACGCCGAGTCGCGCAGTGTATGTGTGTGATTCTCTTCGTAAAATAAACTAGAGGAGCTGCGTTATTTAAGTGATGTGTTGCATTGTTGACAGATCTGGCACAAAGGATGCTTCAAGTGCACGGAGTGCGCCATGCCGCTGAGCATGAAGAACTACAAGGGCTACAACAAGTTCCCCTACTGCGACGCGTAAGTCCCATTGACAAATACAAACCACCATTAGCGTAATTAATGGCAGCGCAAAACGTGTACGCATGATGTGCCGTGAATCTCGTTCAATCCATTGTAAAACTCTTAATCAACGACGCTGCACGGCAACAGCGGCGCAGTCAGCCGCGCCGGTACACAGGAAGAATCGCGATTATAAAAGCAATTTCTACGAGCATTTGTAAACGGAGAAAATACAGGGAAGATTAGCCCAACTAGCGCGTCAACAAGAGCTTGTCCAGCGCGGTGGGAGTACGAGAGAGGCAGAGAAAAGAGGCCGGCAAGGCGAGGCAAGGCACGGAGGTCGATTGCTTCGATTCGGGGAGTTATCACAGCGGATTCAGTCCGTCGTTGTCCAGGTGCCGTTGCGGATGCGGCCGCGCCGGCACTGCGCCTCGGCGTGCCACCACTGCAGCAGGTCGGGGTAGAAGGAGGTGGGCTGGCGGCCGGCCTGGGCGTGGCCGTGGCCGTGGCCGTTCAGCCGGTCGCACAGCTGGCACAGGTGGCCCCGAGTACACGCCGCGCCGCTCCACCTTGAGGCGCGCCTTCCACGCGAAGTAGGCGTTGTAGGCCGCGGGGTTGCTGTCCAGGAAGAGCAGGTAGTCCGCCAGGGCCTTGACGCTGGGGAAGTCGCGCACGTCGATGTAGGAGCCGGCGGGCGCGTGCACGCTGCTGTAGTTGGCGCCGCTCAACACCACCGGCACCTGCACCCACAAAATAATTACTGCACAATTTAAAAAACTACATAATTAAAATATAACTACTGGAAAGTTAAATATAAACAGTAAGCCATTAATTAAAATAAAATTACTGGACAGCTGAATAGAAAAATAAAACTATCAATTAAAATAAAAACTAAATAAAATTACAGGAAAAATAAATAAAAAAGGACTAGAATTTAAAATGGAAATTTCTGTATAGTTAGGGCAATTTGTGACGTACCACGATCTGTTGCATGGGATTGAAGAATTTCTCGGTGATGTAGTCGCGGCACAGCATCGACTCGAAAGACAGATAAAATTTGTAACGTTCCGTCAACAGCTGGTTGCAGTCTTTAACGGTGGCGTTGGGGCAGCGCAGGTTGCCGCAGGCCCCGTAGATATCCACCGGCAGGTACTTTTGCAGCTCGCGGACATAGTCCAGCCGGCCGGACTTGGCCTGGCAGTTGCTGGCGAACCAGGCGACGAGGTGCGTCTTGCCGCGGGTGTAGTCCTCGTACAGCGGCGCCGGCGGGCTGCTGGCGGTCTCATCGTCGACGTAGTAGGGGCGGATCAATCCGTAGCCGATGGGAATGTCCGAGTCCTGCCGGTAGGTCATGGTCAGGTTGAACTGGTTATTCAGCTGCGCGAAGACGGCGGCGTCGCGGTTGTCGCCGGTCAGCTGCGCCGGCTCCAGCATGTAGAAGACCCACAACTGGCGGGCGTGGCGTCTGCAAAAGGCGATTATGTCGGTACTGACAGGCGGATGAGTATTGTGATTGTAAAAAGTGGATGGGTGATTAGGAGCGTCCCGCGGGAGGACGTCAGCTCCCGCGGGATACGAGACAGATCATGTTACGCATCTGCTCACGCTCACACAACCGACAATCACGACGGGCTGCGTTGTGGTGCCAAGCCGAGCTCATGTTACACGCTTTTAGCCTACTTTCCCGTGTATCTCTTGACGGATATTCAATATGTTGACTAACCGTTTGGGGAAGAAGTGGGAGAGGTCGTTGATGCGGCGCAGATAGAAGGCGTTGACCAGGACGGCGTCGGCCAGCTTCCAGGCGTTGGGCTCGGAGGTGAGGTCGCAGCCGCAGGGCAGCCGTTTCCTGACGATCTCGGCGCGCTCGCGGTAGGGTTTGTAGTCGAGTAAACGGCTCTGGCGGTCCCACACCAGGATGATGGGGGCGGGCCGCGGCGCGGCGAGGGGGTGGAGCATGCTGTGCAGGCCGTGGGAGCTGAGGAGCAGGATGAGGAGGACGAAGAGGCCCAGCACGAGGAGCACGACGTAGCAGTGGCGCCGCACGCGGGCCATGTCGCCGTCGGGGTCCGGCGCTTGGAAGCGGCCGCCCACCGGCGACAGCGAGTGGTAGGGCAGGCTGCGCATCGGGGAAAAGGACGACTCGATGTCCTATCGGCTATCGGTAATCGTTAGATGCGTCTGCAATGAGGAGAGCGATGGGAATGAGTGCTGCTGCCTGGCTGCGCTGAGCGCTCATTTAGTCAGCCACTCGGCTGCGTATCAACTGTATTTAAGTGGATCTATAATCTGCAGTTATGTAGCTAAGACGGCGCTTGACAGTAGAGAGATACAGAACAGTGTGTGTGTGTGGGATGTCGATTGGGAGAGCGAGCGTTGCGTCCGTGTGGCAAGTGACAGACAGGCCGGCGCATAGCGTACAGTTATTAACTGGGGAATGCCGGGCGAGAGAGGCTGTCATTGGGGGCAGCAGCGGATGTCCGTAATTGCGCCTGCATACATAATCGCAGTGCAGATTCAGGCTGAGGCAGGGAATGGGAACAGGACGGCGCATCAGCAGGCAGTTGGACGGGCAGGAAGAAATCCAATAAGATCATTAGGCGTAAAGGCAGTGTGTGTGCTGCGGCAGCGCTGGCATATCCCGCGGCTGGTTGAGCACAGTTGCAGCAGTGAAGGGAGCAGGTCGGCTGGAATGCATTCCCTGCTTAGCGCTGATTGTTGCCGCTTTAATGCCTGCCTGCCCCCGCTGCAACGGCAATCCCTCCGTCCAGCCAGCCTGGACGGAGCGAGCGTCGCCAGCGGATAACTGGCGGGCATCATGTGGTTGCTGTATGCGCGCTGGCAAGGCGATTAGCAGCCACACACACACACACACACACACACAGGTCCCTCGGTATGCGTGCGCCTCATCCTACCACACAGTCACGGTACAGGGCTCGTTGCTCTCTTACCTGTCGCGTCACACTCCTTCATCCCGTCGCCATAACACTGTCCCGTGCCGTCGCCACGGAACGCCGACCAAAGCAGTTGGCCAGCGCTGGCACCTGTTGCTTGTTACCCGGACACGATACAGATTGCACGCGATCGCCCCCAAACGGAAGACGCGGTACGGTGATAGCGTGCGGTAGGTGCGCAGGCGCTGAGAGACACCAACTACATGAAGAAATAAATTCACCAATTCCGATTGCGCTGTCTACGCTACCATCGCTGCCTGCCACAAATCGTCTTCCCTCGTTGTTAATAACGTGGTAGAAGTGACGAAGGGGAAAAGGAAATACGAGAAGTGCAGTAAAAGTGGAGGATATGCTTGGAAAGCTTAACGATAAACTTGGCTGGTCGATGTTGACTGCTGCAGCTGAAATAAAATGTTGTTGACACAGCCCGATTTGTCGGCTGTGGCAGACTGGCAGCGGCTGTAACGTTTAACGACTCGCGCTCGGAATCGCCAAACGAGTCTGTTAACGTGCCGTGACTCGCTTTACGCCTTGTACAACACCCTTTCGACGCGGTAGCGTCACGAACGATCAATCACAGTGCGTAGCGAGGCGGGCGTGGTCGGACGGCGGCTGGTTCGTAACTGCGTATCACGCATGGGCAAAGGAAAGTGGTCGCTACCGCTGAGCGGTAGCGACGGCGACAAGAATGACTTGATTAATTTTACTTTTGCGTCAGTTATCTGTATTAATTTAGTACCTTTTATTTTTCTCTGAAATTCGGCGTAACTATTGGCTTTCTAATAGTCATCGTCTCATGAAATAGTCAGGCTAATCATTGCTTGATATGAAGGAGAATCAAGATGACACGAATGCGTGCTTAATAATTGCCGGTCATGCGTTGCTGCGGTATATACAGTATCTATCTGTAGTGATAGGACAGTAATCGCTGCAGGTTATACCATAGGTCACAGGAAGCGGAATTTCTTATCGGTCCAGCCGGATGACTGGTGTGCATTTGTAGGCACGTGCCGAAGCCGTCCTTCACAACCATCACGGACACGCCGGAGAATCGCCGGCTGGCGGAGAACACGGCCAACCAGAGCGGCGTACGTGCGCCTTCAAACAAATTAAACTAGCGACGGTGCGTAAGGACAGGCGCGTGTTACAGGTGCTGTACCACGCGGACTTCGAGAAGACCCGCGGCAAGTACACGACGGTGGCCGACGACCCGGAGACGCTGCGCCTCATGCAGAACGCCAGCACCGGTAGGCGCGTGACCTTGACCTTCTTCCTTATATCGCGCAGTGCAGCTGCTTGTCTGCTTTAGTGTCCAACATCGGCTACCACGGGCTGCACGACCAGAAGCAGGAGATGGAGAACCAGCGCGGCCGCAGCGACGGCGGCTACGCGGATCCTTCCCAACAACAGCAGAGCTACGTCTCCAACATCGGTCAACAGAACCCGGGCCAGGCGGAGGAGCCGCGCGCCACCATCGAGTACCAGCACGCCGCCACGCCCAAGATGTGGCAGAACGGCTTCCCGCCCATGCAGCCGCCAGGTACGTCAACTAACCTGTTTTCAACCCGCACGAATTAACCGCTCGAACCCGCATGTTAACCCCGCCCCCGCAGGTGCCAAAACCCCGCCTAACAAGACTAACCCGCCCCCGCGCACTGACAGCACGTCGCGCTCTGGTCCACCGCAACCGCAGCCGCTGACCGCCTCCAACAGCCTGAATAAAGCGCCCTCCGCGGCGTACGGCGTGCTGTGTACGTCACGTGCGTAGCGACACGCTTTCACAGTAATCACGGGAGTTGTCGTTGCAGCGGCGCAGGCCGCCAAGCCCAAAGTCGGCTCGCTGGCCGACTACGACCCCCTGGGCGAGGGCGGCCGGGGCGGTGGGATCCCGCCGGCCTACAATCCCCAACCACCGCAGCAACAACAACAACAGGCGCCGCCACAGCAGCCGGCATATAATCCGCAACAGCAACAAGGTACCGGTTGTCTAATCTTCCTGCGAATAAGTTGTGTATTGTGTATACGAATCAAACAGGACCGCGACCGGCGTATCAGCCGCAACCGCCGTCATACCAGCAGTACGGCCAGCAACAACCGGCGCCGGCTAGCCAACCCTGGCAACAACAGCAGCGCGGCGGTCCCGCTCAGCCGCAACAGCAGCAGTCCTGGCAACCGCCGCAACCAGCGTACGGCCAGCCGCCGCAGCCGCAGTACAACCAGAACCCGAACCAGTACAATCCGTCGCCGCAGCCCCAACAGCCGGCGCAGCGCCCGGCCTTCCAGAGCCAGCAGTCCGGTCCGAAGCCCTACAGCCCGCAGCCGCAACCCCAGTCCCAACCGACCTACCAGCCGGCATCCCAACCGCTGTCCCCCGGAGCCGGCTACTCGCCTGCCTACCCCCAACAACCGCCCTCGCAACAGCAGCAGCAACAGCGCCCGGGACAGTACGGGGCCGCGCAGCCGTTCGGCGGCTCGCAGCCCACGCAGCCGAGCTACGGAGGGTATGGGCAGCAGCCGCCGGCGCCGGTGTCGCAGCCGGCCTATTCCTCGCCCAGCCAGCATCAGCCGCAACAGCAGCAATACGGCCGACCGCAGCAGCAGGCGCCGGCGTCGCAGAGCGTCACCTGGCCGCCGAAACAGGCGGAGCCGGTGAATAAAGGCGCGATGCCATGGCAGCAGTCGGCGGGCGCTGTGCCGGCCGGTTACGAGGCGCACCGCACCACCACGACAACGACGACCTACACGACGCAGCAGCAACGACCCGCCGGACCGGCCGCTGCCCTCAAACCATCGGTACAGCATTTATTCGAATGTTATTCACTAATTTACTCAGTAGATCATCGTTGGTTGAAGTATTTTCGGAATTTATTACTGGAAACTGAGCCTGGCATTCTTCCGTGGTTTTGATGTATTGGTGAACGTTTGCAGAAGACGTACAAAGCCATGTACGACTACAATGCCGGCGACGTGGACGAGGTCAGCTTCCGCGACGGCGACTTCATCATCAACGTCCAGCCCATCGATGCCGGTCAGTGCGAATTGATCATCCACTCGCAGAATCCAACGTTGTAGCTATAATAATCATAATTGGAACAGTACAGTAATCAAACATTAATAACTGCATAACCATTCATCATTTTTATATAATAAGAAGAATAACCAAAATAGGGATGTAATAAAAATAATAGTGATGACAAGGGTATAGGAGAATAATAAAACTATAGATAATTCTACTGGAAAGAGAAATACTGATGAATTATAGTCAATGCAGGCTGGATGATCGGGACGGTGCAGCGGACGGGGAAGAGCGGCATGCTGCCGGCCAACTACGTCACGCCGGTCAATTAGCGCAACGGAAGGATCTTCCTTCCCCATCGCTTGTCTCACTCAAGTCGGCACGTGCCATTCTGACATGCAGCGCCAAGCAGCCAATGACAGACAGTAGCAGATGGACAAAATAGTAATATAAAGTGTAGATGAATACGGTCTTCTTTCTAATGCCGTCAGCTGGTATCAGCTGGTGGAATCGTCTGTTGCGTGCATGTTGTGTTTGTACTTAATCTCTCATTCTTACCTTTGCCTTCGACTTGACGTTGCTCCGCAGTCCGGACGCATTTTCTTTCTACTGTCACTTGTACTCCCTTTTACACACCGTTTACTGGATCGGTTTTTAGCTGTTTTTATTCGTCGGTTGTCTTCTTCCAGAGTTTTATCCTGGCGAAAGCTGGCTTTTATTGGCTTTTACTGTTTTGACAGACGACTTTTTTTCTGCCTTCTCCAGGCCTGTGTATCTGTAGATAGTTATAGCGGGCTGGTTAATGTTAATAATCTGTTTTGCTGGTGAATCTGATCCATGTGTAGATCTGTTGTGCCTAGTGCGCGATTTCTCTTTTATGCCGTCTGCATCATGAGTCCATGACATCGGCATTCACTAATAAAAATCAAGGAGATAGACAAGTATCTGTCTTCTCTGTACGCAACGCACGCAACTCCGAGACAGCTGTGTTACCGCTCACAGTTTACGCTTTTACTTTTCAGAAATGTAAATGAAAATGACAATTCACAAGATGATAAGAAATAATTAAAACCTATAATCTACCGATACTCGTCGTCGTATGAATATGAATGTAATTAGTGTACAATACACCTGCGCAGGCGAATTCTTATATATTATTATTAAATATGAATGTTAGTTATTACGCGTTTCACTATCAAGGAGCCGACGACTTCTTAGGGCGGATGCACTGTTCACTGTACAGTCGGGGAATTCGTTGAGCAGGCGGCAGTCACGTTCGGAAGGTTATCTGTGTTTACGTTTTTGTCGTTTTAGCAGTGAGTCGTGATCTGGAAATTTGTGATTTTAGATTATTGCGCGCTTGGCCAGCTAGTTCGATACATCTCTAGCAAGTGCACCGTATCGTTTACGGGACCGTGATAATGTGAGAATTATGTGTCTCAGCCTTTATTGTCCTGTGGTTGGTACAATTCAAATCTCAAGATCGTCAATACGAGGATGCGCGCAGTCGCGTTCAAGTAAAAAAACTCATACTGTGGCAAGGAAAAAATAGAGGGAAAATAGCGAGAAAAGGGGTACAGAAAAGTTGTAGATTTATTGGCCGTTCGGTAGCTGTGCAGGCCAAGACTGCTTAATGATGACTCTGTTGTGAGTTGCGGCTCGCGGCTACAGTATAATGATAGTAAATCTGCGCTGCCACGCCGCTCCAGGGCGGTTGGGTGCTAGTAGCTCTTGTAGCCGGGAAGTGTATCAAGTATTCAAGTGGTCAGTGTTCAAGTGGTCCTGGCTGGCACTGGCTGCTAGCCTGCTTCCACACCCACAGCAACGTGTGCTTCTAGTTCTGGTAATCAGCACGCGTTCGCAAACCGTGCGTGCTGCTGCGATAAGCACTTGGGTTACAAACTGTTGATACGATCATACAATTAATTATTATTATGGTGTTTAACAAACTTACAACGTGCATTGCAACATTTGTGATTTGTGAGTTTTGTATTTACTGTACTTGATACCTAAATAATGACTAATAATATTTTTGTATTCTATTACAAATTACAATGATGATGATATTGAGTAAGTATTTACTATCGAACGATATTCGTATCACTATCGTTTGTTGGTTTCTGATCTGTCAGCATACGTCTGATCAAGTTTATTTTCACGACGGTATCGAGTATTTTATGATAAAATTGTTTGGCTTTAATAATGACCAACAGCCGGACTTCCACTTTTGCCATAAATGTGGCGAAATTAGGTTGGGCCATGGGTTCTAACGATATTACGCCCCTGAGTTTGGTCTTTAGTTTGTGATCAACGATTCTTTGCCATCTTTGCCATCTGCGTTGAGGGCTGAAGGGCAGATCGGTACGTCGACGACTGGGTTATCACTAATCAGGGGAAAGCTGAGAAACGTTGTTGGACTGCTCTCTCTTGGCAGCTGAGTCAGAGTGCGTTCATGGAGTTGGCAGTGGCGTTGCCTCGGTTTCGTCGCCTGTTGGCCTCGGTTTGCGAGCAGGGAGGATGGATGAGCTACCAGAACACGGTGACGGTGTTAAGGGAGGATGGCGCGTGGTGGCTGGGCTGCATTCAGGACTTCAACGAGCACAGCGTCCTGGTCCACTTCAACGCCAGCACCGTGCCGCCCGGCTGGATCCCGGCGGGCCGGGTGTGGCCGCACTTCTCCCTCGACTCCCGGCACACTTATCGCTGTGCGCAGCCCGGCATGCGGGTGTACGTGACGCTGCGCGACGAAGACCACGGGCCCTTCCGCTTCCGCCCGGCCACCTGGCTCGACTCCGGCTCGGGTAAGTAATAATTTATTACGAATGCGCACCAGGTGCACACTGCACACTGCACCGACTAGCGCTTGTTGTTGGCCACATCAGTCCCCCGAGCGAGCGCAAATACCACTGGAGACGGAATTACTGCTCGGTCACGGGTACTGAAAATTTTAATGCTGGCCTTACCATGGTCAGTCCAGCCGACTGACTCTAGCGCAGTTTTGTTTGACACCTCCACGCAAGTTTGTAGTACAGTATATATTCTCCGCCGCTTCGCAATGACAGTGGCGCAACGTACGCTCGTTCTGCTGCAGACTGCCGCATGCACTACATCGTCCTTGACGACGTGGACAGCGCGGGAGCGGTGGTTATGCGCGTGGAAGCAGTTGACTTTTGCCAGGTGTCTTCGTCGCTGCCGCCCAGCGAGATGAACCTGGCCCCGCCCACATATGGCGACTCGCTAACCGGTCAAGCCAATTGGACGTGCTACGGCACGTACTACACCAAAATGCTGTTCACGCTGCCGGGGGCGCAGCTCCTGTTGCGCGAAGCAGCCGATGCGAGACGCATTATTCAGCGGCTGCGGCAGGGCATCTTCATGCTGGGCTACACCACCCCCGACCAGTGCCGCTTCCACCTGCACACCGCCAGCGACTGCTGCATGGTCATTTTCCACACCTATGGCTTGCGTCTGAACTGTGACACGGAGCAGGAAAGTGTCGACAGGCTGCAGCGGGCGCTACAAACGCATATCGCCCATTTGGCCAGCGGGCGCGGCATGCCGGCGCCGCTGACCGACCCACCGCCACGGCCTGGGGAGAGAGAGCGCCTGCAGCAGTGCGGGTTAGTACGACGAATGCATTCTTTCGATGGTATTAGTATGTATCATTGTGATGAGTACATGTACTTCCAGGACCTACTGTACTGTATACTGTACTGTATACAGGTCTTATATACGACACTCGAGCAGTACGAGATGACGTAGATGAAGTAGACGAGGCAGTTTAATACTGCGGTAGTGGAGAAAACGACTTCGTTTTACGACCTTTTCAAGTTTCAGATTCGTTGACATTCATTGAGTTTGAAGGATACATTGTACTTGTTTCTTATCCTTACCAAAATCTATTGTGGAACATGAGTTTACACAGTGCAAACTGGAAAAAGTTATAATGCACTGTATTGTTCCATGCAGTGGCATGCACGTTGTGTTGCAGCCTTTGCTGCATTAACGTTCTGCTTATTACGCCTTTACACAGTAGGTCTTGGTATTGTAACGAGAGCAATCGAATGACCGCCTTGTTTACAGTGTTGTTGGTTTTCTTTACTGTTCATTGGTTGTTGTTCTCACCGTGTAACTGAGTGATTCATCCTTCTTTTTCTCTACACTTTTACCGGGTAAATGTCTAAGAGAATGGAACACACTTTTCATAAGCGAATCCTCTGAATGGATGCTTGCCACGCTTGCCTAGCTTGCCCCGCTTGCCCTGCTTGTACACTTGTTGATTAAATGCTTGGAAACGACGTTGTTTTGTTTGACTCCTCGGGATGATGCACCCATCATCCCGCTCGTCATTGTCACTGTAAATCCACTTCCGATTCACTGCTGAGCTCACGCCCGGCAGTGCCGACATTTCCATCAACAGCCGACACAACATCGTGGTACGGTCAACACGCCAACCCACTAGAACGCCGGCATAACCGCCCGCGTTACATGGCGCTCCTGGGTTAAAACCAGCCCGGAAGCTTCACATCGCAACCATTCCCACCATCCCCACTCGCTCCACCGACTCTCCTTGTAGCCGGATCAAGGCAGCCAAGCGCCTGAATTGCCCGGCCCACAGAAGCACTCCAAAGAGGAGCGTTCGCCCATTCCATACCGGACCGGAAATCCCGTCCTACCTGCAGCATTACAAGATTCCACGACTGCAGTTAGGTGAGTAACGATACTATTATTCTGTTTTGTCGAAGTTTCTCTTTCTACTGTATCTTAACTGAATGCAAGCACTGCAATCTACGTGCGCGTAATTAATTACAGTTCATCTTGATTAACCGTTTAATGGCGACTTGACTGGCGCAGATAGCCACATAGGTAGTACACCTTCGCTGTTTTCTGCCAGAGCATCTCACTTCAGTAGTTTTTCGAGAACGTTATTGAATTTGCCGGCACGGCACCACAGTTTGGTTCTCTGTATTCTGTCCCTTACACTACGTCTGTCACATTTGCTTTGTCTTGCAACTTTCACATTCCAGTAGTCTATCGTTTTGGCGCCGATTTGAACTGAGATCAAACCCATTAGCTGTCACGCTCCGCGTACGCAATGGAATCTTTAAAGCAAGAACTTAATGCTGCATTCACTCGGATTGCAGTACGTGACATTTGTCGAAATCTCAATGTGCAAATCTCTGCAAAAGACACCAAGGCCAAAATGATAAACGCGCTCGCTGCACATATGTTTGTAAACCACATTACTGTGGATCAGCTCCAGCGCTCCCGGTCTCCGTCTGCTGATGAGTCAGCTGCGCCGGCTGTGAACACTGTACAGAGCAACGCCGCATCGGCCACACGTTTGCACACTCAGAGAGACAGCCTACAAGCACAGGCGACTGCAGCGCGTACTGAAGGCGCTCAATGCAGTTCCAGACCGCACGTCTCACAGTACCCTTCACATATTCCAGATTTCGATCTGGACACAGTCGACGCAAGTACAGGCAACTTCCGAGACATCCGAACACTATATCGCCGCATAGGTGAATCGCTGCCAGAACACTTGCTTGAGGATCTCGACAATTTGTTGAACCTCTCGCATGCTGAATCAATCAGCCAGTTCCGTCAGCAAACAGGGCGCACACAAGCCGGTACACACAGACTTTCCCGCGCAGCATCGCCCGCTGTTGTACATGGTGGGCCTAATGCACGCATTCGTTCACCAGGCGTCCAAGTGCATGAGCGGCTTACAGCACAGCCATCCGCAAACACTGTTCAACCGGCAGCGCACAACGCCTCTATACAGGCAGAACGTATAGATCACAACAACCTCGCCGATCTTTTACGCAGTTTAAGGCTAGATTCTAATAACAATAATTCGCGGCTGAACGCAAAAGATTTTAAGATCGAAATTTTTAATAATAAGCCAGAATACACTATTACTGCTTTCTTCCAGCAGTTTGATCGCGCAGCTGATACTCTTGGTTGGGACAACGAACGCAAAGTGAAAATGCTACCTAACTATCTCGGTGAAGCACCACGACGCTATTTCGAAGGGCTGTGGCCAGTTAATAAGCTGTACTCGTATGATCAGTGGAAATCAGTTTTAGTTGAGCGCTTACCAGAAGATTACGAAATGATTAAACGCCTTGAGTTGTCGAAGAAAGTTTTCAAAAGGGCATGGACGTCAACCAGTTTCTGGACGAAATGCAGGTACTTTTTCAGGAGATTGATGCACTCATGCCTGAAAAGTATAAAATTGCGGAAATAAATCGCGCGTTTTCTGATGTTCCTGAGTACCGCAAGTTTTTGGCTATCACAAAGACCAGCACGGTTAGTGATATTCGTTCTGTTCTTACTAAACTCGCTGTCGTTGACCGCAATGACGCTGCCGGATCTGAATCGAACCCGATAGAAGTGAAACATTACAGTGAACGTGGTGCACCGCACCGGTATAGCACTACCCAGAGCTCTCGCTCGCCTGGCCCGTACCGATCGCGCAGCCCGCCCCCTTATCGTCGCAGCGCAGAGCAAGGTAGCCAGTATGGTGACCGCAGCCGCTATCGCCACCCCAGCAACGGTCGCCCGGATGATCGCGACTGGCGCCGGCGTGATGATTCTCGTGACCGCTTCCGCTCTCTCGCAGCCGTGACCCAGCCGATACACGTCAACGGCACAACGAACAAAGCGATACAGCAGATCGATACCGCTCGGTAAGCCGCAGTCGGGATGACACTCGGTACAGTGCACCTGGCCGCACCGGATATCGTTCACCGAGCGCCGATCGCTTTGGTCAGCGTGGTCGCAGCTCAGACATCGCCAACAGTACAGTGATCGTTCACCACGCGAGCACCGCAATGAACGATCAGACCGTACTGGTGGCCGCGAGCGCCGGTCATCCCGAGATGAACCAAAGCGAATACCGCCGAAGTTCATCGATTTTGATAGCTACCGCTTGGACAATGGCAAAATCTTTTGCCCCAAGTGTCACGATTTTATTCACTCGTACACGGAGTGCACACAAGCTGCTCCGGACGATAAGTTTCGCATTGAACGTATCTGCCCTCAAGATGTGAAGCGTAAGGTACAACGCGAATACGATGAGTATATACAACATCGCGTTGCACAACAGGGCAATGCGTTCTGGGCAACCGCCCAGGGAAAAGAATGAGGCCTTACGATAAAGGAGGTCCGTATGGCCGCAGCTATCATCCTCCTAAATTTTACTCGATTACTGAAGTTCATACATTCGATGTTCAAATGAAAAGTGAAACAATACCCATGCTGCCAGGCACGACCAGCCCGTACGCTGGCCTTCCAATGCCTCAGACTGTTCGTCCAGCTTACATTCCCTTGAACATCAACGGTTACAATTTAGAAGTACTTATTGATACTGGTGCCGGCACTAGCATAATGTCTGAACCCGTTGCTGCACACCTCAAGCTTCCGTTTCGCAGATTTGTAAAAGGTGCACCTAAACTCCAATTTGCGACCATTTCCGATCGATTTACAGCACGTGAATCGTATTTCGCAGAGATTACAATTAACCTGACGCATCGAACAATCAAACATTTAATGTTCATAGTTTGTGGTATGCCGAACGACATGATAATTCTTGGTAACGATTTTCTGAAAGAACATGATATATGGATTAGCTGTCGTAACGGTATCCTATGTTTCGAAGACGTGTTGCCGACTCGTAAAGTACATAAATTATTATCGCGTGAACCTATCGTATCAGACGTACAGGATATGCTGGTGGCTGACACCTTGATTCCGCGTACTCGTTTTGTGCAGCAGCACCGTCTCGACGTTTGCGGCGTAAATTCTGCGGACATGCGACTGAGGCGTACCCTCCCCACGGTTGTCGAGCTGCCGCCTTCAGAGCCACTAACGCCACTGGCCTCCCTTTCTGTGTGTCCCGCGCAGTCGACAGCACCACGCACTGCGCCGGGCACTGTACTTTCCAGCATGGCCACGGGGTCACTTCCGCCATCAGCCACCGTCCCTCTACGCGTCTACAGTACAACGCAAACATGCAATTCTGTTCAGTACACATCGGTCAGCACACAAACAGACTTTATCGCAGGCCCACTCTCCGATACTCCGTGTGAACGAGCACCGGTCACACTGTCGCGCACACCCTTTGCACTAAGTGCAGATTCCCTCCATTCTGTGCCCTGCAGGTTTGGTGGCGCAGCATCAACCGATGCGCTCCCGGTCGGTAATAATTACAGTACCGATGTCAGGTCGACAGCCAGTGCACCTGCTGCACCGGACACTGACAAGCCGTCGGTCATTGTTCGGCTGCCACCCCCGGACGCAGAATGCGAGTGTAATAGCGCCGTGACTACTACATCAACTTCCCTTTCAACGTGCGCTGACCCCGCAGCACATGCACTATGCTGCTTATGTCCAGTTGAAGCACCAGTCAACGCTGCTTGCTATGTTCAGCCGTCCACACTGCTGTCGCATGCAGCCTCTCCGACAGAATCGTCGACCGCAACCAGCGAGCACCGCACGTTGCCCGTCAGTTCGGCGTCCTCCTTGACGGCTGATCAGCACACCCCGTCGATGCCCCAGCAGCTGCCTGTTGATCCCCTACCGTTTTCCTCTCAGTACGAGTCTGACACACTCCCAGTCTGTCCCCCGGCGTCTCCCGGCACAACCATATCCGACGTCGCGCCTGTGACATGGTTCCGTTCTGGTATACGGCTACAGTCTGCAACTGTCTTACCCTCTAAGCACGGCACCGTTCTCAACGTCATCGCACCCGACTCGTACAGCGGCGACGTTATGATAACCGGTAACAAAACGTTGCTAACGAATTCTCTTGTAGCCGTCCCTAATTCACTGACCACCGCTCGCAATGGTTACCTGTCAGTCATGATCACAAACTTTTCTGATAAGCCAGTACGGCTCAAGAAAGGTGTGATAGTCGGATACATGGAACCTGTCGATACCATTATAGAAGTACCTGTACATAATGTGGAAACCGCGCAGATGACCGATGCCGATCGTACAGAGCTAAACAGTCACATCCGCGCAATGAAGTTTAGCAACCGTTTAAGTACCGAACAGCGCAACACTCTTGTTCGAATGCTCGTAAAATATCACCGCATATTTCCAAACAAAAATCGTCCCCTCGGTGAATGTGGTAAAGTGCAACACGAGATCGATACCGGCCATCATCAGCCGATAAAGAAATTACCCTATCGTACATCGTATGCACAACGCATACAGATACAAACTCAAGTACAGGAAATGCTCGATCAAAATATCATACGCCCCTCGACTTCGCCGTGGGCGTGTCCTGTCGTATTAGTCCGTCGAAAAGACCCTAGCGCTACCGCCAGATTTTGCTGCGACTTTCGTGCACTCAACGCCATCACCGGCCGACCCATGTGGCCACTGCCACGGGTGGACGATGCTATTTCGTGTTTTGGGACGTCGAAATTCTTTTCCAGTCTTGACTTTAACTCAGGGTTCTGGCAAATACCCCTTGCCGATAACGCCATACCGAAGGCGTCGTTCGTTACCCAAGACGGGCAGTACGAATTCCTTCGTATGCCGTTCGGGTTAAACGGAGCTCCCGCCACCTTCCAGCGCGCTATGGACAGTGTACTAGCGCACCTTAAATGGCAAGGTGTAATATGTTATATTGATGATGTACTTGTGGGTGGTGAAACCTTTGAGGCTCACTGCAAACTGCTTGAGCAAGTACTGCACGCAGTCAGCGCCGCAGGGTTTACGATCTCTCCCAAGAAATGTGAGTTCGGGTTCAACGAAATAAAATTCTTAGGGCACATTATCGGCGCGTCTGGAATAAAACCCGATCCCGCAAAAGTCAGCGCAGTTGCAGATTTTCCCACGCCTAAAACATCTCGAGACATTAAATCGTTTATCGGTGCTCTCGGATATTACCGTCAATTTATCCATAATTTTTCGTCCGTCTCCGCCCCGTTAATTAAGCTTACGCGAAAAGATGTACCATTTACATGGGATTCTGAACAGCAAGTATCGTTTGATGCACTCAAACGTTGTCTCGTCACTGCACCGGTTTTGAAGTCCTTTGATCACCGTTTGAAAACGCAAATTAAGACTGACGCGTCCGGCGTCGGCGTCGGTGCCATCCTTGAACAAGAGCATGCCGACGGATGGCATGTTGTGGCGTATGCAAGTAAAATGCTTGATAAACATCAAATGAATTATCCTACGTCTGAGAAGGAGCTGTACGCAATCGTATTCGCCATAAAGAAGTTCAAGCATTATCTGGCTGGTCAACACTTTGTCGTCATAAGTGACCATGCAGCACTACAGTATCTGTTAAACTTAAAAGAGCCACAAGGTCGCCTAAACCGCTGGGCGTTGTTACTGCAAGAGTTTGATTTCAAAGTACAGTACCGCAAAGGTAGACTACATCAGGACGCTGACCTGCTTAGCCGCAACCCTTTCGAGCCGACAAGCACTGTCGACGACTGCGATATCCCGTTGTATAGTGTTCAGCCGCTCAGTAGTCAACAGTACTTGTTTCAACAGCAAGATGCAGATGAATTTTGCAGTCACATAAAGAAACTGCTGTCCAACACTGAGTACTATGCAGCTGCACGCCGTAATACTCGTAAGATGGCACATAACTTCCGTATTGTCGCCGGCATACTGTACAAGTTGCGGATGAGAAAAGGAAAGCAAGCACTGCTGATTTGTTTACCGCGTAGCATGCGTGCCGAAGTACTCTATGCATGTCACGATGCCCCATTCAGTGCTCACTGTGCATTCGCCCGCACCTGGCATTCTGTAGCACAACGTTACTACTGGCCCCATATGTTCCATTATGTTAAAAACTATTGCGAAGCATGCGAGCAATGCCAAAAACGTCATTATGCTAACGTCCCTGCTTCCGGTTACCTAGAGCAGACGAAACAATATGACCTATTACAGTCATGGTCCATTGACCACCTTGGCCCCTTTCACCAGTCTCCCCAGGGCAACGCACACATTATTGTCGCAGTTGAAAATGTCTCCCGGTATGTTGTCACTCAATCCGTCAAGACAACCGGAAACGATGAAACCGCACAGTTTATTATCAATCGCATTATTTTACCGTTCGGTCCGCCTACACACTTTACTTGCGATCGTGGTTCTGCATATACCAGCAAAGTCATTGAGAAAATTGCACAAATTCTGGATATTAAAATGCACTTTACGACAGCGCATCATCCGCAGTCCAATGCACTGGCGGAGCGCATGATGCGTTTCCTCGCTGAGAAACTAACGATGTACGTTAATAAGGAGCAAAATAACTGGGAAAACTATCTCCCTTACATTACGTTTGCGTATAACACTACGAAGCACAGTACAACATTAGTCGAACCGTATTTCCTGCTGTATGGAGTTAAACCCCGGCTCCTTGTTGATTCGATCTACGCTAATTTTAGTGCCCAGCAAGACACCAACACGTCTCTACGCGAGTATATACAAGAAATGCGTACAAAATGGCAACACGCCGTGGAATTCGCAAAAGTAATGACGGACATCACCCATGCTCGCAATACACAGCAATACGATGCGCATAAGCAAGACATCACGTTTAAACCTGGCGATTCAGTTTACGTACGAGATGAAGCAAGAGAAATTGGACGCACTGAAAAGTTATCTAATAAGTACAAAGGACCGTACACAGTTACTAATGTACAAGAAGATGGCAATATCGAAATTAAGTGTGATAATCCCGGCACCCGAAAGAAACTTGTTGATACAGTACACGCTTCCAAGTTAAAGTCATATAAGAAGTATGATCCCGATGTCCAGTCTAGCCGGGACGAGTACCTTAAGAGACTGAGACCGCGTTCCTAACATGCACTGTTTCTGTACTCGTATGTACTGTATATAACATTATAGGTTAACGTACTTGTATAGTTTTCGCTATGCACTAGCAACATAATAGATGTCGTCTTCTTATAGCAATGGACACTGTCGTTACTGCACAAGCTGATCAAGCAGCATCCGAGCCAGTACCGCAAAGCACTTCTACTGACTCGTCGCACGCAGATCACGAAGAAGCTACTGATACTGAACAAGACGTTCTTCAAATGGATGGCTACGACGACGGTAGTTTTGATGCGCCTGAAGAACATCACACGCCTTTGCCAACTGACGAGCTCGCACATGAGCTGCACACAGTCGCTCCACCACCACGTCGTGTTGTGTTGGAAGATGAAGACGTCGCGCATGCAGAGGATGACACCGCGGACTACCACGGTCAATCAATGCAGTTCACTTCCGCCAACCGCAGTAAGCACCGTTTCCGTAAGGGGCAACAGCAGCACGCACAGCGCCCTTCACACATTAATGTTGTTCAGCGGCAGCCGCCGAACGCTGCCGCTTCGCACGCGCCATCCCGCCCCGCTAAAGGCACACCCGCCAGACCACCACCAGATAATATCCGGTATTTCTATACCGGCCCCCGTCAGCGCGCCGATGACCCACAGAGTCAACTTGACAATCCTTACATCGGACAGCACGTCAAAACGTCAGACTACACTAAACACATTAGAAGTCTTAATCATGCCATTAATACTGGTCAGTACGCTCGACCGCCTCGCACACAGGCCGAGCACAATATGCAAGTCGCTGAGCACCGCCTCTTGGAAAGCACTTCCTCCTTTCTGACAAGTTTACGCGACAACGTTAATAATCTGAATGACAACAAGTACTGTTCGTTTCCTGTGCCCATGTGTACCGTCTTGAGCCCCCACTATTTCCAATCTTGGCGTTTTGACAAGTTCAGCAGATCACCGTGGATCAAATACCCTTCTGACGACAACACATGGCGATACGAGCACCGCACCGGCTTTGTGTACCGCTATGATCGTAACAACAATCGTTTCGTACAAACCGAACAGTCTCCGCGTTACTTTAACCCTTATCGTTACTTCCCCATTGATCTGCCATTCTGGCCAAGTGAAATCATGTGGGATGGTACGTATTCTCCTGAAGGCCGCAACGATGCACTCGATATGTGGCACGCGTATGACGACAACAGAGCACGCAAACTGAATGTACCCATTTGCAATCAAGTACTGCCATTTGTGGAACTACCGGACGTCGCCCTTGGTCAGCATATGAACCGAGATGTTGCATCAATCCTGGACAAGCGAGGAATTCCTAACTACAGCGAATCGGACATCTACCGGATGCCTCAGCCTACCGTGAGGGACCCAAATCAGCGGATCCGTGAGTTGGAGGACAAGCTGGCCTACTACGAAAGTCTCCATTAACCGGACCTTCTGCTCCGCTGCCATCATCACCTTTAATAGTACACACCGTACCGTGGCGCCGCACCAGTCCCTTCCCTCCGGACACGCCATGCAAGCACAACCAGTATTTAACCGCATTTAACCATTTTCATTTTCCTTCTTAAATTTCCTTTCTTTTGTATTGTCTTGATGAGACAGGTATATCTCATCGCTACCGTGAGGGATGTGAGCAATCGAATGACCGCCTTGTTTACAGTGTTGTTGGTTTTCTTTACTGTTCATTGGTTGTTGTTCTCACCGTGTAACTGAGTGATTCATCCTTCTTTTTCTCTACACTTTACCGGGTAAATGTCTAAGAGAATGGAACACACTTTTCATAAGCGAATCCTCTGAATGGATGCTTGCCACGCTTGCCTAGCTTGCCCTTGCCCTGCTTGTACACTTGTTGATTAAAATGCTTGGAAACGACGTTGTTTTGTTTGACTCCTCGGGATGATGCACCCATCATCCGCTCGTCATGTCACTGTAAATCCACTTCCGATTCACTGCTGAGCTCACGCCCGGCAGTGCCGACATTTCCATCAACAGCCGACACAACATCGTGGTACGGTCAACACGCCAACCCACTAGAACGCCGGCATAACCGCCCGCGTTACAGTATTCTATGAATAGTCAGCACAGACGTTACTGAAGAGTTAGGTGCATAATTCTCTACTGATCCCGCAGCATCGTTAATACATGTTCTTCTATACATGCACAGACGACGAGCAAGTTGCGGAAGATGTGGGCATCCAGCATTTACCCCACTGCATTCTGTCGGAGGCATTCTCCCACCTGGAGCTGCACACCCAGGCCAACGTACGCAGGTAATGCAATGCCGAGTGCCGACTGTCTTTGTTTTCCACGCTTTCCGTCGGAGTATCTCGTGCAGCGGTGACCGCATGTTCTTATTGCAGAGTGTGCGCCTTATGGCAGCTTCTCACTGTCCGCCGCACGCTGGAGCACGTCACGCTGACCTTTGCCGCCTGCACCAGCAGCTACCGCAATACGTGTGCGGAGGAATCCTGCAGCAGCACTGGCGCTGAATGGGATGGCAACGAAGAGTACTGCTTCCGCGTGGCAGCCTTACTGAACCGGCACGTCACGTCCACCACGAAAAGCCTGACCGTCAGCGGCACGAACTGGTGCCGGCACAATGCCGAATTCCTCCTCAGCTTTCTCACCATCCGCCACATCCGGCTGCCCTTGATCATCGTCAGGGATTTCACCAATGACAACTTCGCCTACACGGTCCGTTCGCACCGGTTTCACTATGCAGAAGTTATATACAAGCCGGCCAGCCAGCTGTGGGAGGTGTGCGAAGCCGTGCTGCTGCTCAATGGACGCGTCAGCTGGATCTTCCGCCATGCGATGGGCGGGATATTCCTCTCTCCTGGGTCGGAATTGCCGCCGTTGCCGGTGCAGGAGCAAGAGCTGATGAATCCGTATCTGCGGGCGGGCACGCGCCCCTTGAGTCTGTGTCTGCCGGCCAAGACCGCGCCGCTGGTGCTCAGCGTCGACGCCCTGCAGATCGCCATCCCCCGGGTGCGGTTGCCGTGGAGGCAGGGCTATGAGCCCGTGCTCAGTCGGCTCATGTGGGCCGTCAACGAGAACTGCCCGCCGGTGGCGGAGGCCGTGTACGACAAAATGAAGGCCGTGCACGCGCGCTGGGTGCGGACGCTGGTTTATCCGGAAGAGTGGGAGACTATTCGCTGTTTTCTACACATGTAAGTGTCTCCCGCACGTTGCTTTGACTGTTGACTGCACATTTCCTCGACCGCATGCGCTGGCAACGGGCTCTGTAGTCCGTGGTTGACAAGTCCATCTGACCAGGGCACATTTTCCGGGTGTAAATTCAAAAAATCTCATTTCTTATAAAAGCATAGTATACTACCGTAGTATGCTTATTATTATTATTCCATCTGCTATGGTCCATGGGCGTGGCCAAAATAGAATTTAACAATAAATTCTACTTTATGCTTTAGCCTATGGGCAGTGCACGGTATTGTACGTTAATACGTTATCGAAAAATTTGGACAGGACCAGTTTAACTTAAGAACTCGCTCGAAACTTTTGTCTGTTGATTTCAAGATGTTTATTCAAAAGTTTATTCAAAACTTTTATCTGTGGACGTCAAAAAGATGCTCCACGATGTCCACAGATACATTACATAGTGGATGTAACAGTTTTATGAAGTGCGCTGTGACCATTATTCACAGTTTCTGGAGAATGGAGATGGTGCAGTTTACACTTACTTTTTTCCGTAGAAAAGGATTTGCACTGCTCTTTATTTTGATTTGTTGGACGAGTACTTAAACTGGCCTCGTACAGGTTGTTCAGTAACGGTACAACGTATGATGCGGTGCATTACCCATAGCCATAGGCAACAGCATAGTGTAGAATTTATTGTTAAATTCTATTTTGGCCACGCCCGTGGACCATAGCAGATGGAATAATTTTTCTAAACATACTAAACTATCTTAATTTTTCTAAACATACTTTCTAAACTATCTTTTTGCAAGAGATGAGATTCTTTTGAATTTACACCCGGAAGAAGTATTTGCCCTGGTGAGCAGTATTTGCTTGTTATTGCAGGTATAATGGATTCTCTGCAGATGGTGCCATGCGGACGTGGACCGGCGTAGACCTGCGGGCGATGGACGTTGGTCAGCTGAGCAAACTGGCCGTGCTGGGCCTCAGCGAAGTGTTCGGTGTGTGATCCTCTGATAATGGGCTAGGATGGTTATTCTGAGACGGCCAAAGTGCGGCGCCGGGCAGTGTTCCCGCCCAGCGCGGTTGGAGATGAACGCGTGGCCGGCCAACGCCACCGGCAGGACGGTTGGCTGACATTGCGCCACGCCGACTATGATGTGGCTGCTCAGCACATGATATCGTGCTTCACAGTTGACTGGCAGTATCCATCAATGATCAAGCTGCGATCTCTCAACATATTATCCGGAATTCGAAATTCCTCTAGATAGTTTTTTATTATTATTATTCTTAGTTTTTATTCGCTTCAGTGCAGACATACTGCGAAACTGGCGCTCGCTGCCAGCGGAGGAGGCCCACCGCTACTGGGCGGTGCTCAGGGCTGTACTCGCACTGAGTCTGGCTCACTCAGCTGACGGCCACTGTAATTATAAGCAGCGGTGTGTTTTGCTTGACCGCAGCACCGACCGGTGCAGTCCCGCCTGGCATCTGCCGCCGGAGCTGGACAACGACGACGGACCGGAGTAGGCTGTTCCGGAGGCGGAGATGCGTCTCAGTCCGCTGACCATCCGCTGACCATCCGCTGACCATCCTGGTCATCCACAGCACTCACCTGTGGGCCAGTCAGTAATGGTGCTAGTGCTCGCGCAACCTCTGGACTGTATTTCACTTATCCCATAGTCCATACTGTATATCAATCTCGCCTTACCTTGGCAGCATTAGGCCATTAGCAGCGTCCCCGAGCAGGATAGCATTGAAGGAGTGTTTTTGCTTTAAAATTCGTTTGTTTTAGTACTCATTTTGTACTTACATGTGATACGCATTAAAGGTCAGTTTCTCTTAGCAGCGTTCTGCTGGATTTTGCCCGATTGACCGGACTCAGTAGCGTTTAATTAAAATCGGTACATGTACATACGGTATAATTATATCTGTACAGCCAGACCTATGATAAAGTTGCTTGTCTTTTACCGGTATTCGGGCTATGTACACGTTCTGCGGCTTCGGTCAAACGTTGAAATTAAAAAACGAACCTCCTGCATTAAAAATATCAAGTCTTGTAATTAAGTTTACGTTTTCAAATTCGTACGAACCGCATATAAACAGGCTATGGCCGATGGAAAAAACTGCATTCAACTGCACAGTGCACAGTACTTATGTATTTTTGCTCTTGTATCAGCTTGTGGAGAGAATTACCGGAAAATGGCCTTCCCTGCAAATTATTCCCGATTATTCACCTTAAATTATTCAAGGACAATCCACGATAACGTTCCCGTTTTTCAACTGTTGCGAATCTGAATCTGTGTGATTTTGGTGTGAATTTCAGAACACCGATATGATTGTTCCAGTCTTCCAGATAATTGTGTATTTTAAGTATCTGTACTTGTCGGAGAGTGCTTAATGAACACCAGAACTGATGATTTGTTTCTTGCGATGCTTGACAATCGCCAAAGCCATGAACTGTCAACAACCATTCGCAAATCCTGCACAATTCATGTTGTGCCGCGTTAAAGACCACCGAAATGGGAAGGAAAAAAAGCCGAGGTACGGGCGACGGAGTATCTGCGCCAGCGGATCAGCGTAGAAAACCAACGCGGGAAATGCGGCCTCTGTCTTGGAAACAGCACCAGCATCGGTTGATTTGAATGAAATGTTCTGTGTGATTAGGCCGCTTATTTCCGTAATCGGCTGATGCTGTGTAATCAGTACAAACATCTTATACTTTTATTTGCACCGAGCCGTCCGAGCGCGAAGCGCGAGGTGCTGCAATAAGTCTTCGTCAAGAGCATAAAATTTGTCTGAACTCTGAAGCCGTAGAGGATCGGTGAAATGGTTACTGGCGAAGGTGCAACTTTGACCGATGAAAAAGAAAAACTTAACTACTTCGCTACGGATCTGCTCAAAGCGTCTCCACTCCCATCGGATATTACAGAAATTACAGAGTCAAACGGTTTTCAATCGCCACCTGACGGCACTGTTCTTATTACAGAAGCTGAACTTATATTTGTACAGTCTATAAGATCGGCTCCATCGCACCGCGCAGCAGGACCAGATGGGATCCAGATGTGCCTTAATTCAGAAGGTGCTACCCATTCTTTTACCGCTACTTTTACGAATATTCAACGCTTCCTTGGTACTTGGTCACTTTCCCAAACCGTGGCGATGCGGTGATGTCTCCGTTATACGTAAGCCTGGACGCCGACGTATTCAAGCACAAAGCATTACAGACCAATCACTCGGCTATCGGTTTTGGGGAAGGAACTGGAAAAGCTCATGATATCGCGGATACAATGTAATGCTTTGACCAATGGCTGGACAAGCGGCAGTTTGGCTTCAGACCGGCCCACGGCACCACGGATGCTTTCTTAAGTGCAGTTGATTTCATTAAGGAAGGATTCAGAAGAAAATAAACAACATCCATGGTCACGCTGGATTTAGTGGGTGCGTACGATAGCGTTTTACATTCTCTGTTGCTGAACCGGTTAAAGGCTTTTGGGTGCCCGTTCTGGATTGTGAAGTGGATGAGAAGTTTTCTGTAACACAGAACTATCAAAGCCGTCAGTCAAAGCGGCCAAGGAGATCAGTTTTATTTACCCCCCGCGGTGTTCCTCAAGGTTCTCCGCTCTCTCCACTGCTGTTTATTATTTTCATTGATGACCTTTTAAAGAAGTTTAGTGAATACACTGGATTTATGGGACAAGCATACGCAGACGATCTAATGGTACTAGTCCGATCACCCTCTATACCGGATAATTGTTCCCGGATTAATGGCCTACTTGTCGAGATTGAAGAATGGTATATTGCAGCCGAAATGCCGTTTGTATTCGACAAAACCGAACTGATGCACTTTACATTCAAAAGAAATGTTCCGACGCAGTCTCCTATATTATTCGGTCAACACACAGTTCATCCCGTGGATAAGCTGAAGTACCTGGGGATAGTGTTCGATCCCAAGCTGACATGGACACATCAGGTTGCTCGTGCAACCCAGAACGCGTATGGCCGGCTCAGTAAACTTCGACCCATTTGCAAGAAATATTGGGGTGTCAACAAAGTACAACGGTTGGCTGCCGTGCTTATTACTGGAGCCCAAAACACATCTCCTGCTGTCGCTTTAGATGTCGAAGCTCAGTTAATTCCAATAAACTTACATCTTCTTGATGTGGCTGCGATGTCCCTCTACCGCCTGCAAACACTGAGAGATATGAACATAGCGCATGCTTTGGTCCAATACCCTGAACAACAACATTCGCACATATCTCCATCGTTGTACATTGTGCAGCGCCTGGATGCGATGGGATTGAAGTTTCCTACCAATGTAGTTTTACGTGTTCAGCAAGTTCTTCCCTACGTCTACGCGTCTTTACGCTCCAGGATCATTATTTCTAAACTGCAGGCATCAGCCGTGAATCACAATATAACTGCCAAGCGCCTCCTTTCTACAGGACATGTGCTAATTTATACCGATGGATCAAAACATGGCGATAATGTTGGAGCTGCAGTTGTTGTTTTTACTGGCCAAGCAGTGTATCGAAAAGAATACCGACCACCGGCTCACGCAACTGTTGCACAAGCGGAATTGTATGCTGTCCATCAAGCTTTGCTGTACATGGGGCAGTCGGAAGTGCGCCGTGCCTTTCTTTATTCTGACTCAAAAGCCGTATTGGATGGCATCAGTACCACTATCTATGGTTCGCCTAACAAAGACATCAAAGAAGTACAAGACTGTCTGCTGTGGTTCCTTTCGCGCGGCGTTGAAGCGACCCTTCTGTGGATCCCAGCTCATATTGGTATTTACGCGAATGAGATGGCTGATTTGGCGGCAAAAAAAGGAGCCCATTTACCGGAAACCGAAGGTTTGCAACTGCCAATGTCGAAAGCCGTTTTTAAACAACTATTAAGCACTATCATTTCTGCCGAATGGCGGAAAAATTGGTCAGCATCTCAAAAAGGGCGAGCTCTGTACAATGTCCAACCGAACGTGTCTTACTCTATACTTCGAAGTATGGAGAATGCCAGTACCAGTCACACGAAAAATTCAGGCACTTCTGACCCAACTGCGCGAATGATCATTCCAGACGTAACGCCTCCCGACGTTCTCAGATCTATGGGAATCCATCTTTGTGCTCTTGTGGTTATGCACCGGAAACAACGTACCACTTTTTCTATCATTGTTCCATTTGTCAGCATCCCTAGTTTTCTGTGTTGCGAAATTTCCTATATTGTCTTCTTGGCCACATGTGAGGAATATCTTCAGTGGCACCATTTATTACTTCTACAAACTTTTTTTCATGAAATTCAGCATACCGTACTCTATCCGTATCTTGTGGTCTTGAACCGTTTTCTTGCAAATGAGCCGATAACACTGTTTTGAACGACGCAGAATTGCAAGAAAAACGGTTCAAGACAAAATTTCATTACTCTGTAGTACGTTATCCTTAGAGACCGGATTTGTCTGTATTCAAGGTGGCCACTTTGAACGACCATCGTTCACTACTATAGGTGCAACAACGATGTAGAACATGGCTTTACGGAACTGGGTTTTCTCAACATAAAGTGGCTGTTGCCGCTGCTTTCTACAGTTTTAGAGTTCTCAAACAGATTTCGGTGATCCAATTATAAGCGACTAGGTTCTATTGTCATATGCTTACTCTGTTACCTTGGCGATTCTAAGCTATATTTGTTGGAGCAATGGTCCTTGAAAGGACTACGATGTATGTTTATGCAACAACAACAACAACAAGTGATATACAGGCCGAGGAAGTGTTAAAGTTGTTATGAGCACGCGTGTAGCGTGTCTGTCGTGTATAGGGGGAAGGTGCCCTACTGCATGCTGAGGAGACACAATGTGCAGCATGCCGGATGCAGCATGCCGGAGGTGCCGCTGTTGCTGGCCAGCTGCCGTCGGCAGCTGCACGCCGCACATCAGCTCCAGCCTCCCGCTGGCCAGGCGGCCCCGCTATTAGTAGCCGACGACGTCGACCGGCTGGGCACAACGTTCTACGTAACGTGTGCGCTGTCCGGCAGGGAGCAGGCAGCGGCCGGATCTAAAAGTGCCATTTCATCTAGCGGCTACACTAACGAACACGGCCCCCACCGTGTGACACTCGCCACTCACCTCCAGGCTGAGCTCCCATGAGGACGAGTATAGTACAGACTATTAATATGTGTAGGCGGACCCGGGAAGGTCAGCCAATGTTCACCGGTCGGGAGTGCGCTGCAGCGTAAGTTGCCGTACACCTGCTGGTCGCCGCCGCCGGCGGCCATGTCCTCCACGAAGCGCAGCTACCAGGCGTACTGCAGCCGGACCTGGACGGTATTGCCGCTGCTGAGATTGCGGTCGAATTTCAGGCGCCGGTATGGCCAACTGGGCATTGGCCGTGGTTGTACGCCCACTTGATAATCCTGGTGCTCCGTATGATTCTATGCTAGATAGCACTGCCAGTTAAAACCAGGGCGACAGCGCGATATGAAAAATTAATTACGACGGTATTGGCACAGTGGTATTGGTATGTATAAACTAGAAAGTACTGTACATTATACAGTATGTATATTTAATATATCGCAATGCGATATATTAAATATACATACTAATATATAGATTTAGATTAGGCAGTCCGCGATTGCAATGATTCGAGAGTCGGCAACAAGCATACTGAACACTGTTGTTGCCACACGCTCACTTGATACGGTTCGGTCCAGTCCGGTATTGCACGATACGATGGGAACTGTAATACGGTACATAGCACCAAATTCGTGTACATGCACGAGAACTTCCGCTGTCGCGCACTCCCTAACACATTTTGCATTGATATTTCAAATTTGTAGCCAAAGGATTTGTATACACAGGCGTCAATCCGTTTGCGCGCGCAACATCCGGTTGGAAAGTTATGGGCGAATCAAAAGTTCTAGAAAGTTAAATGCCTTCAGGTATCTGTATACCAAAAGTCTCATTATGGACCGATCTTTTTCAAATTTTTCACGTAAATGCACATTAGTACAAAGATTTTTTTACACTGAACCAGAGCGGTAGCATTTTTTCTCAATTTCAAAACAAATTAAAAATTTTTGGTTTTTTTATATTACTGCTCAACTGCTCGACGCAGTAATGTTTCTTTTGTGGATGTTAGATTACTTTGTATTCGCTCATCAATAAAATATAACAGAAGTAAAGCAAATGCAGCGACTAAGTATTCGGCTCGTTGGTTCAGGTAGCAGTTCGTTGAAGTACAATAATACAAATCTCCGTCATCCTGTACAGCTAGAAAAACGCTCACTCGTTTGAGAATAACTAGAGTAGCTTAATAATATAGAGTACCACTCGTATGTAAATATAAATAGAATTCGTATACAATAGTAACATTCTTATAATTACTGGCTCACATTTTTGGTGATTCACAAATCTCGGATACCGATGAACAATGAACCATATTATGAGAATTAGTGGCCACTGACTGGCTCAGCACGGGAAGCGCTGCAAGTGCATTAATGCTACTCTAGAGTGTGTTCTTGTATTTGCCCAGTTATGATGTTGCCACTACGTGATTGAACTGCGTGGGTGCTTGAGAATGTTATAATTAAGTGAGTTTCCTTTGACAGTGGAATAATTTTTATATCCCAGCGATTTATACGCGTTAACTTGTGCTCCCTTCAGCCTTCGGGCTACTTGTTAACTTGTATCGCACAGTATTTCTTCACCGTAAAATAATTTTACGGTGAGTTGTTGCAAGTGGTCTCATGTTGGAAAGCTGCTGCCCACAAGTATACAGGTAATACTGTACTCGTATTCAAATTATAATAATCGTTATTAGCATCTATATGATGTGTATGTATACTAGCTATAATTATTATGATTGTACTACATAATTATGTACTAGGTACTGAGGTGTAGTAATCTGCAGCAGATATCCAGTATCTCATTATCCTCGAGTGAGCACTTTAATAATAATATACTTCCCGTACTACGGCGCATACTTAGGAGTACTACCAGGACCCCCTGTATAGAGGGGGTCTTGGTAGTGAGTTGGTCCTACAAATGGAAGCACTCGCTTGTACCAAGAGTCGGAGTGCAGCTGCGGATAAGAACGGAAGATACTTGCTTCAAATTACTAGTGGTAAATACTGAAAAACATGGAATTTTTATATGCATTGTCTTCTAACTTTGTCAGAACGGAAATATTTTGGTTCGAAAAACTAGGCTCATGTGTGCATTATCACACTTGGTCCTTTTGAATACGCATTACTTACCCCTATAAATTAGAATCCTATTCGTATTAGCCATTATGATTAGGTAAAGTTAAAGTATGTCGAACCGCGGACTGGTTGGTAGTGGGGCACCTCGTTTTTTCCAGCCCCCGTCAGTTTTTCCCTGTCAGTCGACACATGTGAGGATGCATCAAGAACCATATATGCAGCACTTGCAAACGAACGCAGCACTGGCGACGGTAATTGGTTCGTAAAATTATAGGGTTTGGTAATGCAGTGACTGGTTGCGGTCGTGGAGTGGCTTAATTCGTTGTTTTCTTGGGGGACAGTGGCATAAGACAAGCCTTGCGGGTTCTCCGTTCCCGGTATATCTCCGGACCGGAAATGAATATCTCTTCTGAATCGTCACTAGTTTTTTACCGCATAAATCCAGAACGGTCTACCGTTTTTAAACTTTCTGAGCACCATGAAAAACGCAGATTTTTTTTAAAGTTGCTCGGAATAAAAACCGGAAGAAAACGGAGTAGGGTCTAGAGAAAAACGAGGTGTCTCAAGTACCCACTACTATCTGCAGCTGTTGTCTGAACCTAATTATTGTCGTGTTATTAGCACTCCAGTGACTCTACCTTTGTGAGTACGCGACTACTTATTCTGCAGTTCCAAGAGCCCAGCATATATCAGGCGAATATTCGCAGCCCGCTTGAGCTGGGCGTAGGAAAAAAGCATGCGGTGAAGGGGTGAGTTGCAGGGATAGTCGAAAAAGGCCAGAAAAGGGGTTGCTGTGCAACACGGCCAGCCATCAGGGGCTGGCAGTCGCCGAGCGCCAGCAGGTAAGTAGTTTAATTCAAATTAATCGATGGATTTCTGCTTGAGCCTTGTAACCCTTGCTCCTCCTGTGGCGAGCAACGGCAGGAAAAAATATACTTAATACTCGGCAAACAGCTTTAATACTGAACCAAAACTGAAACACTATTACTCTGATGGAGCTCATACACATGATCGCTGTATCTATATATATTCCCAAATAAGGGGCGGAAACAGAGATACAACAGAGATACAGGCGGAAACAGAGATACTGGAGCAAACATAGAGGCGTATCATACAAGTGCAAGGGGAGGGACGATTCCCTTCACACCCCCTCTGAATCCCGGAGATTAAGTCTAGCGCCGGACCACTCCCTACGTTGCAACAGTTACGAGGTTACTAATGTTACTGCATATCTATTATTAAAATGTACAGACTACAGATACTGTATACAGCGCACAGAACATACATATCGTGCAACAGATGCACAAAACAATTAAAATTAATACGTACGCATGCATCATAATTATCAATTTTGTAGTTGTACTCGTCCGAGTGGCACTAGGTATCTGCACACACTGTACTCACTCCGCCCATTCTTTTGGAGTGTTGGGCCATGTTTTGTCCTTTGTGTTTTCTCTTCTTTGTTATAATTACTTAACAGAGTTACTATGTTACATTTTTTTGCGAACCGTGCACATTCTACTCTCAGCAGGCGCCATCCGAGGGAAACCGAGAAACGACTGAAAAATGCACCGAGGGGGGAATCGAAACCCCGGCTACGTCCTAAGATCCGCGTAGGCAGTACCACTGCACCAAAGCGCATAGTGTTGACAATCCTTGAAAGACCTTTTCGCTGTACGTGAACGTGAGCCGCTTTTCTCCTTATACTACCACCATAGAAAAGGATAATACTGTGTCTCAAAGAAAGGCACAGTATTATCCTTTTCTATGCTACCACCACAGGAGCTTAATAATCAGAGAAACACATTTCTTACAGCGGTAGCACGACAGGAGTACCTTCGGATATTTGCGAATGCTTGGGCAGTGCCACTGTCCAGTGGCCAGCATGGACGGGACAGGTTTGCCACCCTTTGGACGCGTGCTGCGTGTGGCTGACGGGTTCGGCTACCACAATACGGTAGCTGTACTGAGCCCGGACGGTTCGTGGTGGTTAGGATACATTCAAGATATCGCTGTAGACGGTAGGCACGTCTACGTTGCTTTCGCCTCCCCACAGGCAGCGGCGGGTTGGCTTCCAACTGACGCCGTTTGGATCCTGTCCTTGCTTTCCGACAGCACGTCGCTGATGAATTTCGGAGAAACGGTCCAATGGACGAACATGGAGATGCAGGTGTGGGTGGCGCTGCGCGACCATGTGAACGGACCGTTCCGGTTTCGGCCGGCAATTCTGCTGGATTATCGTCGTAGTATGTACAGTACATGTATGCTTTCTGTATTGTAAGTTTGTATGTACTTGTTCCGTGATACTTATTAAAGGTACTGGTCATGGGCATACATGTATATGCTGGTTTGGTTCGAGAACGGCTAGGGTATTTGTAGAAAACTGTAGGTGTAGAAAACGATAAAATTGTGAAAACTAATTTGTAGAAAACTGCTGATTTTACAGGCTGCGGTTTGTGTTGTATAAGTACGCAGACGGATGGAGTGAGCAGCGCTTCGGTGCAAGTGGTGGACTGCTGTCAGATCGTCGCATAACTGCCGCCGGCTGCATTTCCTGTCCAAGGTCGAAGCAATGCCTTGACGTACACCAAACACGTTATTCCTTTTCCGCATGCAGCGTCCCTTCTCCAAGAGAGAGCAGACATAGCGCGCATTATCACACAGTTCCGCGACGCTTATTACCGGCACTTGAAAGTCTATATAACCGATGTACTAACCGACGGTTGTCGGTTTCACTTGCAAACTGGACCAAACACGTGCACGTTTATCGTCATAAACCTTACCACGGAGGTCGTCACCGAGGCCGAAATGACTGCTTCTTTATACGAGGTCCTGAAGAATCATTTGACGAACCGGATTGGCCTCTCTGTCCAGCACGTATACCAACACGGTATTCGTAATGGACCGTGTGTCAACCGTGCAGGTGGGCAAGCAGTGTTTTAGCTGGCTAAACCAACGATACCATTTACCCTTTCAACTGCTTCTTTTGCGCGTTATTAGTGTAATAATCGAACATTTTTGGCAGTCTTTTATCTAATCAGTTTTTGCAGGTGACAGGTGAGGAGACATACTGTACATACCTTACAATTAAGGGAAACTGTGTCAAACATGCTGCCCGGTACATGGTGTCAAAAATGGTTTACATACACTAAAACTTCCGCTTACACGAACTCCGAATCACTTTGTTGTAGTACTTACTTTATGTCATTCTAAAGCTAAAAGATTGTATTCATTGTACTAAAAGCCGTTTGTGCGTGCAACATCCGGTTGCCGAGATATGGCGAACTAAAATGGGCGAAACGTTTAAATGTATTGCTGTATACCAAAAGTCTGGTTATTGCCCGATCTTCTTGAAACTTTGCTATAAAAAACGCATGGCCAATGGCCATAAAGTCGAAAGTGAACCAGTTGTAGGTTCATAGCACTTCTCCATAATTTTAAAATGGATTTTTTCCAGCAAAGTTTCAAGAAGATCGGGTAATAAACAGACGTTTGGTACACACAATGCATTAAAACTTTTCGCCCATTTTAGTTGGCCACATCTTTGTTGCGTGCGCAACCGGTTTGTGGGACAATGTTTGCAAACCATTTGGCTTTAGAACGGCATAAAGTATTACAAAAAAGTGATTCGGACTGCGCGAAAGCGAACGTTTTAGTTAAAGTATCCCATTTTTGACACTATGTATGTATCGGGCCATTTTCCTTAAGTTGGTTGGTCTTCATTTCGTTTATGCAATCATAATTTAATAGCCGCTTTGTCAGAAGTCACCCAGCGATTACACCGGCGTTTGCGAAGCGGTTATACGAAGAGTAAATCTGGATAAAATTGAACTTAATGCGACACAGTTTCCATCTACATGCTGAATGTGTCAGCAGTTTTTTTTGGTATTCTTTGCAAATTTTACGAAAGTACTCGTTATACAGGCTGAAGTACTGTAATTAAATCATTCCTGTTTCCCAGTATTCGATTAATCACCGCAATATAGTGCGCATTTCCTTTACAGAAAGCGGTGAGATGTGCCCGGACGCTTGTATTTGTCACCTTTCGCATGTGATCTTGTTGGAAATATTTGCAAATTTGGACCTTCAGAATCAGATGCGGACTAAACGGTAACTGTAGCAAAAGCCTGACTATTATGCCATTTTTTATGTTTTATGAAACTTGGCTACACAAGGCAGTCGTTTGAGAATAAGACTGATTTTGTTTCACAATTTTTTCACCTTTACAATGTGATGGTAAAACTGTAAAAATGCATAAAACTGTAGGCCGGCTGATGATCATCAGATGTTTTGCGATACAGGGTGTGCTCGTTGTGGCAGGCGTTGTTAAGCGCTCCCTGGACTAATAACCAGCACATCACCATACGGTACGGGGGTTGTGCCTGCCGACAGGTCTTCAACGATACTTGTTACACCGTGGCTATCCTGTTGAATCGCAGCGTCAACGCGGCCACCAAGAGTCTCGCCCTCACTGGCTGCGGCACCGCTAACCACCTCCACGTTGTAGAACACTGGCTCAGCCTGACCAAGCTGCAACTGCAGTGGGTCGTGCTCAGCGGCGCCCGTTTCGCCTGTTCTGCTCGACCGTACCACGAATGCGCCTGGAGGAAACATTCTGGTTTTAAGCAGGAGCAATGCTGGTTGAAACACGGCATCATGCACCGTCTGCGCCCATTCAAAGGTCACTGTCACACCCTCATCGTGCACAATTGGACGGTAGCCAGACTGTTCTACGATGCGCTCTGGGCCATATTTTATACGTTTGGGGAACACTACAACAGCACGCCGTTTCCGGCATCGGAGCGGCGCCGCATGCTGTCGAACGCCACGGATTTCCCGGACGGCATCTGGCAAGTGGCGCTGCGCCGGGTCGTCCTGCCCTGCGACAGCGCTGACGGCTGGCACGGCCTCATCAGCCGCCTGATGTGCGCGCTGGACGCCGCGTTGCCGCCGGTGGACGACCAGGTGTACGACACCGTAAGCGCTGTCCATGGGCGGTGGCTGCACAGCCTGGCCTATCCCGAGGAATGGCAAACAATTCGCCATCTCTTGTCCGTGTCAGTAGAAATAGGCAGTGCAACGTGTCAGTTGTTAATGCGAATCCTTTCAACTGTCTGCATTACAGATTCAGCGGCTTCCAGGCGGATGGGTCACCGCTGCGCTGGGACGAGACTGATTTGCGCCAGTTGGATGTTCGCCAACTAAGTAGGATGGCTCTGCTAGCCATCAGCCAGGTCTTTGCGGCGCGCTGAATGCCTTCCAGCGACTTTTGCTCCGTGCTGCAGTTTTACTTACGCCCGAGAATTTAGCAGAATTTTGAAAGAAGCAACTTTGTGACGACTGATCTCCTCACGATGCTAACCGAAAAGAAAGGTCACGACCATGTTAGGTACTGGCCGTGCACCACGCGAACTTTGGCCTGTTATTTTCACTAGATACGCTACGAATATCATTACTTTTTATTTAATTTATTTTTTACTATTAAGGTGGACAATTACGGCAGGCTGGATGATCGGGACGGTGCAGCGGACGGGGAAGAGCGGCATGCTGCCGGCCAACTACGTCACGCCCGTCAGTTAACCTAACAGTAAAGGGTCAATGGACGCCGCGGCGGAAGGACTTGGTTTCCCGGCCGCCTCCCTCAGTCTGCTATTCGTGTTTCTTGGATGTTAATTGTGTTTGTACTTAATCTCTCTTCTTCGCCTTCAACTTGACATTGCTCCGGACGCATTTTGTTTCTGCTGCCACTTGTACAGACCTTTACTTGATCGGTTTTTAGCTGTTTTTATCAGTTCGGTTTTAAGGATACATTAGGTTAGGTCTTAGGATGCATGTATTCGCTGTTCTATTCTTCCAGAGTTTTATCCTGGCGAGAGCTGGCTTTTATTAGCTGTACTGTTTTACAGACGGCTTTTTCTGCCTTCTCGATGCCCGTGTATCTGTGGATAGTTACAGCGGGCTGGTTAAACAATCTGTTTTGCTTGTGAATCTGATCCGTGTTTAGATCTCTTCTGCCTAGTGCTGGATTTCTCTTTTATGCCCTTTGCATCATGACACCGGCAGCCACTAATAAAAATTTACGGGATACATGTCCAGCCTTTTCCGCAGCAAAAAGGAAAAAAAAGTAGAAATCAAAGTGTTAAGGAATATGGAAACATATGCATACAGACGGTACAGCAAGTGAAAATGCCACAATTTCCGGTACTCGTAGCAATATTGCCGATGGCTTCTCGGGGCGGATGCACTGTGCACTGTACCGTTCGGCAGTTCGTCCTGCCGGCGGCAGCCACGTTCTGAGGATTTCTGTTTCTATCAAGTACGTAACAGAATTTAATGGTGGATTCTGGAAATTGTGCGATTTGCATCATGCATGCTGGGCCAGCTGGTTCGATATTTGAATAAGTACTTGTTTTCTGATTGTAATCGAATAATTTGTACATGTGGTGGGTTAGTCTTGTGGACGAGCCAGTATGTATTGTTAGTGATGGTTAACTGCTGGATGGAGCGCAGTGTGTAGGAGCGGACAGGCAGCTGCTGAAACGGTGCTGACAGGTCTTGGCTGTGGCGACCCAGAATTGCAGACTGCGTTGGCTTCTGTCCGCGGTTGTCCCTGCTGCGCGTGTTGATGGTTGGCTCGCCAGGAGCGCAGTGCAGCAGGCCATATTGCATTGAGAGTGCGCGCGGAGATCGCTGAATTCTTCATCTTCCCCTGCCCTTGTGTCCCGGGCCAAGATGAGCCAGCCCCCCAACCACCCCTTGCACCCCCTGCACCCCCGCCCCGGCAACGCAGGACGCGGGCCTTCCGGCAGTCCCTCCTCCCAGCCGCAGCCGCGCTCCCCCTTCGGCCCGCAGCAGCCCTTCCACCAGCAACAGCAACAGCGCTATGAGCGCGCCCCCGGCCAGGGGCCGCCCCTGCCGCGGCCCCCCCAACGTCAACGTCCTCCCGGGGACGGCGCATCTGTGCTACGAGCTGGACAAGAAGCTCCTTGTCTGGCTGCGCGACGGCCGCACCTTCCTTGGCTGCCTCAAAAGGTAGGAAAAACCCATCGTATTTCAGGGAATGTGGAAACGCGCAGTTTAGCATGCACTAGTGAAACTGAACGCCAGCACTCGTAGCGTTGTCTCGTGTGTTATTTACGCGAATTAATGCGATCATACTTCGACTGCACCATGTTAGCTAGTGCCTGTGACGTGGTGGTTATTTTGCAGTGTGGACCAGTTTGGGAATTTGGTCCTGTCGGACACCATCGAGCGCATCTACGTCGGCCTGGAGTACGGCGACATCCAGCGCGGAATCTTCATCTTGCGCGGTACGTTCATTTACAGCTGGCATCGCTGGGCGGCCAGCCACAGCGCTGTCATTGCCTGTGTAATTGTGACTGCGGACCGTGGGCGGACGGCCATAGCGCTGCAATTAGCATGACATAAATCAGTTAATTACAACAGAAAATGCGTTAAAATGCGCCACTAAAATGAAAAATATTGAATCAATTGAGTGAAATCGATTAAGTAATAGAATAATCATTCAATTAAATGAAAGCGTGTGTAATTGGCAGGGGAGAACGTGATCCTGGTGGGGGAGTGGGACGCGGAGCGGGAGCGGGCGGCGGGCACGCGCTGCTGCGAGATCGGCTACATCCTGGCCAAGCAGGCCGCCGAGGAGGAGCAGCGCCACCAGCAGCGCGCCGCCCTCAAGAAGGCGCTGCGCCAGCGCGGCCTCTCGGCCCTCAACGACGAGTCCGGCCTCGGCGACGACCACTTCTGACCGTGCTGGCATTCTCCTCGTCCGGCCTTTTCCCCAGACCAGCCGCTGCTTTTTTTCTCCTTTTCCTTAAGATGCCCGTTCAGCTGTCGACAGCGTCGAGTCTCTCTGTGTTTGCTCGTTTGTCTCCATCATGCGCATGTGCAGTTTGACCATTTGTACAACTACGTTGAATCGTTTTATAGCTACATTCACAATAATAACTGCTGTATGGCTATGCAAGTACTGTATGTTCACGTTTAAACTGGTAATAAAGCATTTATCGAACTATATTACGTTTAAACACATAAACATCATCAGAGCAATATGTCGTATTATAACCAGTTTTTAAATTCAAAAACCACTTATGGCTAAACAGTCACCCGAATTGCCGGATCAAAAAGGTCAAAGTCATAGTAAAAGTGGTATTAATCTATCTCAGCCCAATCCGCTAGCTAGGGTGGTCGTCCGGCGTCTCCTGCCGTGCGCATGCGTATATATATATATATATATATATGCCTCCGCAAGTGCACTGTCGTTGATAGACGATGCAGTTCTCGCATGCAATCTGGCATATATATTTTTGTAGATCCTAGATCATATATGCCAGCGCGCAGTGGGGCAGTTTCATTGTTAGCGCGTCCACCGGCACGGCAGAGCCGGATGTTCGACCGCATTAGCCCCAGCGAATTCTTAACCGGCAGATCACAAGGAAAGGTTCAAAGGCGCCGATCCTCTGCTTCGACCCATCTCCCTGTGACCTTCCACTGGACAGCAGTGGTGCCGCGGATTTATATTGTGTCAGAGGCCTTTCAGTCCAAGCTTCAAGCCGTTGATGACTGTAATATTATACGAGCAGCCCGGATATATGTGATATGCCGGATATATAGTTATATCTGCATGTATAGCTATGTGTGTGCAACGCGGACACATCACACATGTACTGCCGGTATACTTTAGCTGCTACTCTAAATGTTAGACTATTATCATTTATTACTTATTATTGTTAGTGTAGAATGTTAACTACGATAACTCCACCTCCACTATATTTATATGTACATAATATTATATAGACACTCCTTTTCCCTCTATTTATCCATAATAAAGTCGCCAGCTGGAAAATGCCGCCGAGTGTATGTAAATTCTTTAACAGCGTAAACTCTCGCGCACCGCCACACAACAATTAACCGTGAATAGCCGAAGCGAAGAAACATGAGATACTCAATTACACACAAGTATTAGTGCATTCTTCATACTTCATAGTGAAAAGCAGATCGAAAAATGAGAGAAACTGCCCAAAAAACGGCATTCTTATCCGCCATTCGCCAACATAGAGAAAAGGAAACTACACATCTGTAGGGTTTATACAAAGCATCCGCTGCTCCGCCATCGGTCAACTTAAAGAAAAACACGCACCGAAACGTTTAAGGGGAGAAAATTAAATTTACAAAATTAAAATCCGTCTCCTGACGTTCTGTGTCAATTTTGTTCCGTCCTCCGCAGATCAGATCAAACGCCGACTAACTTCAACTATATCACGTCACCTGCAATCATTCCCAATTTACAAACAGTTTTTTTCTCGATTAACAACGAGCATTTTTAAGCAAAGCATTCGTTCACTTAGTTAAATATTCGCTGAACAGCAATTAGAAAAAAATAAATCTGATAAAATTAACATATGCATTTTAAGCGAATAAAATCCAAACAAACATGCGAGTGCATGAAAATAGCAAATTAAATACAATAGACAAATCAATCAGAAGGAATAAATATACGTTTTTATAAATAAACTAATCAAGTAAATAAAATGAATCAAGTGTTAATAATATACATAATACTGTACATAATATTATACATAATAATATGCAGAATAATATACATGATAATATACATAATAGTATACTTAATAATATACACAATAATATACATAATAATATACACAATAATATCGATATCGATAGTAATAAAAATACATGATAATGTACATTATAATATACATAATAACATACATAATAATACACATAATAATATACATACTAATATCTATATACATAATATACATAATAATCAGTGTTAATCGCTATTTGTGTTGGTTGTATACAGTGCAGATGAGGTCATCAGCAGTCAGTTCACCTGCAGCGTGGCCGCGTTGGCCGGCAGGAAGATGTGCACGTCGTCCTCCGGGGCGGGTGCGAGCTCCTCCGAGCCGGCCACCGAGGGCGCCGAGCTGTCCTCGCTGGAGCCCGAGCCGGAGCCCGAGCCGGAGCCCTGGCGCTTCTCGGCCTCGAAGGCGCGCCGTTTGGCGGCGATGAGCTCGCGGCGCTGCACATCGCGCTCGTTGAGCTGGAACGTCACTTTGGGCTTGGAGCCGCGCCGCTGGCCGCCCGCGCCGGCGCTCAGCAGGACGCCGTGCTGCGGACTCTTGCTAGTGCTGGGCGTGGGCCCCGCCCCCGCGGGCGGTGGCGCCGCGTCGGAGCCGTCGGAGGAGGGCGTCTGGTAGAAGGACAACGCGCCGCCTCCGCTGCTGGCCGCCGCCCGCAGCCGCTCCACCTCGCCGAACATGCGCTCTACGTCCGCCGTCTGGATGGCCATCATCTCCCAGAAGCCCAGCAGGTCCCCCGTCCCCGTCTTCAACGGCTCGTCCTCGCTTTCCTCCTGCACAACCGGCAACAGCGCCATTTATTTTCTATCCATTTATTCTTGTCTTTATTCTGTGTTTATTTTAATTTCACATTTTATCAGATTTTTTCTTACAATTCGTATTAATTAGTTGTTTTGTAATCAATTATTTAGTTCTATTTTTTAGGCGTATTTTTGGCGGCTGTTTCTATTTTCTCCATGACAGCGCAACTTACGATGTTTTTCTGGCAGAGTTTGCGGAATTGTTGGAATTTCTGCGACAGGAGCAGCTGCGTCTTCCCGATAGCGGCACGCAGCTGATCAGCAACTGCAAATACCCCATTCCATCGATTAATAATATTTTTTAAGTCTTACGATATTTTATAATTTTCATCAATATTTTATGATATTTTTTAAACTAAATTTGCTATGTTAATTTTTAAATATTTAAATAATGCAAGCAAAATCATATTAAAATCAAGGTTATGGGTTACAATCACAAAATTAATACATATTTCAATATTAATTTTAGTATGATAAATTTATGGAGACATTTTCACGTACTTTCGTCGTTGAGATCGTTTGTTTGCAGTTGCACGCTGCCTTCATCGCACAGCGCCTGCAACCGCGCGCGCTCTCCCTCCAGCTTCTCCAGGAACTCGTGCCCGGGCTTCCTGACCACCTCCCGCAACCGAGCGGGCTTGGGCGGGGGCGGCGGGGCGTCCAGTCCCACCAACGAGAGATCGCGGTCCTCGGAGGCGGCGCGGCGCACTTCCGGCGGCGCGGCGGAGTGACTGCGCAGCTGGCGCGCCGAGTGCGGCGCCTGGTAGACGTCCTGGCCGGGGCCGGGTGTTCCAGTCGTTCCGCGGCTGGGACTGCGCGGGAAGGACGGCAGCGGCGTGGGGGTCGTCAGGGTGGGCGTGGGCGTGCCGGTGCGGCGGTGCAGGTACTCCTCGCTCTTGCACAGCAGCTGGTTGTAGTCGCGGCTGCTGACCAGTTTGCGCGGCGTGTACAGGTTGCGCGCGCTGTAGCCGTTCAGCGCGCGGCTCAGCTGGATGTACGAGGGAATGTGCCGGTTTAAGTCCGTGTCGCGCGCCTTCACCGCCGCCAGGTAACTCGCCGAACCCTGCGCCGCACGGAAAAACATTCGTTAGCACATTTAGCATCAAACGTATGATTTCCATTTTCCCGGTAGTTGTACCTGAAAATAGTCGGGTATGTTAAAGTCCAGCGGGCGGAACTGGTGCGGCGGCGGTTGCTGCGCCGGCTTTTTCTCGGCGCTTGTATACACCGGTCGCGCACTGGTGCTGCTAGTTTGTGCTTGAAGAGATCCACCGGCCTGCATCGACTGAAAGAACTGGCTGCGCTCGCTCTGACTGCCGCTCGGCGCCGGTTGCGGTGCCGGCTGCGGACTGGCCTGCCGCTTGTCGATGTCGATGTCCACCACCATGGCGCGCCACGGCGACGACGTGGTCACGCCGGTGGCCGGTAGCGTCTTGCTCTTGCTGCTGCTCTTCTCCGTCGTCTCCGACAGATGCACGACGTACTTGCCGCTGCGGAAGTCCGTCTCCTCGCGGGCCTTGGACGGCGCGCGCCCCCCGCGGGCCGCCGTCTCCGGGGGCGGGGCGCCGGTGTGGCGCAGACACTCGGTCATCTCGGCGGAGAACTCGGTGCTGATGCGGCCGTTCTGCAGTTCGCGCAGCGTCGAGCACTCGTCCGGCTCGACGGCGATGTGCGGCGCGGTGTTAACGTTGACGCTGCTGCTGTTGTTGTGCTTCCCGTTCAGGACGGCGCTGTGGACGCTGAGCCCGGCGCTGGGCTGGATGTCCACCGTGTACCACTGCAGCGCCTTCTTGGAGCGGCCGATCTTCGGGGAGAACTTGCGGAGGAAGTCGGCGACGACGGAGACGCCGCCGCCGCTGCTGCGACTGCGCGCCTTCTCCGCCGACTCGTGCGACTGCCGGATGGTGCGCAGGGCCGGTCCGGCGCGTTGGAGAGGTTCCTGCGCCTGCGACTCCCAGTCGGGCTCGATGCGCAGTCGCGGGGTGCTGCGCGGGGTGCTCTCCTGGCTGCGGTAACCCTAAGCCACACGCAAAACACACCACCGTTAATTTGTTAATAATTATTCTAATTTGAATTTGAATTTGAAAAATTAAATTTCAAAAATTATTAATAAACTGATCGAATTAAATCCCGATTTGGTTAAATACTAGTATACTCTCCATATGTACATGTATTCAATTTCTTATGTTTATAAACAGAAATAAATTAGGAAATATTGTAGATTTCAGTTTAAAACACGGCCAAAAATTGTTTGCATTTCCACCCCGAGTGAAGTGGCGCTTCGTTTGTTGACAGTGTAAAATGAGAGCAACCGGTACAAGTTCATTGCCGGCATGTGTCTTAATTTGCGAAACAACTAGCCGAATAAAGCCATCGCAAAGGACGACTGTGTTTTTTTCCCACGCCATGCTAGCTGCACTGCTTGACCTATTGTCCAAGCCGCCTTTACCGCGCAATTAGCATCCAGCCGAGTGAGACACACTGACTATGCAACTCTCAGACAAACAAAATGCAACTCAATCTCTTGTGCACTCATTGCAGACGCCAAAGAATACTAATGTGTCACCTTCAGTCAGCATATAACGCTTCATTTCTCAGTAATCGTATTAATCGGCAAAGCTGTAAAAATGATATAACTTGCAGCCGGTGCAATAAAAGCGGCGATAGTCGTGGAAAGAAAAATGCCGGCGGCATGAAAACACGCACCGGGTTATCAGACACCAGTGCGTCGGCGAGTTTCACTGTATGTACAGCAAAACACGGTTAGTTGATTAGCGGGTGGGGAAGAAAGGGAGAAACGAGTGGGACGGGATGAAGTAGCGCTGCCGGGAAGAGGGAACGGGGAAGACTAGTCAGAGCCAGCGACAACGGCAAACAGTGGCTTAACACTGCTCAGCTGATGCTGGCGGCCGGTATTGACTTAAAGCAGTCGATACAATAGTTTTGTGTCGATATCGCTGCCAGCCCCGCCCCCTTCCCCTCTTCCCTTTCGCGTAACGCTCTCTCTTTTCTTCCGCGCGACATATGCTGCCATATGTCCTGAACAAAATAACGCTTGGCCCGCGCCTGCAAGCGCACCGCGTGCTGCCAAGGGGACGCCGGGAAAGCGAGCGGAAGTCAGCCAGCGGCGGCTGATACACAACAAATCACATCAAATAAATCACGTCACGCTATCTCGCTATCTTAGTGTATGTATATATACGCGACTGGGACTGTTGCTGTCCCCCGAACAGTTAAGCCAAGACGCGCACAGCCAGACACAAAGAGACGAGGGAAGGAAAAGGAGAAAACAACACACAACATACAAGCAGTTCGATCCATAACAGATGACATCAGCGCAGTGTTGACTGGGAAAACAGCTGGCACGACCCGCGGCCAACACACACAGCCAGGGGACACTGCGTAGCGAGTCTAACGTGCAAATCGATCGTCTGACCTGGCTACACGGGGCACAAGACTAATCGAAGCAGCAGCGAAGACACATTACGACGAAAAAAAGGTCTAAGAAAGCTAAGAAATCTAAGAAACTATCAGACACGATCGGGTGCTAATACAGTGTTTGGTTAAGAAAAAAGAAGGGTGTAAAACGGTAAACAGTGGAGCGTACCTGGTTGACGAGGATGCCTTTGATGGGGCGGTCGTTCGCGCGGGCGTCGACCGACGACAACTGCGGCGATCCGGACTGGATGAAGCTGCGGTTGACCTTCAAAGTGCCGAGGCTCGGCTGGCTACTGTGGCTGGTGCTGGGCCCGTCAGGCTCGATCTCCGGGCGATGCAGCTGCGACTGCTGATGCTGCTGCTGCTGTGGCTTGAAGGAATGCTGCGGTGATGCTGCACGGCCTTGGCTGTATTTGCGCCGCTCGTACTCGTAGTCGACGTCGTTGCTGAAGGACACGCTGCTCATGTTGGCGCTGCTCACGCCGTCGCGCTCGATCACCGGGCTCTTCTTGCTCATCATACTCGCAGTCGACGTATGTCGTGTATCACTGATGCAGTGTATCAGTACGCGATCAATCGATACGCAGTGGCCTTGCGATCACTGCAAAGTGCAAACAGCCAGCGGATCACACACGGCGCATCGATTGGTGGATACAGCGCGGTCCCGCCCGCGGGCGTCTTGTACGTACACACTCACCTGTCAACTCACTTCACTCGTGATGTCGTACAGCGCGTCTAGTCACTTTCGTTTACCTGCAAGATTCACACACCGTGACTCAACTTGCGTACGTGTACGTGTAAAAAATACAGAGCGATTTCTGATTCAGCGTGCTATACAGCGCGATGAATATTGACGCAGGTGCAGAGGTGCCGCGCTACTGCTTAACCCCGCGTCACCCACAACGCAGCAATCACAGCGCCGCTATTCCACACACATTGTCAACCCGGTACTGCACTAAGTGCGCCTGACATCACAGTCAAAGGTTAAACGACGCAAACTGCCGTTCTAACATTTTCCGCTACGGACAACTAAACACCGTCCCGTCCGCGTCAAGGCCGCGTCTGGAATAATTAGCACTTCCGGCGACCGGAAGTTGTACCTCTAACGGCCGGGGCGGTGCCGGCCGCTCGGCGCAATCGCCGGTAATTTTCTTGTAATCTTCTCCCGGCACAAATCGCTCAAGAAAACAGGAAAAAAGGGCATTTTTGATCGATACGCCGCTCTCAAGCGGCGCGGTTTGATTATATTGTGATACTCTCAAGTGGCACAGTCAAAAAAATGGCAATCTCTCCCGGACGATTCAATTGAGCAAGATTTGACAGTTAAGTGAGGAAATATGCAGCCGACAGCTGCGCCGCAGCCGGTCACAACAGCGAAACTGGAATGACCGATTACTGGGCTGTATCTTGCCATTGCGCGATATATACATATATGAAAATGTGTGCCAATTCTCAGGCATTCAACACTTTTCTGCATTGCTGATCATGCACCGCGAAACCCACATCAACACACGCATTTTCACGTAAAAACCGGGTGAAAATTATCCGCTTAAATGCGGCATTATTTGCTCACTGGAAATATTTATCAATTATTGGAAAAAATATTTTTGCGGATGCGCTCTAACGGTTTCCGGTTGACCCATCGAAACCGCAATATTTTGCTACAGTTGTCAAAAGTAAAATGCCGGACGCGGTGGGTGACCGCGAATGGAAACGGGTTGTTGAACCAGCCGGATGAAAAAAGCGTAAAGAAAACAAGACAGGAGACGCATCGCGTTTCCTTCGTCAGCACTTATCGCCGGCCCCAATCTCCACAAACACGCACACGCCGATTTATATTTTCTGCCCAACGAGTACACATTACACTGTATATTTTCCCGACCGGCGCGCAAAACAAGAACATGGAAACCTGATCGCCGGCCGCATCAAAACACCCTGTTTACCCGCCAAATCCGTCTGCGTGCTGCCCGGCGCGCATTCAATTACGCCGTCAACTATATAATATTACCCTTGCTCTATTATGCCGCCGACGTGGGAAAAACAGCTTTCCAATCAAAGAAATGCATGTGAATAATTAAACAGCAGCGTTGCTTTCTCACTCACCTAGTTCGACGGAATCTTAACGGCACACGGAGGGAGCGTTGATTAAAAATCGGGGAAAAATAATTATCGAGAGAAATGTCTTACTGGTGATACCGGAAGTCCCGGCTGGCTTTATATACCCCTGCCTGTACCGTTAATTACCGGCGAACAATACCGTGTGAAAGAAAATACTTGAGCGGCATTGTTTAATAGGGAAGACACGGCGAAAATAACCGGCGACAATGGCGGTGCGGCAGCGCGGCGTGCGCCACTGAATGGCGCCGTGGTCCGCTGAGTGGCCGTGCGCAAGCCGGCCGCGTCAGCGCTGCCGCGTTTTCCCGGCAAACACCGGGCGCATCACGCGGACGCCGCTTCCCGCTTCCCGCCGGCCGCTTCCGTCCCAATTTACTCAACAGCCCTTCATCGCTGACAGGCCCGGCCACTCGTGCCGCCGCATCATGCCGATAGCGGCCACTCCACGCTTAATTACTGTACCAACGCAACACTGTAAGACAACCGCGCTCACTCTTTCCGCCGTCATCCAATCAGCGCCAGTGCCCACTGGATAATTTCCCAATCAATTAATTAAATTAAAAAAAAAACTAATAGCAAATTTAATTAAAAAAAAACTTATAGCAAATTTCTACGACTAATTATGCACCATGGAAAAATATACGAAAATTGGGAGAATAATTAAAGGATGATTTATGCAGTCAATTGCAAGTGCCGCTGCACTACACAGACAACAGGCGCCCAACGATGGGAACACCGCCCCGTTCGTGCACAGATAAATCACGGCTGTCAAACGGCGTTTTGCAGCGAAGCGGCGCGCGCGGAATGCCGGTAGTGGCAAATGCCAATTCCCTGCCAGCGCGCCGTCTCTTCATGTATCGCAACAAACAAGCCCGTTAAAGAGCATCCATCACATAGCACGGATAGAACACAGTGTGCATCACACGCCAGCAGCAGTCTTAATTAATAATCCCCATCAATAATCATCCGCTGCAGCCTCATCCTCAATGCTCATCCGCTGATTCCGCTCCCCCGCCAGATCACCTTTCCCGTGCCCTTTGCCCCACCTAATCTCGTTAGCGCCGCTGCATACATATACACTAGTCACCTCGTCAACAAAGACAACAAAACAATCTTCTCCATGTCCGCCGCGCACGGCACCGCGTTAAACACAACCACGTCAAGTCAGAGATTATCCTGACGGCGTAATCGCCGAAATCCAGTAAATGGGATGAGCATTAGGCAAATGTGCAAAAAACGACTCCCTCGAGGTGGCCGCACAGTATATCTGTGTATTACACTTCGAACTGCGCGGCAACGCTCCGCTGCGTGCGTAATGCACTGCGCTCAGCTGTTGGCCCAACAAACAGGCAGCCAGCAATGCGTTGGTATGTGTGCCGGCTCACTCGGTCATCCGATGCCGCTGCGTTGTGCTGCGACGCGATGCCGATACGATGCGAGCGACGGGAACCCCAACGAGTTAATCCCGCTGAAAACAGCTGCAATTGCGTGATGGAGCGGAATGAAAGGCATTACGGCCGGCCAGCCAGGGAGAGGAGCGCAGAGCAGGCCGACCACTCTCATTTCCGCCCTGCCAACATAGCCAACATACACACATATATACGCGTATCCCGTTAAGCGCCGCACGCAACACAGCCCCCACATTACCGGCATACACAACGCAGCACAACGCACACGCTGCTTAAGGCCGGCCCGACAATTGACGGGCTTCCCTCGTGCAGCACAATACCGCCGGCCGTTGTGCGCGGCGTCCCGGGCGCTGGCCGCAGCTGGATGTTGCACAACATCCGCGCCGCGCACGCACGCCCCGCTGCTAACCCTGCCTAGGCCTACCTGCTGTCCTGTCCACCGCAAAAACATTATCCAACTCCGCTAATGCCTCATCAACCGGCGCGCATATATATCCCACTTTACCCTTACCGTCCCAACAGCGGCTTAACTTTTACCGGCTTTTCCCTTCCCCGCAAATGTTAATCGGGATAATGCTGAAAGCCTTACCGGGTACACTGCGTCATCGATTGCGCCAATGACAGGCCGGGTAATCGCTGCCCATCAGCCGCGAAGAATCGGGCCGGGACTAAACTCCCGTCAAGCTTAAGAGAGGCAGGAAGTAGCCTGTGCCTGACGGACACGGATGTATTTCTCGGCGCAATGGCAGTGGCAATGGGGTCACCGGCGCATCCATCAGACTACGGCCGATGAAAATGCAGATGGAGAGGCGATATGCGATATTAATAACCGGCAAACGTATGCGCGTCCACACCGAGCCGGGCCGGGCCCCAACCCAGCGCTGCCGGCCAGATTAAATTCAGATGGAGAAGAGAAGCAATCGGATGAAAATGCCAGCGCAATGGATACGCTCAAGCCGGGCCGCCGGCGCAATTCGCTCTTAACATCCGCTGCCGTGTGGCCCCATCGGTGGCACTGGCTAACAAAACATTAGTACGGTTAGATGTAACCGATTCCCTTTAACGCCAGATAAGACGGAGCAAAGTTTGCCAATGGAACAGGTACACGGCGCTGCGTCTGTGCATTATACGGCAGCTGGCCAAACCGTGAAATGGGCCAATTGTTGACCTAATTTCCGATAACCACAGACACACCCCCATCAACACTTTCAACTACCTGCTACTGTCACGCATCAAACTGACAAAATGTCCACTACACAAGCACTGTTCCAAATAAATTCCCAAAAATGTAGAAAATATTGGAAATAAAACAGGGGAGAATGTGAGGGAAAATGCTATGCTGACCATATGGCCAACTGTATATAAGCAGCGAAAGGGAAAGAAGAGCGGCGGGATGTGATGGTGGCGTGATGGTTGTGCGCAGTTGAGCAGATGAATGGTCGAATGGCCGGGTCGGCAGTTGGCGGATCGGATCGGATCGGAAAGGCCAGAGGCGAGCGCGATCTTTCCGATTCAGATAGAGCGATAAAGAGAGCGAAGTATACAGAGTAGATGCTGATGCGGATTGCGCCGCACGATAGACAAACATTAAACGGCTATAAATTGCCGCGGAATATTACGACAGGATATTATATTCTATTGCAATAAGGACAGACAGACAGACCCATAAACGTATGTACTGCACACTGTGTACAGTCGAAAGGGAGACAGCTTTGCAGCCGGCAAGTGTGGACCGCCTACGTATACTCAGGCTGCAGCCAGCACACTTCGTTGCTGCAGCCAGCAACGAATCTTCACAGCATCTCCGCTGCATAATCAGTGCAATCGCGCAGTATCCCGCTGCGCCCGACCGGCCACGCCAGTGGTAAATGGGTAAATGGCCAATGGACAGCGACAATTTGACGGCGTTTTGCCGCCTTCCTATCTAATATTAGACTGCCTGCATCTTGATATTACACATTTGATCGGCTGGAAAGTAAGCACTTATCGGCAGTCGTAGGTGATTAACAGCCCAATGGGCGCTACAATTTCACACCTCTCTACAGTACACGAATGGACTAAGATATGTACTACACATATCGGGATGTAAAAATTAAAGTACATCCAAAACTTGAGAATTATTTACTGCATCCATGTACAAATAGACGCGCAGATACTTAACTCAGCTGTGTTGTGTGCACATGTTGTCCTAACGGCCCCGAAAATATTAGATAATATTACACGGAAGATCACTAATCACTATCACCGCCGTCGCTGTTTATAAACGGCATGAATCGCTATCACTTTTTACTATTAGACTATTAGTCATCCACTCATTGTGCTCAGTTCAGTCAAATGAAAAACGAACGGAACAAAAACCATTCTACAGCCATTCCGAGCAGCCAGTCCCTGACCTGCACTGCGCAAATGGACTGTCAACAATAACGTATTAACTGATTAATGTAATAGCAAATTTGACCGGCGGTGGAATGCCACTTATGCGAGGTATGCATAACCGTCAACAGCGCCGGCTCAGTTGGCTAACCAGGGAAGGTGACGCGCCCGGCGCAGCAGTCAGCCAGTGACGTATTTAACTGTACATTTGCCAGGGAACATGCCGGGATAAAGGCCAATTAGGGAAAGAAACCAGGAGTTGATTCATATCTGCGCAACGTTCACATTCATAAAGCAGACTGCAGTCGACGGCAGCAGCAAGCACACTAGCGGTGTCCGCTGGCGTACGGCCGCCCACCCACACACTGACAGCTACCTGCACCAGCACGGTGCGAACAGGTATGTACTGTACTGTACAAGAAACGCTGCCAACACACACTCCGTACTGCTTTTCCGAAGCAAGTTTTGTCTGATTAATTGTAACTAGAAGTATTCGATCAGGGAAGTCAAAACAACGGACCTGATTGGTGAGCGGTCGGGCATCAGGGCGAGTTACGTAAAACAGCGCATAATCCGCCAGAAACGACAGCAGCCACTGGCGACTGGCCAGGACAATCTGACATGCAGAATGATATGTACGTCTGGGAGACGCCACACACTGCAATTTCACTGCAGTATTATGAATAGTATCTACGGCACAAATTGACATTCCTCATTCCAGTGCGCACATAATCACAGCCCGATATTATCAAACGGAAACTGATGCAAGTACCTACTGTAACGCTATGGCGCGCAGCCACTACACTACACCATTATGGTGAGGCCTTCAGTGCAGAACGCTAGCTGGAAGCAGTTCCCGGTTTAATTTCTGCTGGGCAGCTACGCATCCCGGAATGAGGCTCTCTGCGGATCTGGGCTACGTCGTTATGGCACCGACCTGACTGCTCCCGTGGAGGGGCCAGCTGCCCCGAACTGGCGAGATCCTCCAAGGCGAAACTGCTTGATATTGATAGGCAAGCCACTGACGTCTCACACGTCACGTTAACCTCCATTTTCCCACCAGATCGTAACAGGCAGCATTTTCACAATTTTCACACATGTGCTGACCAACAGATTCTCCTTTCTCAACGTTTCCTCATTCACTGAACGTAGTATGCTACTGAAACCTGGCTACAATACAAATCCAGATGAAAAACCTTTAAAAACGATCAAACTGCAAGCGACTGAAAATGCCCAATGTCCGACTGGCGATCAGCCACGCTGACTGCACTCTGAACTGGCTGCCCGTGGGCGGCTGACATCACTGCCAAACTTTACTTCCGCTTCCGGCCAGACGTACTTAATTATTATATTTTATTAGTACCGTACCTATAGAATACTTCAGTACGCACTTTTATTATTATGACAGCGTCGCCGTTACTCAAGTTTCTTGATTTGCTACGAGCCTACGATCCATGTTCTAAATTTCTCCCCCGAATGAGTAAATAAACTTGAATGAGAGCTGCAATTTGTCAAATGCTAACACCTTGTGCTCTGAAAGACGTGCCTTTGTCCTTTAGTATACTTGATTATTCGACTACAGCGGCGTATTCTGTGACCTGCAGCTAGCGCTATTTAGGCGTCCACAACAATACGACATTCAAATAGTTATTTTTTGCTGGCATGAATTTCCATTACGCCCGTCCCAACACATTCAACGTGTCGACACTGACAGGCGCACAACATAGAAAAAGAGACAAGAGCGACCGTCGCGGCATAAAAGCCAGCCCTTCAGGAGGAGAGCGTGGGGTCGTTGATGCGGCCGAGGAAGAGGACGAGGTTGGTGGGGTTGTGGCGGATGGCGAAGAGGAAGGGGTGGTCGGCGCGCAACTCCTTCGTCTCGTCCTGCTTGGGCAGCACCGCCGACCGCGAGAAGACCACGCCCGTGGCCGCCGCCGCTTCCGTGCCCTCCTCGTTCACCTCTGCAACACCAGCAAGCGGTCAGTATTGATTCACCCGATTTATTCCAAAATATTACGAATATTGCCGTTAAAAATAAATTAATTACCATTAGTAATTACTAACAATATTTTTAAATGAGGAACAAATTGCATTTGATGTCGTACCGACAAACGCTTTATGGACGACATCGCTGACGCCCAGCCCGGCGGCGTTCTCCGCCATCCCGTCCAGCTCCGCCGGCCCGAACAACCGATTAATCCCCAGACTGCGCAGCGGCTGCACCAGGTCGTAGGCCGTCTCCAGCTTGAACTTGGGCAGCGTCAGCGCCACCAGCCGCATGTCCATCTGGTCCTGCAGCGCCTGCCACGTCCGCACACTCAACCCCCGCTCCAGGGCGGCCAGCCCGTCGACCGCCCGCGGCAGCAGCAGCAGCATGCTCAGCTCCTCGCTGCGGTAGGGGATCTCCACGGCCTGCAGCTGCTCCGTCTCGGCGTAGAACATCCGCCGGCGCGCCGACATCATCTTGGCGTCCAGCTGTTTGGCCGGCGACAGCCAGAAGCGGTGGTCGGCCGTGGCGGCCTTGTCGAACTGGTACTGCCAGTCGGCTTTGAAGTAGATGGCGTTGAGCAGCAGCATCAGCGTCTGCGCGCTGACCATGCCCGGCGCCAGCAGGTTGCGGATGCGGCCGCCCGTGGCGTTGGCCACCCAGGCGTTCATCTCCAGCCGCGCCGGCTCCGCCGCCCCGGCGAAGTCGTAGCGCGCCACCTCCGTGTCGTAGAACTGCCGGAGACTGGCCTGGTAGTCGGGGCGCAGCTGCACGTCCTGCCGCAAGCAGATGCGGTTGGCCAGGCGCAGCTGGTAGGTGCGCGCCGGCTCCGCCTTGAAGATGTCCACCACGGCGGAGTAGGCGCGGTTCAGGTGGTCGGCGCGGGTGCCCAGCACATCGCTGACGCCCAGCGCCCGGCCCAGCTCGTCGCGGGTGGCGTTGACGGCGCCCAGGTAGGTCATGAGGAGGGCGGCGTTAATACTGAGCGGCGAGAAGAACAGGTTGGCGTTGGCGTCGCGGGCGCCGGCCAGCGCCTGGTACAGCGACAGCGCGAAACGGTCGCTGGCCTGCCGCAGCCGATCCACGTCGTTGCTGGGCGACGGCGGCGATGGCGGCGGCGACTGACCCGCCGACCATCCCGCCAACAACAACATTAACACTGTCAACAATCGCAACATGCTGTCCCTTGAGAAAAACAACAAAATGATAGAATAATCAGGGCATGTGATGCTGATGCCGTTCAGGGTCAAATCTGCACATTTTCAACGCGCTGTATATATGCGCTGCATGTACTACAAGATTTTCTTGGCGCATATATGTATCCACAAACTCCAGCACAAGCGCAGAATGAGGGATATATACAGGCGATAAGATCAGTTCGGCTATATTTAGCCCATCACCGACGCACTGGTTGCAACTGGACCGGCAGAACGCGTGCGCTGCAGTCAGGACGCACAAGGATCAAAATACATGAATAATCAGAAGGATCTTAGCAAAGTACGCGAGGGAAGCGCAACTGTAACTGTATCAACTTCTTTCCATCACTCCACGCAGCGCATGATCAATGATCATAATATTATATCGTTGGCGCATGAATCACGCTGATTATTATAATGCATGTATCAGCACGGAAGCCGCCAGTCGGCGCATAATATTACTAGCATGTAGCGCGTAAAAACGGCATAAATAGCCAGGAACTAATTGAGAAAAGACGCGCCGAGCAGCAGAATATGTGATTGCCGCAGCCGCACGTACGCTAGATACAGCACATCGCGTATTATACGGCAGCCACATTAACACCAATTTCCGGTTGGCATTGGCATAGAAATGCATATGAAATGAATAAGCACAGTAACGCACTTGGCCTTGCAATTGCGGAGAAATTCACACGTACCGCACAACAACAGCCCGATCGTGGCCGTCGCTATGCATGGCTAGCTTGCAAATGGCCGGCAAAGAAAACAAGCGAATACGCCAGTGTCAGCGCTGGCGGAAAGCTGACGCGCTGACAATCAGCCGGAACACAACACAACACTTCACACAATTAACGCGCTGCGGCTGCAACACAACGACAAACACAGCCGACACAAAACGGTACCGGCAACTGATTAATCATCACAGGACGCGAAATGTCGTGCGTTATCACCATAAAGGAATCAAAAGCTATCACCAACAAGAAACGATTAAAAAAATACTAAACAATAAAACCCAGTAGAAGGCAGCGGCTAATTTCTAAACTTTAGACACTATCGAAACACCATCTGTGGAATACAACACATTAACAATTATTTTAGTTAAATACTCATCCAAACATTTCCGCTACTTGAAGCTTGAACTTCAAGTTTCTTTTATGCTTTTAGCCGCATAGCGAAACATTTTCACCCCCGAGCCGTATTTTTATTCCCCGGCTTGCCATACGTCTAATGTCGCCATGCCCTAGTTGAATAGCCCGCCCCGTGGGCGGCTGTGCACAACCGTAACATGGGCGGGTGCCTCTATCGCCGGTTGACAGCTACGACTACTCGGGGCGGTTGCCCTCTTATAGAAATTAGAAATGCTTTTCACGGAAGACTATCACAAAATTCATTGCAGACTTTGCGATTCTAGAGTCTAGAATCTAGACTCTTCAGAGTCTGCAATATCTCAGCGAACATCTTCACATACAATTAAGTACGGCAATTTTCTTGCAAGAGTTCTTTATGTTCAAAAACCGTTGCGAACCTGACACATGATACATGACAGAATCAACACGACCATTTCGTCAGTTTTCGTGATCAATCAACGTTATTTCTACATGATCGGCGTGAGGTATCATTTCCATGAAGGTGTGTTTATACTTGCCACATTCCTTCATTGACGTATGAATGCGCATCAGGGAAATGACGGTAAATAATAATAATATTGTGGCAGCTGTTGATATCAGGATGCATGCGCAGCGCTAATTAACGCCAGCTTGTGAGAACTGGCATTCCGCATTGATTATTCTGCCAACTTCCAATGGCCATGGAGGAAATTACCTCCTCGTGTCTCGGCAGTCCAGCTAGCGAGTGCCGGCGGGTGGGGCACCGCGTGGCCTGTAAGAACACGGTGATGGTGCCAGTTAAACTGGCCGACGACGGTAGCGACGTGTGGTGTTTGGGATTTATCGAGGACATGGCTGGCGACGAGATGTACATTAACTTCCACTGCACTAGGCTCGCGCCGAGGTGGTTGCCGTCCCACGCGGTCTTCCCCCACGACGTCGTCCACCCACCCCTTCCTACGAGTCAAAAGAGCAGGGACGTGCTGGTTGCTCTGCGCGCCAGCAGAGAGGCGCCGCTGGTGTTTGAGGCGGCGAGTGTGTTGGTGTGGGGCAGCCGTTGTCGGGTGTGTTACGTGGCGACGACGAGCGGCGCTCGTCGGCATCTGGTTCACCTCGTGCAGCTAGCGGGACGGCTGCCGTCGCAGCCCCTGGCGGGCCGCTGCCGACGGCAGGGACTCTACGCCAAATATGTCCTGGCCCTACCCCTAGCTATGGATGCAGGAGATGACACTCCTCTCGGCTACAGCATCGACGAGAACCGCCTCCACTACGAAGTGAAGCACTCGCGCCACGATCTGCAGTCTAGGCCGGGCCGCTACCATTATGTCGGCGGATACGATAACCGATTCTACTTTCGGGTTCAGAGAGACTCTGTGCGGATTATATGCTGGGAATACCACGTCTCTTTCTGGACTGCAGAACTGCTGCAGCGCGGCCTCCGCCGACTTCTCGACAGTGGAGCGCTGGCAGATCGTTTACCGTCGCTAGCGCCCTGGATTCCAGCCGTGCCACCGGCGAACTGTAAGCATATCAATTTACTTGAAACTACACAGTACAGATACTGTGGTTTATTATGTAATTACTGCGGTTTATTATGTATGTATTTTATTATGTATTACTGTGGTTTATTATGTAATTTATTAATATGAACATTACGGGTAGAAGTATGTACATACCGTTACTGCTCTGGCCAACGCCTGTTTACAAATCTCATGCGAACAGTTTCGAAAATATTTTTCCCGCGTAAGTTGCCGAGTTGCCCCAGATGATCTCCGATCATCTGATAGACGAGTTGCCCCAGGTGATCTCCGATCACGAGCAGAGAGTGATAGGATCGGAAGCGATACGAGAGGATACATACCGGGTGGCTGAACAAAATATCGATCTACTTTACGATTGTGCACGGGATCCGTCCAATACTTACTTGAGTGTCATTATCTTAGTTTCATTCGAAAGGGCAATGTTTTTAACGTAGAAATTTTAAGTCAAACAAAGATTTTCTTAAGACTGAACTCTTTTATGAATTATTTTGAAAAATTGAGTAGATTTCGAGGATGTCCTGGAAGGGAAAACAATACTAGAAATTACTTACCCATTCCGAAATTAAAAATTGCTGCTTCTCAGCTACATTCTGTAAGACGTATTCTCTGTGTATCCTGCCGTTTTCAGTGTTCGTGGGTATCCCGTATCCATCGTGTATCGTGTGAATTAACTAATTTAAAAAAATTCATGTAGGATTATTCGTAAAAGGACACCGCAGAAATACGTAAAAGTACTTACGCCAGCAAAACTTAAACGTGGAACAAAAGTAATGATGATACGAGGTACATCGGATGTAATTAGAATAATTTATCTCACGTTAATGTTTTGGGTAGAGGGGTTGTTTCGTGCTTTTTAGTATAAGGAATGGCAATACATATTCTATCAATCGGCTTTGACCAGTGCACGGAATAACGGAAACTCCACACGAGTAATCTCATGAAATCCGCAAGAAGGGTTTTTGAAAGCAAATTTCTGACCAGCTCTTTAAAAGCTAATCTGTTTCAATCTTATTTTGGAAGGGCAATGTATTAGTTACATTTTGAAGTAAAACCCGCCTTTCTTGTTGCGACCCTACACGCAACCAAAAATTTTAACGAAACTGCTCATTAACATGAAATTAAAAACCGGGATTTTTTTGTTACAAGGTGCGCGGACTGCAGCAACTCGTCCAGCGCAAGCAGCATGTCCACAACTGCTTTATCATTAAACGAAGAGGTATTCCTCTAAAGTCTAAATAAAAACAGTTGCCAATATTCAAAACGCCCATACGTGAAAGAATGGCCACGAGATGATCTGCAGCATGTTCTGCAACCTGTGACACGAAAAATTTTCACAAGATTTTAACTGGCAAAAAAATAAGAAACGGATTATGACTGTACTTGTCCTGGTAGCTGGTAGTGCAGTGCCGTTTTCTGCTGGTGCTTACCGAGGTGAAATACGTATTTCCAGTTTCCGACCAAGGAGTGCAAGTCCAGTCCTTACCACTGGAAGTCCTTGCGCAAGTCTTTGAGCTGGCGGATGCGGTGAGCCAGGCCAAACTAAGAAGGTGCATAGTTGACTGTTTATTCAGCATTGACAACGTCTGCGTGTTGCGATCGCGATCACTGCAACTCGAAACGACCGCGTGCAGTTCGGGAATGCGATAATTATTGTGCCGCATTTTGCCAAGCTTCCCGCAAGTTGAAGTATTACGGTATGTTGAGAGTGGCGCATTTTCGATTGCAGAGTGAGTCCAGTATGGAACGACGTGTTGGTCGGCTGGAAACCGGCACTGGTTATTGTCGACATGGGTCTGCGCGTGGAGAGCGTGGACAAGGACAGCGAGATGTTCCGGCTGGGCCGTTTGTTGCAGTACGCCTTGGGTGGCAGCGTGCGCAGCCTGGTGTGGACCCGCTGGACGCCGGGCTTGCACGTGCACAGCAACAACGAGACCAGTACGGATTACGATATCGCTGTTCTGAGCAATCTGGTGCGCATCGCTTGCACCGGCCAGCAACTGCAGCGCATCCTAATGCACCGCTGCGTCGTGGAGTACGAGCTGGGCGGGTGGTTCTCTAAGCGAGCGCTGCGCTGCTTGACGCCTCTGTCGGAAGTGTGTGCACAGCTGCTGCTGGTCGACTACGCCATGAACAACATGCTGTACGAGTTTGCCATGGGCGCCCCCGGGGTGTACATCCCGCGTACTTATCGCTGGCGGCCGCCCTTTGGCCGCAGCTTGCCGGCGCTGGTGGTCAGCGTGCCCATTCTGCGGCTGGACTGCTGCCACGGCGTCACTGCCAATTACAACACCATGTTGGCGGCCATCATGCAGCACCTCCCGCCGTCACCGCCCTTGCCGGACCTGCTGCGCACGGTGACCGCGTTGGGAGCGTACTGGGACTCCGTGGAGCCGGCAGACCGGAGTCGCTTCTGGGAGTCTGTCCGCTACCTGCTGCGCTTGTGAGTCGCGACGCCCGCCTCGCTTAGCCTCGCTACTCTTATTATCAGTAGCATTATTAATTAAATACTGTACTATAGACGCTTGTTTATTGTACGTACTTGTACGATTATTAATACTGTTCAAGGCCATTAGGAAATCACTAACTCCTACGGTAGTCTGCTAGCGGCTGATTACTGAATCCCTGATTAGCGTTCTGAATCCTGCTTGTTGCAGCACGGAACCGGTGGACCCCGCTGCTCCTGACTCGCCGCCCTGGGCGGACGTCCAGCTGACGTCGTCGGCAGTGGTGCAGTTCAACAGTATAACGCTGTTAGTTCTATCGTCCATGTGGCAGATGGTGGACTGATTCGCGTCCAGCTGTACAGCTGCCTTGCCAGTTCGGCCCACAGCACAGCGAACATGGGACGTGCCACTCTGCAATGCATCGCTGTCAACCCTGCCGGAAGTATTCCGAAACGAGGAAACCAATAAAGCCCGTCTCCTTGCACAATCCAAACCCGAAGCCGGTATTTGGTTGAATGCCTTACCTTCAGCACACATCGGCAACCACCTAGACGGCGACGCCTTGCAGATATCGGTCGGGCTGAGGCTGGGCGCAGTAATTTGTGAGCCACATTTCATGCGCGAAATGCCACAAATTAGTGGGCATGGGTTGACCCTGCACGTACTCCGCCGGAAGGGATGCTCGCAACAGCGGGTTAATTGAACAGCATCGTATGCCGTTCTTTGGTTTCAGGGGGCATACCAGCGAAACTCGAACCCCGCGGCACATCCCATGCTTCCGATCGTCGCCCGGACGGATGCACCGCATTGGCATGGAAACGCGGAATGTGCTTAGCATGGGATGTGACCTGCGTAGACACTGTCGCTCGGTCTCACATTAAGCTCACTTCCGCTACCGCGGGTTCCGCCGCTGCCCATGTTGAAGACAAGAAAACCCGATTGGACGCGTATCTCCAAGGCAGATACATTTTTGCCCCACTAGTTTTTGAAACTCACGGGCCATGGGGAAAGTCTGCATCTGGCAATCGGGAAGCGGCTACAGCAGCACACAGGCGAACCTTGCATACTCGAACTTCTGCGCCAACGCCCATCCATCGAAATCCAACGCGGCCTCCGCACTCGAGACCATGGACGGAATGGAAAATTTAAAGGAAATCTTATTGTTGTAACGTACTATGCTTTTGTTTCGAAGTTGAACTGGTGACTGGCTTGTGCTAATACAATAGTTCGGCCCAGTTACCATGCCCTAAGTCAGTGTTTGCCCCTCGTCCGGAGACATGTGCTGCAGCGCCGTCTGGCACTTCACCTGTTGCTTCCGTTATCCCAGCCATACGGCAGCAGACGGTGACCAGTGACCAGTTTTGTCCAGTCCACCGCAGATGGATCGCTGCGTTGCACTGCGGCCGACGGTGGACCGGGCGCATTCGGATACCTGCGCAGGTCGCCAACCTCGGCAGTCTGCGCCTGCCCCACCCCTTCCGGCCAGCCTGATGACTGCGCCAATGCCAGCTCACATGTGCATACTGCACTGGCCAACAAGAAGCCCTACCAGTGTGAGCTGGACTAGTCAGCTTTTGGCGTCACAAATACAACCGATACGGGGCCGGATATCTTCCCGGTAATAGTATGATTTCGTAACATGCTCCAGCTGTACATATGCTGTTTGTATCGTTCAACATCCATGTGCATTATTACGCGATCACAAATACATGTATCAGCACGGAAATGACGGAATTCCAAGTCGCCACTGCCAGCCGGCGCAGGGCGCACATACATATACATACGTATCGCGTAGAAATATTACTGTAGCAAAAAAGGCTATAAAGCCAGTAAAAAGCAGTGGCTAACTTTTAAACTTTAGGCACTGTCGAAACATCATCTGTGGGTTACAACACTTGTGAACGGTTATTGTAATTCAGTACGAGTACTTCTACTCATGCAGGCAATTCAGTTAAGTTTCAAATTCAAAATTCCAATATTATAACAAGAAATACCAGCACAACCGCCGATGTACAGACTACAGATAAGCTCATGCCACGCACATCCACATAAGTTTAATTTAATGTACACAGTTTGTAAAAAAAATCAGATCGACAAAATTACAAATTAAACTCGAGAAATAATCCGGCTAAAAGAGAACATGCAGGGGTACAACAAATACTACCTGCCGACTGCCGAGCGTACATGTGCGTAGCGCATTCACCGAGTATTGCCCAAAAATCGGGAAAATCTCCATTTCCGGTGTCTTATTCTCCACACCGATGCCAGACAATCCAGAGTACCAATTCAAATTTCACTCTAGCACACAAGAATCACAAATGCTTCAAAAGCCGTGGAAACGATCAAATGGCGGGGATGGATGCTTACCGCGTCGGCGGCGTGGAAGAGCTGGTCCAGCGTGGCGCAGGCCGCCTTATGCACGACCTCGTCGTCCGAGCACTGCAGATTCTCCAGATGCACCAAGCCTACATCAATACAAAGGCAGATTAATTAATCTAATAAACACCAAAAGAACTACCTAATAAATTACTACTTATCGCTAGTGCATTGACTCCATTCAAACAACGGAGATTAATCGAAACCGTTCCCTTTTAATACGCACCGAGCGACGCCTGCAGGCGACCGCGCACCGTCCCTGAGAGGCCGCATTCGGCCAGCAGCTGCACTAGTTGGTCCAACACTGTCAGCACGCGGCGCAGCGTGGCCGTGTCGCGGGTGACCAGCGCCGCCGCCAGCGCCTCGAGGGCCCCCGCCTCCAGCACCGCCGCCAGCTGCTCCCTCGTGCCCGACTGCACGATGCGCCCCACGATCTGCACGGCCTCCAGCGACACACTGCCGTCTTTTCTCTACGATTCAACACTCCCGGCATTGATTACTACCATCAGCGTGGGGGAAACGTTGCACACGTACGTTGTGTACATGGGCAATCGTCTGCCGCAAGAGACCCGGAATCCCCACGATCTTCAGCGCGCCCAGCGCGCAGTTTGTGGCCATCCGCTCCAGACACACCAGCGCCAACTGCATCCGCCATAAGACAACATAATTAATTTATTTTACAAATAAATATACATATTTTACAATTTATTGGATTTTATTGAATGATTTATTGCTCATTTTCTTTTCCGGTACCTTTTGCAGCTGGCGGTTGGTGTTGTTGAGCACGTGGGCCAGTTTGGGAATGCAGTCGCAGAAGGGGACGAGATCGTCGCCCTGGAGGGCCCACAAGAGGCTGGCCAGCAGCCGAAGCGAGGGAAACTGCGAATAACCTCGTTGAAAAAGTCAGCAGAATGAAAGGAAAATGCAGCAACCGACCAGGCACTGATTCCGCTCTTTCACCGACACATTCTTCACCAACACCACGATCTTGTCGTCCTGACCAAGACGCTGCGCCGTCTCCGTCGACGATTCCGACAAGTACGTCAAACTCCAAATGGCATTAATCCGCACCTGTATTTAAAGGAAAGTACTGCATTGTCAGCAAAACCGGCAGAAAACGTTTTCTTCCATTTATTTATATTTTAAAATCACCGTGTGATCGTCGAGCGAGGACATCCACAAGAGCTTGGGCAGGACCTCCTCGACCACCTCCAGGGGCAGGGGCGGCGGGGAGGGGCGGGCGAGGGTGAGCAGCAGCCAGCTGAGGAGGCGCAGCACCGGCCGCGGCGTGGCGGCCTGCAGCAGCACGCGCAACCGCCCCAGGAGGCCGGCCTGCAGCGCGACACAGCGCAGCTCGGCGTCGTCGGCCAGCAGGTTGGCCAGGGCGCCGGCGGCCTGCCGCACCACCGGCAGGTGCGCCGAGTCCAGCTGCTCCAGCAGGGCGTGCAGCGCGCCGTCCGCCACGAGGGGTAGACAGCATGCAGCGTCGCTGGCCGTCAGGAATGTCACGATCCACGCCGCTTCCAGCTGCAGGCTCTCACTGCAACGAGCATGTTAAAATCCAAAAAATACTCAAACACAAGCAATAAAAATTTGAAAAAAAATTTAATTAATTGGATAGTAATTCTGGAAGAAAACAGATGGGCTTACTCGACATGGGGTCCCAGCACGTCCACTAACAGCGGCAGTGCGTTGGTCTTGAGCAGGTGGCGTGGCGAGCAGTCATGCGCTTGCAGCAGATTTCTGCAGGGAAGAGTTACACGTACTTTTGCTGGATCTGGCTGAATGCAGGACACTGAGGACAGTCTACCTGAGATTCTGCAGGCCTTGGTATTGGTGGGCCAGGTTGGGGGAGCGCATGCGGACCAGGCATCGCTGCAGGGCCTCGTCCGCGTCCAGGCGACGCGCCTCCATCCGCACTGCTTCTTCACAGCGCCAAACAATCAACAAGACCCTCCAGTCAGATTAGCGCAACGACAGTTAGTAAGGTCAGATTATTTCAAGGAGAAATCACCAATTTGAAATCCACCATCAGAGCCATAGTAAATTATGATCGAATTCTGCCAAGAGTACTGTACTCTCAGTACTGCTACTTTTACAACTCCACAAGATCGTTTCAGCTATAGGATGGTCATATTAAAACAGGAACAAGATTAAACACAGTGTTCCGGAATGTTGCATTAATTTTTATTTCAGATGATAAATTATAATTTAATATTAATGTTACAATCATCTATCATCCTGATTCATCAGGAATTAGAATTTATTCAATTTAAAAATAATTACTTAATACTCAATACTGGACCGAAAATCGAAATGCTGGAAAACTGGAAAAGAAACATGAAGGAAATCCTTGCCCCCCAACGTTTGCTACGCACGGTGCAGACTTCGGCACGCCACTGGTGGCGTGGACGAACTGCTAACGGGTGACTGCTACGTACTCACATTTCCTGAGCAGCACGTGTATTTCTGTATGCAACGTGTACAGCTTGCTAAACACAGCAGCTTCTGTCTGCCATCTGTTTGTCTAATCTAAAAAATATTTGTCACGACTCTTTTCCTAGAGTACTTTGATTGCAAAGAAATTGGGATTTTCTTCCACTGACCACTTGAGATCCTTATGCATAATACTGATGGTGCGTGCATGTTAACGTTCCTGATACAAGGTAGATGTGCGGTGCGTGCGGGATGGGAAGCACGAGGATTCTTATGACGACGAGCAGCTGAGCTTTTCGCTAGCTGGAAGCCAAGGAGCGCGAACACATTTTGTCCTGAGTTCTCGTAGAGTACTGCGGCTGCTATTCCCTCCTGATTGCTTCTCTTGGCGACATCATGTCCTACTCGGAATTGGCCAAGTTAGCGTCGTCGGACGGCGCGGAGGGTCGCGCGACGGCGGGGGAGGAGCGCGATGCGCGGCTCTCCTTGGCGCGACAGAAGGTGCGTCGTTGGACTTGCTTCTCAGTTTGCATCACTCTGGGGCAGTTTGTAATGTAAATGTATGGCTGTGCAGTTGAACAAGTTCCGCAAGAAGAAGGCCACGGCGCAGGACACCGCGGACAACGTGTCGGAGACGGCGGAGGAGCTGTCTGTGTCGGGCTTGTCGGGCCGCTCCTCGCCCTCGCTGGACTCCCTCGCGGGGGCGGGGGCCTTCGCGGGGGGCGCCCCGGTCAGCGCGCCTGTCCTGCCCTTGTCCATCCCTACCAGCCACATTCCCCAGCCAGCGCGGAGTGTCGACGGCGCATCGCCGCGCGCATCCATAGGGGAAAACGGCGAAATGTAAGAACAATTTCCTACAGAAAATCCAAATAAAATTCCACATTGGAATAATCAATTACCGCAATCAATCCTCATGATGTGCACTGCTTACAGAATAGACAATAATTTTACTGTTATGATTCCCGAATCGTTTCTCATGCTGCTTTTTTTTAGATAATGAAAGGAATTTTATAATATTATTTCTGACCTCTTTCCTGGTATTTTTGTAAAGTATTGTTTCTTAGGTTTCAATACGTGATTAAGTCCTGAGTAAATATTTCTGTTTTCTTAGGTTACAGTATTGCAGTTCGTGAATTGTTCTTGCGTTGTTGTCTTTATTGAAATTTTTCTTTGCCATTGTTGTGGTGTTTTGCAGTATATTTGTAAATTATTTGGTTTTACTACGGCTGACTTGCAGTATAGTTTAATTTTTGATTACTTGCAGGAGAGATTTATTGCGGCAGTTGAGCCAGCGCAGTAATCCCGCGGAAGACGGTCTGGCCAACCACCGGCCCGAGGTAGCGCTCTTCTCGCAGGCCGGCACGGATGAAATGGTAACTTATGCACCTGCCATTCAACTGACCATATACAGCGTGAACGAATAAATGCGTTAACGGCAATTGTACGGACTGTTTCTGTGTGCATTCTGCAGCGCGAGACCATCCAGCGACTGCGGCAGGAACTGGACCGGGAGCGCTCCAGCGTCGACTCCCGCCTCCTTCGCGAACACCACAACCTCCGCGAGCAGCTCAACGTGAGTCTGTTCAGTACTTTCCGTCGTGCCGCTTATATGGATATACATAAAAACAGTCGTAATAAATTAAAAATAATCGTGAGATATTGGTGTGCGGTGCGTGGGAATAAATTATTTGTTCGTTGAGTGATGAATTATGGGGAAATGGCGGTTGGCAGGGACACATTCAGACGATCGGGATCCTGGTGGCGGAGAAGACGGAGCTGCAGGCGGCCCTCACCCGCGCCGACCACATGGCCAAGAAGAAGGCCGTCGAGGCCGAGGGGTACGCCAACAAGCTGGCCGAACTGCGCCTCACGCTCACCGAATGCGAGCGCCGACTGAACGAGACACAGATGAACGGGTACGTCGGTAATATTCTCGGTACTGGCTGCAGTCAACGGTTAACGTGGCGTGTTTATCAGCGAGCACACCAGCCACAACTTCCACGAGCAGACAGAACGCTACACCCGCCAGATCGCCGATCTCCGGCTGGTCGCCGAGCAGTCGGAGAAGACGGTGGAGACAATGCGCGATGAGCTCTTCGAGGCCAGGAAGAAGCTCAACCTCAAGGTATATCCCTTCTTTTTCCGGTATTTTTGATCGTCAGACCACAATGCGGTCTTTTGCGCAGGATGCGGAGACGAAACGGCTGGAGCAGCGCCTGAGCGATGTGGAATCTCAGCGGGTGTGGCAGCGCGGCGCCGCCGACTCGCGCGAGCAGGAGCAGGTGGAGAGTCTGCAGCGCGATAAGAAGGCGCTGGAGTGGAAGGTGCAGGAGTACCAGCAGGAGATGGCCGCGCTGCGCCGCGACATGGACGCCCTCGTCGGCCGCTACCAGGCCGCGCTGGCGCAGGCCGCCGCCGCCGCCCGCCCGCTCATGCCGGAGCGGGAGGACGCGGATAAGGCGGAGGAGGCCGTCAAGGAGAACGCGCAGCTCAAAGCGCAACAGGAAGCCCTAATTCGGGAAAACGGTCAGCAGTGCGTCGACTCAAATATTCGTGCATAAATGGAATTTGATTTGTGCGGTAGAATTCCTTTTGAACTCCGCGGCGCAGCAGAAAAGCCTCATGGACCAACTGCAGCAGGAGAAGTCTAAACTGGCGTCGGCCAACCAGCAAAAGGTCAGTCCATGCCAGCCGCCCAGGGAATCGGCTGCTAACGGTGATCGCAGCTGTTGCTGATGCAGTTGATGAAATTAATTTATCCAGTCAAATTGCTGACCGATTAATGTTGAAAATTAACTGTAATCTAGTGAATCTTATATTTTTTATGGGGATTTTATAGAGCGACGCCCTGCAGCAGTGTGAAGCGCGTCTGCACGAGCACAGCCAAGTAATTGCGCGGCTGACGGCCCTGAACGAGCAGCTGGCCGCCAGCGCCAGTGACCGCAGCAGTTTACTGGCCTCCGTGGAGAGCGACAAGGTGGCGCTGAGCCGCGCCGTCTCGCAGAACCACGAGCTGAAGCGGCTGCTGGACGGGCTGACGGTGGAGCTGCAGCAGGAGAAGGAGCAGTCGTACCAACTGCGCACGCAGGCCGACGCCGTCGCTTCCGGCGCCCCGCGTTCGCCCAGTCGGAGCCTGATGCACTCGCAGACGGAGATGGCCGTTCCCGTTAATACGCCGGCCTCGGCCAGCTCGCAACCGCAGCCGGCCGCCCACGCCAGGGCCTTCGAGGGGAAGATCCGCAATCTGGAGGACGAGATGCAGCTGTACAAGAACCGCGTCATCCAGGCCGACTCCGAGGTCATCTACCTCAAGAATGCGCTGCGCATCAAGGAGGTACATTAATTGGTGTCAAGAGCATTAATTTATTGGATAATATGTGGTTAATTTGTTTATTAATTTTTAAATGAATAATGTATGTATGATTTTTACCTATTTTATTTGACTGTTGTGGGTGTTTGTAGGAGGAGTCGAAGCTGTTGGAGCTGACGGAGCGCGTGGGCGCCTACAAGACGCTGGAGCACAAATTCGTCGCGTCCATGAAGCAGAACGCCGAGCTGCAGGACCAGGTGGACCAGCTGGAGCACGTCATCCTGCAGCTGCAGGGCGAAACCGAGACCATAGGTCAGAAAGCTTAAACCAACCTTTCCCTCGCACAATCCCATTTTAACTGTACAATCGTGTAGGCGACTACATTGCGCTGTACCAGAACCAGCGCACCCTGCAGAAACAGCGCGAGCTGGAGAAGAGCCAGCAGATCCAACGTCTCTTGGAGGAGCGCGAAGCCATGAAGGTATGCATCGTCTGGATAACGTGTTAATGTTTCTGGCACGTTGTGTTTGTGCAGCTGAACATTGCCAAGCTCTCCGGTTTGCTGCGCGGCCGCTTGCACGAGCCGGAAGTCCCGCCGCACCGACCGCACGCGGAGGTGGAGTCGGGCGACACGCCGGACGCCGCGGTCCATCCCGCGGAGAACGGGCACGCGGCCGGCGCGGAGGCCGACGCGGGTGCGGAAGCGACGATCCTGACGCTGCTGCAAGACATGGACGACCTCGTCCACACGCCGCCGAGCGCCGCCGGTGCGGCGCCCGCCCACCGGCCGCTGCACCACACGCCCTACTGCCCCTGCTGCGTCGGCGTACTGCGGGTCGTCTGAACGCGGGGAAACGTGGAATTTATACAGAAGAAGCTATTTATTCGCGGTGTTTGTGGATTTTCTAATGGATTTGCCAGCTGTGAGATTTGTATACGGTTTTTGTGTGTGCTGCCAGATGGATCGCTGATATTATTACGGGATAGTGGTGGAGGTTTTTATCGTGTTGAAAATTGCCGGGCTTGACCAGTGCTGACTGAGACTAATACAAATTTATACAATTATCAAAAACGGATGCTGAAAATCACTGTCACGGATGTCACTGTACAGTTTGTTCCATACATTGAAAAACAGAGCGAATCACGGTCGGCACCAGCAGCTTCCGGAGGGGCTGCAGTGGCCGTTGTTGAACTTCCAGCGCCGGCCGTCCGGCCCGACCATGGGCACTTTGCAGCAGTCGTTGCAGTTGTTGGACACGTCCGTCGCCTGGCCCCCGCCCAGCGTGCAGCGGTCACAGCAGTCGCCAAAGTCCTTGCACACGTTGTGGTCCAATCCGCGCATCACCGGCACGATCGCTAACACGACCAGCGCGCACACTAGGCAGACGTGCGAGGCGTTCATTCTCAAGCTTTTATCTTTAACCGGCCAAAGGAAAAAAATTCGAAAATACCAAGAAAAATATTTTGGTTTCCGTGCAACCAAAAGCAAACTGTATATCGCTTGGCACAGCGGAAGCGTTTCTGCAGCCTTTTTAACGCAAGCCATATAATGTAGTGAATGTAAACGCCTCCGGCTCGTGTATTAATCACACCTTTCACCCGGCAAATTCACGGAAACGGCGAGATAGGTTTCTGCACGAGCAGTGATTATGTATCTATCTGCAGCTGTTTTTTGTCGGCTTGTTGTTGTTTTTGCGCTAATTAAGGAGAATTTTGGCCCGGTTTTTATCAGTGAGTCATAGTTATTTTTTGTCGACGTACCGAGTGAGTCAACGCTTATGCTGCGCCGACAATGGTTGAGTAACAAAGCGGCAGCCTCCATCCGTTCGACAAAACCCAGCGGCAAGAAAACAGAAAAACATTAGAAAAAATATTTCGCGTTTCCGGTGTATAATGGCTTGCCAACCGGAAATGGAGAAATATAGCACAGTTACGTGTTTATTTACACGTTCACCACGCACGTGTTCAGCGCTGTACAAGCAGGACACAGTTAAAGCAGTAAACTACATAAATAAAACACGGCAACAGAGGATTTTTTAAGAAAACACCGGCACCGTCGTGGTCTGTTTGGGCATGGGGATGCAGGTGCAGAACATGTCCTTATCCGTCGCCGGTTTGCCGGTGACCGCGGCGGTACTGACCGGGAGCGGCGTGCTGGTCGGCGGCAGCAGGCCCGGCGCCGGTTCGAAGCCGGCTTTCGCGTCAATCTCGACGCCCTTGCGCAGGAATCCCTCCAGGACGCTGGGCTCCACCGCCGTCGGGGCGGCGGCCCGCGGATCACCCACTTCCGGTGTGACGTCGGCCTGGCGCATCCGCTCCAGGGCGCTGACGAGGTGGGAGGGCAGGACCAGCTGGCGGGGGGCGCCGGGAAAGGTCACGCCCAGCCGCTGCATGTCGGCCAGCAGTTCTGCTTGCTCCCACCCGCCGGCCGTCGATTCTCCGCTGGTCTGGTTGGTCCGTGCGGCGCTGCTGTTGAAACGCTGGGTTGTATTGAGAGCCTCGCGCAGCGCCTCGTGGATGGAGGGCGTGGGAGCGGCGCTGCGCCGGCTGCGGAAACCGATTTCCTCGCTAAACTGCCCCGCTCCGCTCGCTCCGTACGGCTGGTTGAATCGCATCGGGTTCATCCCGTTTAGCAGATAATAAATCACTGAAAAATTGAGTATCAAAATTTCCTGTGTAACCGGCGTGACCTTTACAAGAACTTACGTGGTAAGACAGCCGCATCTGCAAAAAAAATAAAACTTTATCAAGTATGAATGCTTTATTTAATATTATTACGCACTCATTGGATCAGCTGTGTTGCCGGCATTGAAAGCCGGACGGTTGTTGACCGGTCCGATAGGCGACGAACTGGGAACCGCGGCAGGAGCAACCGCCGGCGCATCCCCGTCCAGGTGGCGCTCGAGATTATGCAGCAGCGCCTCCGTCAGGACCGGGGGACTTTCCACTTCTCCTGCCGCCCGGGGCGGCGGCGGGAAGTTGAGCGGCTGGTGGCCGGCGCGCGACTGCATAACGACGGGATGCGCTGCCGCCGCTCCGTCCATCTGGAAGCCGGTGGGCGGGGCGACGTTGGCGGTGTCGGCGGTGGCGGCGCCGCGGCTGATGAAGAGCGCGGAGGGGATGCCGATGGCCAGGGCGCGCTGCAGTGGGTGCATGCGCAACCAGGCCGACTGCTCGATGTTGAGCAGTTTCAGCGCAGATGTCGAGAGGGCCGCCGCGCTGTTGGACGCATTAATGGCGGCCGTGTGCGGGGCGACTTCTGGTTGGACATCCACGCTGTTTATGGATAACGGCTGGACGATGACCTGCCGGTTGACCTGACAAAGTGACCGGAAATTAGTCGTATTCAGCCGCATGAATGCCGTTTCAGTACTGATATTAATTACATAATTATAGACAACTTACGGTGTGGGCACGGCTCGCCGCTGACGGCAGACTCAGCACCGGAAGGGAGAATCCCTGAACCACATTGACGGTCACTGCAGCGCAGAGCGTAATTAAATAGACATGCAGGAGAAAGCTCCGCTCGCCACGAATGATGGACGTCAGGCGCGAGGCCATCGCGTATATATGGGCTATAGTGGAAAGGTCACCAGTCGACCCTCAACAATCAATCGTCACATCGTTGTAATAATTGCATAAAAGTTATAGTGTAGAAAGTGAATTTCTGGCCGGTTACGCTGTGCAAATCACGTCTGTTGCTGCTCGTAGTGATTAACGGCAAGAACTGTTACGGGTGTCTGTTAAGACCGGGACCCATGCGTTGTAGCGATACTTAATACCTAACTGAAGGAATTACGAGCATGAAGCAGGTGACCATCTTCGACGTCGGCAGTTTATATACGTTCAGACTGTCCGCTTAGTGTTACTGGCTTTGCTGTTAATCACGCTGTCCAGTCTGTTGTTTGTTCAGATGTAAAGGAATAGCGGCAGTGTGCTACGTAGAACGGCGTGCCAAACGATGTCTTGATGGTAATTAATCGCCGACAATTAGCCGGTGTTGTCTCTCTACTGCATCTGCGCCAACAACAACACATGCACCGGACGCGGCGTGTGCGTAGCGCGATCCTCACCAGCAGTCGGCGCTGACCGGAAGCGGCACTCAGCGCCGCGTTGCCGGATTCGTACGGGCGGTGTGCGCGGCGGACGAGAGAGCGAGCGCCAGCCGGCTCCGTACCGCCGCGGTACAGATACAACCGCTACATATGCCGCACAGGTACAATGCGCACGCACTCATCAAACAACGGGAATTACTCGTATTGAGCATAACACGACGCTGCATCGCCGGCGTATCTAATCTGCAATGACAGAATTCGAAAGGTTTCTTGGCTAGACCACTGTACCATATCGGACGGACCTGCGCTATCAGTGCAGTTTACACACCAACGATTCATGATATGCCTTACTCGTCAATGTTATAACGGCAGGTTGCTACGCGTGCTATCTGGTTCAAACAACCGGTAGAAATGCTGATTTACCATTTTTAATTAGGGATGTTATGGTCATACTTGATATTATACTTGTGGACTTCATAATTATAACGTTGTATACACCCACAGTCGATAGCGCGGTGTGTATGACTGTGCACGTGGGTGGATACGCGTACACATCATTTAGTTAATATTAATTTTCAAGGTCAGTCACCAGTGTACTCTGTATTAACTCCCTTTTTATTAAAAACCAATGTACTTTACAATAAATTGCCTGTTCGTGGCCGTATTTGCAATTGGGTACACGTACACAAACACGAGCCGCACGTGCTCTATGCAGAACTGTGCGAGTACATACATACTTGTTGTTTATGCCTGCCGGTGCGAATGTCAGCAGACTTTCACCAGACGTATCAAAAGCACAGTTGTACAGATTATGTACGAGTACATAGTCGCTGTCACTAATACTGTAATAAAACAACTGCAATCGGACCGGTTATAGTCCATAGACTCCATACCGATAATCTGCCTGCCAAACCAACATTTTACAGCCACAGCATGCGCATGCGCAGCACAGTCTCGCTTCCGTAGATTGATACAGTAAGAGTCACAGCGCCCGGGATAGAACGTTTGGTGGTTTTCTTAAGAGGGAGAGGAAATATACGCGAATAACTTCAAACAGAGGTCGTTTTCGCAGCCATGTTGACAACGGTTGGTGTGTTGGTGGGGAGCGCGGCCCTCCTGGCGGCGGTGCTGTACTTCCTGCAGCGCTGGAGCAGCTCGGCGCCACGGCGGCCGCCCGCGGGCGGAGCGCTACCGCCGCAGCCACCGGGCTGGCCGCTGCTCGGCAATCTGACGCTCATGCTCAGCCGCCAACGCCACCGCCTCATCCAGGCGGCCGGCAGCCAACTGGGCGGCTGCATCACTCTCCAACTCGGACCCAGGTACGCACTGCGCAGACGGCAGCCCTACTGTTGGCTGGTAGCGTAATGAGAGCGCAAAAGCATGTTTTAGGCAGTACACTCTGTGGGCGGTTGCCATAGCGACTACATGTCTTAATGCAGAATTTGAACTAAGCATGGATACTCATAGGAAGTCCGTGTGGATTACATCCTATGAATACTTCCGAGAGGCCGTGATCAACCACGCCTGGGAGTTTGCCGGACGTCCGCCGGAAATGAGGAGTTTGGACGTTATTGCTGGCGAGCCTGGTACGTTACGCACCTTGCGGCGCGGTCGACACAGCAACGCAGAAGCGCTGAATGCCGGTTAGTATGTGTTGCTGTGTAACATATCTTCTCCGGATTTCTGTAGGTATCGTGGCCAGCGGCGTCAGTGAGGAAGAGCGGGAGATCCGCAAGATCACGCTGATCAGTCTGCGCAGTTTCGGCTTCGGCAAGTCCAGCATGCAGGAGACGATTCTCCACGAGGCCGACGAACTGATCACCGCCTTCCGCCGGCACTGCCCCGCCCCCTCCGAGGGGCAGTCGTCCCGCCCCTTCAACCCCCGCAACACGCTGGCCAACGCCTCCGCCAACGTGATCAGCTCGGTGCTGATGGGCAACAACTTCCAGCAGGGCGACACCGATTTCCACGCGCTCAGCGACGACCTGACGGAGGCCATCAAAAAGGTCATGATCTCCCAGCAGGCGCGAGCCTTCCCTCTCTTGCGCCTCTTTGTCAGTCGCAGGCTCAAGACGGCATACAACACCTTCCGACGCACGTTCGCCTTCCTGAAATCCATCGTCGAGGAGCACGTCGAACGGCACCAGCCGGGAATGCCGCGCGACTTCGTCGACGACTGGTTCGACAAGGCGGCCGACGAAGCGTCCAAGGCCGGTGATAAGGCCGTCTTCCGAGCGGAGAGGCTGCCCAAAGTGCTGATGGATCTCTTTATCGGTGGCTTCGAGACGACGACGACGGCTTTCCAGTGGTAAAAATGCAGGCGGAAGACTTTCCCACGGTTAGTCAATGCTGTGACCTTTCTTTTCCCTTTTAAATTAGGATCTTCCTGATGCTGTTGCACAACCCGGACGTACAGACCAAGATCCACGAGGAAATGGACCGCGTTCTGGGGTCCCGTTCGTCCACTTCCGGTCAGCAGGTGACGCTGGAGCAGCGCGACGCGCTGGTGTACACGGAGGCGGTCATCTTGGAGACGCTGCGCAAGTACCCGCTCATCCCCTTCGCCGTGCCGCACATGTGCACGCAGACCACCAAACTGGGCGACTACACCATCCCCCAAGGTAAACAGCTACTTCCGGTGACCTTTAAGTCTCCGGCACTAACCCGGCATTGAATTAAATAGGGACGCAGGTGATGCTGCACCTGTTCTCCATCCACCACGACCCGGCGCTCTTCCCCGAGCCGGAGCGCTTCCTGCCCGAGCGCTTCCTCGGGGCGGACGGCCGGTTGACCGTCCCGGAGCAGTTCGTGCCCTTCTCGGCGGGCCGGCGCTCCTGCATCGGGGAGCAGTTGGCGCGCAAGGAGCTCTTCCTCTTCTTCGCCAACATCATGCTCAACTTCTCCATCCACCCGCCCGCGGCCGGCGAGTTGCCCTCCCTCAACGAGAACGACGGCATCGTCATGTACCCCGATCCCTACGAAATCATCCTTGAGGAGCGCTGATTGCAGGGATCGACGTGCAGTGGGCCGTACCGAACTGGCATTCAAGAATTCGCTAGTTTTTGATAGAATAATAAATATGTTTTCTAAGCCTTGGCAATCGCGCCACCGCCGCACCGTACACTAACCGTACTAACGCAGCGATATAAATCAGCCTGCTTACAGTGATTTTTTCCATTAGCAGGTTCTGTCCATAGTTTATTCAAATTCAAAATGGTGCACGTGGGGTATGAGCGAAGGGTGACCTTTATTATTAGTAATGATCCGAGGACAGTGAGTGGATGTTATATACAAAGTAGTTATTCCAGTATCTTATGTGCACGTCGAGTTCACCCCGGCCCATTGTGAGACTGGTATGCATGGTATCCAGTATCCACTAATACTATCCAGGTTAATCAGGTGTCGCGCGCTCCGCTGCTGTTCACACACTATCAGTTATCCACCGTTCACTACAACTGCTGTTGCTTCTCCCGACATTCTCGTGTCCATTGGGCCACAAACAACGCCACACGCGCACCGTAACGGTATAAGCGCGCATTTGGCAAATCTACCGATTTCCTAGCTGTTCTGATCTGTCTTCCCCGCACCAGTGAAATTCATCCGTCTTCGGCATTTTGTGCCGCTAATTGCCCTATCGCTATTATCCTTCTATTCCCGTGCCAGTGACATAGCTAAACGACAGCCTGGGTGGCATTAATCTACTGGCCACTGGCCGGAGAAATTTTGTTTGTACAACTTACAGTTTTATTCTTATTTATTTGAATTTTTATGAGTCACAGCTCCTCCGCATTCAAAACTGAGCAGAGCGTGTATATTAATTACACTGCATTACAACATCTAACTTTGCTACCGCTGCAAGCAAAATTCACACGAGAAATCTAACAAATGCCGGTAAATATTCAGTACATGTACGAGTACTGTATAAATGGTACGAGTACCATATATCATTAAACTCATTATTATTCTCATGTTAACTGGGACAAATTCTTTATTTGAGTGTTTTTTATTGAGCGAAGCTCGCCAAGGTACATAATGCGATTAAATTTACACAGTTATTATACTTGTCATTGTCAGTGCAATGTATCGTACGTCCAAAACCTAGGGTATGTCATACGATTTATTAGTGTCATATAATACAAATATTCACGCATGCATAGATACGTCCGTGGACTGCAGCACAGGACAGCAACAGGCGTTTCTTCATTTTCTTACGATACATTGCACGCAGAAACAGGTATGTTAGTCGCAGTGCATGTCAGTCACTGTTTTCTTTGCAGTTATTCGTTAACGCTTTCATAGTTAATCTGCAATACTTTAATGCTCTACCAATTTTAATATTTTCACAAGAATTAGTTTAATATGATTGAATATTATATATATTATTTAATTTATAACTTTCGCAAGCAGTGAATTACTGGGCCTTTATTGGCGTTGGGTGCAGGGTAAAAGTAAGAGATACACACTGACCAGCCGCGTTTTAACGACAATGCATATATCGTAATAAACGATACATAAATATCTGTAAGTACATTCGTTTTGGTACAGTAGCGAGGAGTAATTAAGCAGCGAGACGAGTATATTGATTTTCGCCTTTATCGGCCGCGACGCTGACGCCGATCTTGCATCAGCGAGGGAGCCGGCTGATCAGGGAATGCCGCGGGGGAAGGGCCGGTGCTCGGAGGATGCCGACGCGCCGCTGCCGCTGCTGTTGGCCGGCGAGGGCGACCGGGATTGCGAGCCGCGACTGTGGGCGACCGGGACGCTGCCGGTGGGGTCCAGGTCGGTGTCGGTGTTGGCGTTGTGCTGGTAGAGGCCCTGCGCCAACAGCGACAACTGCAGCGGGTTGCGCGCGCCGCTGGCCTTCTTCAGTTTGGCCCGCTTGTTCTGAAACTGGACGACAGAAATTACAGCAGCGGTCAGAATGCGCCAGGACCACCAGTCATCATCATCAGCGCTATAATGCCAACTTGTAACAATACTAATTGACCCGCTGTTTTACAGTCGAACCAGCGGGGCAGCGCATTCCGCTCCCAGCTAGACTTAAGACTAGCGTATTTGACCTTTCCTTGTTTAACACGTTTCTACTAACAGCAAGTGCGGAGATCAGAGTGTGTTGTGTACCGTAGTAACCGGTTTACTTGTACATACCCAGATTTTGATCTGCGACTCGTTGAGCTGCAGACTCTTGGCCAGCTCCTGCCGGCGCTTCTCGTTGAGGTAGCGGTTCTCCTGGAATTCCCGCTTCAGTCGCTCCAGCTGCTCCTGCGTGAAGGCCGTTCGCGGCCGCTTCTCCTCCGGCTTCCGCTCGCGCCGTTTGCAGCGCCGCGCCCGCGGTCCTGTCAACCACACAACTATTCAATTACGCATCATAACAATCACGTAATTACATAATTAACCGGCCCGTTGCTCCATATACAGTACCTATGATATTCGTAATATTCCTTACTGTATCGCATGCATAAACGAATGATGCACTTAATTAGGTAAAGAGTGACAACTCAATAATATCATGGCATAAATACATATTCATAGTACTGCATTCTTAAATTGCTTATATAGGTGTTTACTGTACGTATATATACACGCATGCAAAGGTCATGCGTCTATGTATATGTATATATTTACACATATATATACGTACGTATACAATTATATACACTTGTAAAGGTCACCCATATATAGTGCTATGCCGTTTTGGTATATAGCTGTAAGCAGTAGAGTCTGTATATGGATGACCTTTAGGAAGTTGACCAGGATAATTGGGTGTTGTTGTTAACATGCCGGGTCTAGAGACCCGGATGCATGTGCGGTGGGAGTGCGTGGATGGATCCCGGCTACTACTAGCGAGCGGTGCGCCTCAGTCTGTGGCAGTGTGCTAGACGGCGGTGGTTGATCGAATTCAGGTGAAATTAAGCGTGATGCACAGCGCACATTCATGCAATCACGGCTCATCAAGCAATCATGCTCCTCTTTAATGGGCAACAGTTTAATTTGAGCCGGCCGCTTTGGACGGCCACTGCCGAGTGGCAATCGAGCATTTATCGGGGCGATCACGCTGCGATAATTGCCTTATTTACTCTATCTGCGCCGCCCCCGCTGCTACTCTTGCCGCACATTATCAACTGCATTTCTGCCCTTCCTGGCGCAATCAGCCGAGAGCTTGCGACATGATCCCGGCAGCAAAGACAACTGATACTTCTTATATTACTTGGTGTTCCATCGTATGCATGTATCGCGGCGCCGCAGCCGGGATCGCATGGATATCGCGTGCTAATCCCATTGGCTACTTGACCGGCTCTCATCCGTACAATTGACAGTTACCAGCAGATCAGGCGGCTTATCGCGCGGCGCGCATGCGCGGTATTCAATTCCGCCGGTATTACAGCGGTAATATCCGTGTAATCGGCAGAAACATTGTGCCGGTAACCGAGCGGAAAATTCATCTCTGCCGCTGACCGCCGTGTCAAAACCCATTACACGTCCGCGTAATGCCATAACAGCGCTCCGTTGGGTAATTCTCTTTCCGAGGATCTTCTCCCATGTTGCCGGTACCGCGTGCACGCAGACTGAAAATTGCCTCTTGCTCGGCTCTAATCCGCACAAATCACATTCCGCAGTTTAATTTCCTGTGCAGAACACGCATTCCGCGGTGGCCGAGCGATGTGTGCGTGTGGCGATTAATAAGTGTTCGGTTGATTTGAGTTGGATTAGGAACGATGTAGAGCAACGTTAGTGACAACCGGAGTCAGGCCGATTTAATTAGTAATTATTGTCAGCAGCTTGTTCAGTGCATGATTAAAATGCCGATTGTGTGTATATCTATAGCGGCCGTGTCAGGTCGGGAGTTAATTAAGTATTTAAGCGGCGACGTTTAACGACATTGTTTACAATCAGTAGTTTATACACGGGAGCCGCCGGCACCGTTCAGGTATATATACTTTATATGTCCGCTCCGCTGCACAGCGTATTACACGGTACACGTGTACTGAAAGTGCAGTTCTTCGCGGCGGGATAATATAATCGAGTGGAAATTAATTTGGCACGCCGGTTTGATTGGATGCTGATTGTTGACCGGGGGCATCGATTCGATCATTCGATTCGCTGGCAATAAATGCAATATTAACCCGACCGTTGCCGGCATGATGCAGCGCTTAGGCAGGTATACATCTTTAATGGTGCGACGATCAAATCCACTTACGGCTCTTAATCATCCTTTGATTGCCAATCACAACCCGCAATAACACCGTCACATTAATACCTTATTGCGCGTATATATACGCCCATCCATATAAAAACAAAACCCTTTCAGGTGCAACTGCCTCTACGTGTACAAGAACATACAGTCAACATAATGTATTAAACATTACATCAAAGTTTAATGTGTTTTTACCGGCTGTTACTCAACGCACAGTTATGTATTTCACGCAGATCACTGCAAATTTGCAAGATATTCCAGATGCCGGTAAATGCTAACGTTATTTACTTGATTTCCAAATTATTTAGTTCGTTTTACTCCTACCATTTTAGAAAAAATGCATAAAAAATTAATATAAATGCCGTTTGGGCGGCAGGATTAATAAGACAAAGCTAACGGCTTTCACGCTCTGATATCTTATATTAATGCCAGAATAATGATGTTGCAGTGGAAGAAAGACGAGTGATGAAGCTGCGAGGGAGTGGCTGATTGATCTAGCTAACTCGATGGAAAAACAGGCATGCCTGCTGCAACTCAGGAGAATTAATCTGCGTGCAAAAATAACCAACGGCTCGAATGTCTGCCGGTTTCGTTAACGTTGTCGGCGTCGGCAGGCATTTGCGCGAAGACGGCGAAGGAGCAGCAAATGAACACAGTGTCTAATTGTTACAACTGGATTCAATTAAGCGACCCCATTGCGTTACACTCATATTCAGGCTAAGCAACGCTACTGTGCTGGCAACCAGCAGCCGCTCCATTTCTCGCTGCTAACTGAAGCATGACCGCCCATTGCAGCTTCATCTCTAAACCAGGCAGCCTGAAACCGAATCCACGCTTTATTCTATTAAGCGGCCGGCCGCTTGCACTGTGCCTGCTGTTAATGTAAGCGGCAGTGTCCAGTTCAAAAGCGCCGCTTGCTGGCCACACCAGACTCACTGGCCGGCACAGTATAATCAGTGCGTCGCGCTAATTGACTTGTTCTCACAACACCATAAGTAATCACGCTCAGACAATCATACAACCACTGCCGCAGCCAATACTATCAATCAATTACTGCCTCATCAATGCAATACACCTAATTAACCAACTAACGAAACAGCGCCACTGTTTTCCCGCTTTTTACACAGACGCCAAGACCAGCCAATAATTATAATATTATAAGCTACCAGGTATGTAATCCAACGCTGATTGCGGTCATAGCGCAGTTGTTTTTATTAAGTAAAACTGGTCACTGCTCCAATGGAAAATATTCCCATCCTACCGCTAAAACCAGACGTTTTTAATTAACGCCCGCTTACAAAGTTGCCAGACTCAGAAGCAAGCTGCTGGTTAACAAACCAGCCAACGCGCAATTCTGGCAGTGTGCTACTTTATGAGAGCATATTTTACCGCCTTGTAATTGATAATAATAAAGTTAAGTGAAATCAGTTCCGTCCGTCGGCGATTACCGCTGCACTGTTCTTGCACGCGTCGGCGCAATCACTGCCGCGGGCTCATTAAGTTAAGACGGCTAATTACTGTCGGCATTTCCACTAATTAATGCTCTCGCCTAAACTGCTTTACAACTGACGCTTTTTTATCCAGAAACGACAAGGTCGTGCTAGATTAATTTCTAGAGATCGCCGGAATTTTGACATAACTTATTTCAAAAGTCCGGCTCTTAAATGTTATATACGTAGTTCATACAACATAGTACGTTCGAGTACATCTTCCACCGTATTCCAAAACATTTCCGTTTCGGTCGAAAAATTAGCATATAATTGTCGTTTGCCTATGCGATAAAGTACCAGTCACTCGAACTGATTAAATTTGCGTCACTCAGTGACTCACCGCTGGAGGGGCGATCGGAGTAGCGCGTGCAGAAGACCCAGGCCGGCCAGTCCTGGTTGGCGCCGTTGCCGCCCACCGACGACGGCGAGCCCGTCGACGGGGAGGAACGCGAGTCGGCCGCGGCCTTGACGTGCGTGCCCTTTCCGCCGCTCTCGGGATGCGCGGCCTCCCCGTGCCGCTCCTGCTCATCATCCGCTTTAATGGTGTACTCGTTGCTGCGCGATTTATTATGCCGATCCCAGCCGAAGTTGCTGTACACGGCGTCCGTCGGCGGCGTGGCGGTGCGGCGCGGCCGATGGCGGCCGGGGTTGTTAAGGAATTGCGCCGTGCTGTGGCTGTAGTAGGGACTGAATTTGCGGGATGCGGGGTGCAGCGGCGGATGGGAGTGGGCGTGCGGCGGGGTCAGCAGTAGCGGAGAAAAGGTTAGCTCTAGGTCCGGCTTGCAGCGCGACAGCAGTCCCGGCGGGGCGCGTCCGAAGTCCGGGCGCAGGATGTTCTCGATGGAGAACTTGACGAAGCTCTCGGGGGAAAGGTCACGCTCTTCCTCCTTGATGTGCACCAGCTGTACACCTCCGCTGAACTGGCTGGACTGCATTTCTGCCCAGTGATTAAGCCGTTAAGAAAAAAACAAAAATAGGAAGGTTCAGTAAAAAGAAAAGGTCACGCAACAACGTTGGGATGAATGGAGGACAGTTGGTTGTCTGATAAGGATGTCATGCGGCGGCGTTGGGTAATCAACGGCAGCGAATAATATCGTAACGCAGCACTACACTGATCAGCGAGCGATTTGACTTGACGTCTTTTTTGCAGCTCGTAAGCGAGTGAATGCGGCCGCGCCTGTCGAAATAAGGCAACTAATAAGCTTTTCTTCGAGCCACTCACACTAGCCTAATTCGCCGTGGCTGTTTGCTTCTCAAAGCGCTCCCTGTGTACATATCTCTATTATGCAGCCAAATAGCATAATTATCGCTTGTACACAGCACCATAAAAGCGGGCCGGCAACGATATCGTTATTTCGTTATGTGGATACAATACAGACATATTTTTCTCCAAATACCGATGCCGGGCAGTGCGGTCTATGTGCTGACCAATCAGAGCGCGGTAAACAGTCCGCACTCCGCAGGACGTACAGCGCCGTGCGGACGACGCTGATTGGTCGCTGCCGTTGCGATGGCTATTTTCAGCCGGCTTCGTTGGCTGCTGGCGGCGGCAGCGCGGATTACAGAGCTGTCAAATTGCTACAGTGGAAAATTAATACGGTGTCGTTGCGGTAGGTACCGTACTTGCAGTTTCGGTACGTACGCGATGCAATAGTTGTGTTTTTGTGGCCGTGGTATGATGGCAGGCGGAACATGTACACGGTGTTATTATGGTGGATGGCATTATGTTGGCGGTGGTAATTGATGGATATTGCGGCAAGTCGCAAGCTGGCCGTATAATTTCGCCGTCAGAATTGGAAATGATTCTTCTGACAGCCAGATATGATGATAGTTCATCATGCGCCCACCAAACATGTTCTACAGCGCGTACCGGAATATAGACTGTGTTATACAGTACAGCATTATTACAGCTATAACAACATCAGCCCGATCACTGACATTTATTAATTTCACATTTAGTTTTTACGCTGCCATCAGAACGCCGTAGGAATGCTTAAAGCGCCTTCAGCTATTAGCATTAGCGAGCAGTTGTACCTTCATTAGCTATTTATTCGTTTGTACAAAGACTGCGCTGCACGTAAGTACCGAATACATGTCGAATGCCGAATACTACACCACGCTGAGACTGCGATGCAGACTGGATGTAAGCTAATGATCCGGTTGTAAGCTAAACTGTTAACGCTGACGCCGAAATGTACCCTATTTGTGCCATGCAGAACATTGGGCAAGACCCCACAAATGCCGGTCCGGCCGATGTCGATGTCGACGGTGGAGGCGGCAGGAGTACCCCGGAAGCCGGGCGCACTTTGCCGGGTAGTGCGTACTCCGTAGTAGTAGCGTGTGGATCAGGATACAGATGTACATGTACCGGTGATGGACCAGCCAGCATGATTAATAATAAAATTGTCGAGTCTTGGCAGCGGCAGCTGCCGGCGCACCGACATTCCAGCCTACACAGGCTGGCTGCAGTTCGCTTCCGCTTCCCCTGCCCTTTAACGGGAAGGAACGGGTTTGCCGGACGAGAGCAGATCGGCGGTAATAATACAAACCACTCAAGCATATTTTTTTTACGAAAACATGTTAATTGCAGCTGTAATTTCCGTTTTAGATAGTTACTTGCCAGTGTTGGCTGTTAATTGCATCGATTAATTATTCAGTTATTGCTCACCTAATGAGTTATTCAATATGACGAGATAATGCTTTCTCTGAAGTCTGAACTACCATCAACACATTAATACAGTTTATTACATACAGTACCACCGCTAGGCGGTAATTAACAAACTAACAGAAAAGCTATCGTTAAGCATTTAATACGACAAACATAACAATGAACAGCGCCAGCGGTAGTGTACATACCTGTACAATATAAATCATAATAATATTAAGTAGCACAATTTTCTTATATTGTACGATTGTGCGAGTGCAGGCAACCATGATGAGTATGTACAGTAATTATTAATAATTATTATTCTGCAGTATATGTATAGTACCGTACTTAAGTGTGTAAAAGGACACTAAAGACATGGGCATGCATTTAATTTGCGGTGGAATGACAAGAGAGCAGTCGTGTTAATTGCCTTTTGACGATTACAAATCACCGCAACCACCGCAGGGAAATGAGGGGCCAGTTAAATGAAGAAAGCAGTTGTAAGGAGATGGATTGGCGCGCTGGAGGTATTTGCAATTTGCCAACTGTAACCGACCGGATCGCTTCGCATCAGATTCTTCGCAGCGGATAGGATGGGAATCTAAGCGGACCCCGGCTGCGATCGTCGCTGGAGGGACGCCGCAGGTTGATTGGCGTTTGGCAGCATTGCCAATTCGCCAGCATATACACGTTGGTTTGTGTGGTTCAGTGCCGGCGTGCATCGCTGCTTGTAATTAAGCGAACGCCTTACGACTGCCACTGGCCGCTGACCACTAGCAGCGCCTTTAATACTGCACACAACTTAACCCGCCGCAATGCAACAACACCCTCGGCAACGCGCTTACAACCAGATACTGTAAATTCAGTTAACCCGTTCCGGCACAGTGCAGCCGATCATCTTCCTTCCCTGGGTGGTCCCGACTTGACTCGCTAATCGCACGCTTTACAGCAACGCACAAGCCCCGACTTTGATTCTTTCCTCCTCGGTTACTCCATCAAACGCCGCAATACATTGCCGCTTTTAGACGCAGCATGACCTGGCTATCAACTTACATCATTTAATGGTGCACATCGCTTCATAAACGCTGCATGCACTGACAACCGTATATCGGTGGTTTAGTCATCTTCCTGCTCTTCCTCATTCCCCGCTCTCGTCTCCACCCGCAAGCCGCAATCAATCGGTTTCTGTGGCGTTCAGCGCTAGTTGACGGTTTTCAAGAATAATCATGTCATGTTTAGAACACCGATCGATTTGACCACTGCTTAATTAGTATATATCATATACAGTAAAGTATACTTCTAGCCGAAACAGGACAGCGCCACCGACTCCCTGTGACAGAAAAATTGGATTTTTTGCAGGATGACAGGGCACCAGTAGCACCTTCATACCCGTTTCTGCAACGGGTTTGTAGATGGCAGTTAATTCATGTTTTCAGAGACACCGGTATGTAGATCTGCATGTAAGTCTTTCTTCCTTCGGTTTTCATGATAGCAGTATTTGTACTAAAAACAGATAGCACGTAGAAACTGAAAATAATGGAAATACAGGTATTAGTACATACAGGTTTACTCTCAAAAATCAAAGTTAACTACCGCCTGTAGTTTACAAAGCAGCTTCAGGAACAAAAACGGGTTAAAAGGGAACACTGAAACACATTATAAACCTCGCGATAGCGTATTCTTAAGTATACTCTATTGTTGTTACTGTGCAGAAGATGAAATTTTTGGAGAGGGGCCGGTAACGCGTTCTTGGTACAGATAAGTGTCAAAGGAAGCAGCAGCTGCTGGCACTAGAGCACCGCACAACCACGCTGCCGTGTGTGTTGGTTCGATACCTTTAGTTCGGATGCCTCTGGCTCTTCCCGGTGTTCAGTTCGCACACTCAGCAGTTACGAGTCGAATTCTCCGAAACGTAAAGCCGGCACTGCGTACGAGGCACTGGACAGCTTGGCCCCTTTTCCACTATACCGCGGCCATCGCTTCATTTGATTTCGTTTCGAATTCGGTCCCGCGTCGACGTCACGGCCGGCCATATGGTCTTGAATCATTGACAGGTAAACCTTAACGTTAACATTATCGTTAATATGGCGGCCCGAGTCCCATGCCAAGCTTGCTTCCCGTACGTCCCAGTGGCATGGTGTGTATGCGACGGTCAAACGGAATTCGCTTCGTCTTCCCTATCGGGGTTTTCCTCAGTTAATTCCGGGTTCCGAGTTGACTGCCTCGTCTGTGTTTTGTGTTCTCGGCATGGTGCAGCCACAGCTGAGCGGATCCATGTACCGCGCCACTTCAGTATTTGTCTAATAACTAATAAAAGCTTCATCAGAAGCAGACTATCTAGCGTCTTATAAATTGCACTCCATATACGCTACAGAGTACAGATAGATGCGCCGGATGGCCCACAACCCGGCTTTCAGTGAAAGCGCTGCATTTGCATGGAGAGCAGCATGTCCCGTTCATAGTCGGATTACGGGACGCAGGGCAACTGTGTAAGGGTCACTACCGTCGGGCACCACAACGTAGACGGCGCTAGACACACCCTTCGCGCATCCCGGCTACAAGGAGACTTGGTAAGGCTCGAACCCACTGTCTTACGCCAACACAGACGTACTAGCTGTAGCATAACGAGTCTCTTGAATGATGTGTTTTTCGCTCATTTCTGTTTCGGCTTCCTTTTCGAATATTAATATACAACGATAAATTCAGTTAAAAAATACTTTTATTACTCGTAAACAAAAAACTGTACAAAACTGCGTCCGTTTGGCACGACTGGCGTTAGTTAGCACAAGCCAGCCACATTAATCAAGTTCTGCAACAAAACAAAGGTAGTTACAAGCTACAACTGTAAACAAATCACAAATATATATAGATACTTCATAGCGACACACTGCAGTTGCATTGTACTTGCTCCCTGCGCACAAGTCAAATTTCTCTTATTGGTTTATTGATAGTGGCTTATTTTAATAGTGGGGCAAAATGTATCTGCCTTGGAGATACGTCTGGCTTTCTTGTCTTCGGCCTGGGCAGCGGCAGAACCCGCGGTAGCGGAAGTGAACTTATTGTGACACTGGGCGCGACAGTGCCCTCACAGGGCAGTGAGGTCACCTACCATGCTAAGCCCATGCCGCGTTTCCATGTAAATGTGGCGCGTCCGTCCGGGCGACGATCGGAAGTATGGGATGTACCGCAGGGTGAGAGATTCGCTGGGATACCCGCAGAAACCCAAGAACGGTATACTGTACTGTTCAACCCGCCGTGGCGAGCGTGTCTTCCAGTGGCCATTACGTGCAGGACAATAACGTACCACTGTTCCACTTCCACAAATCCATATACCATTTCCCACTTTTGAGTTAAGCGCTTTGCATTGGTGTTGGTGACAACCACCGCTAGTTATTGTTAAGGGTGTTCACTGGCTATTCCCACCACCTCGCACCACCATTTGGCAATTCTCACTCCTTTAACCACCTTTAGGCTATTCCCACTACCTTTTTAAAATGGCACCTGACAGCCTGACACCATCTTTTGACTATTCCTACCACTTCATTGGAAATGTTCTTTTATTGCATAGTTTTAAAAAACAACTTTTGACACTGGCACCAGTTGTTCTTCTAGGTGTAAGTCTTTTTGATTTTTTTCTGGCAGCACTGCAATACGAACAGGGTAGTCACCGACTACCGTCATAGTGCCAAGTTTAGTTTGAATGTTTTTGGCTCGCAACTGTACAGTGCATAATTATAAGGACGCGGATGCCATAATACCGATATTGGAAGTTCACCAACGCAGGCAACGCTTAATGTTTGATCATAATTATTACAATTTAATTTCAAAGAGAACGGCAGAGTAAATCTTAAGAAAAATTTTTCCAGTGTAGTGTTCGTTAGTGTAGTGTAATTGTAATATTAAATGTAACAAATTATTAAGAAATACATACAAGTACGTATATGGGATTCGATCGAAAAGCAGGATGATTCGATGGGATGTGGCCGAACGCAGAAAAGCCGTAAAGGGGTGGGAGTAGCCAAAGGTGGTGCAAAAATATTTAAATAAAGGTGGTGCGAATATCCATACGTGGTGTATGG